AGTCGGTGATAGATCCCACACTGTTATAGCCAAGCATGAGTTCGCTGGTAAGGAGTCGTATGTGATAGGCAACTGTAGCCACTCATTCCATCTAACTCGGTCAATACGTACGCCATCACATTCGGGGGGTATCGTACTTTCGCTCGGATCGAAAAGGTTTATAAGCGGTCTGAACAGGGACAGTCAAGGGTTTTGATCCAGCCCAGATCTGCACTGTGACATAAAGGTCAGAGTATGGGCTAACAGGTCTTGTTAGTCTATCGCAAAAGTCAGGGTAGTGGGCAATGTCGCGCACTTAATGTTGGACCCAGCGTGGCGCAAGTCGGGGCGCTCGAGAAGAGTAGAGTACTTGAAGGGAGGTTCGTCGCCCTCAAGGTTCATACTGCCAAAAGTCAGCTTCAGTATTCCCATGATGGAGGGGTTCGAGGGGCATTACATGCGAATAGTCACAGGATGATGGACGTCCTTAGAACCCGCAAAGGAGAACGGGTCCATACGCCCGTACTCAGACATGACAGGCTATGTCATGCTGTGTAGATAGAAGAGAAGTGGAGATGCGCGCAGAGAATGAGAGCTATTGTTATTGTTGAAGGTTTTGAGTTGCGATATTGAACATAGGCAGGTACGTAGTGGCTGGTGTCGAGGTGCGATAAGATAACGTAGAGTGACGTTCACAGCTCAGCTTACCTTATTCCATCTACTGTGGAGAAGATCACATGGGCCCCGTCATAAGGTCTACCTCAGCTCAGGTTAGCACTCCACATACTGGTATATGTACCTTGGTCACTACAGACTTTGACTGTTCAAAGCCAAGATTCATTGACCTCCTCGATCAGCAATCGAAACAGGAATGTTTATTTTATTCACGTACTTTCTAACTCAATCATTGGCTGAGCCACTAACCACGTTTTTATTTGCTTGTCTATGAATTCCCTCTTGTGGCTAGTTCCTTGATCAGCCGCCGTTACCGCATCATCGGAACCTCTACTACCGGACTGAAGATTGACACTTTTTTGCTTTTTATTTGGCTACTCACTTCCCAGTCTGTAGTGACTATTGATGGGATACAGCATGTTCTCGTATTTTCATCAACCAAACATCGGCATGTGTCAAGATTCATTTCCCGAATATCAACCAAGATGCTACGTAGCATTGCTAGTCGAGCTTCCTTATAAGTGCCCCTGGATACCTTGGTCAGACATAGACATGGCAATGGCAATTGTCGATGCCTAATGACCCCAGACTTTCTTATACTTCCCGTCGGCCGACTAAATTGACCAGTCCCCAGCATTGGTTCATTTCATACTACGTAGCTACCCTCTGCGACACTTATATCCCGATCCGTAGTCGTGTCTCAGCGGACATGGATACTGCATAGCTAGGCGCATCCCAAACTTCAAAGCGCATAGCCCAAACCTAGAAGCCACACCAGACTGTCATCCCCATCAATCAATGGATATCCCTCAGGGACATGCGCCAAAACTTTAGGCATTTCGTATCCTGGCCTAGCAAGCCCCAGCATCTGAGCCTCCTTCACCTGTAGGTCTAAGAGGACCTATCACGTGCGGCCTTTTGAGGCGTCATAACTAATCTCAACAACCTTCAACTCTCGGACTCAATGATTTCTCTCTCTAGAGCATTGCTCCCTGCTGTTTCAACTCATGCCACGACCTCGGCTCGCCCAAAGTAGGCCAACATGTCTCCTTCGAGACGCACCGATGCCGCCTCCAAGTTTACGTCTTCGGGGAGATATACCCCAGAGGCCATGATAGTCATAGTACGACCCCTGTCGAATTCGATACTCGAGTACTCCATTTAACACGCCTTATAGACCTGTGCCACTATTTCGCTGTACAATGGCATCGAGCTGCTTCTCCTCATCTTGACATCATCCAGGCGGCATAACGACCTCTTCTCATGGAGTCTTGCTGTGGCTTCCATCGGTGTGCTGCCGTATGCGAGTGGCTGGTTGGTTCGCTATTTCGATGTTATAGGGGACGTTGCAAATATGCTCATAAACGACATTGGCTGGATACTCCTGACTACCGGCCAAGCTCTTGTTCTATATTCTCGACTCAACTTGCTCTTCAAAAGCATCACCATTTTGAAGGTTACGAAATGGATGATTATCCTCAATGCTATTATATGGCACAGCGCAGTTACTGTTCTTTTATTTGCTATCAGCACGCAACAAAAGCTCGACCACAACGGTGCATTCATCAAGGTCCAAAAGGTTCAGCTGGCATTCTTCTGTGCTCAAGATTTCCTACTTTCAGGTCTTTACATTTGGAAAACGATGGAGATCATCAAGAGAAAAGAAGCTGAAAACCAGACTCCTCGAATAATCTGGCACCTGTTTGCTATTAACGTGGGAATCGTGCTAGTCGATATCACGCTCCTTGCCGTTAGCTTTACCAACAATTTCCTATGGCAACAGGGCATCAAGGCAGTGGCCTACTCGGTAAAACTCAAGGTTGAGTTTGTTATACTCGGGAAACTCAGCGACTACGTCCACAAAGGAGGTGAATTGATCAGTGCCGAACATCCTGTGTTTGGATTTGTAGAGATGGAGCCCGAGCCTCCGTCAAGGAAACAATCGACACAACCATCAGCTACCCCTGATGCTACACATTTAGAAAGAGTGAGGAAGCAGTCGACTATTTCTGCTGCAGAGTCGTTGCGCAATCGAGAGTTCATGTCCGATGAGATCGCGACGGATAGAGGCGAAGGTGTTAAAAGGCGTGCACTGGGTAAGGGCAAAAGTAAATGCATGGATGATTGTTGCAATACTGGCGTTTCGGCTTCAAAATAGTATTATACCCCATGTTTAGTCAATTTTTTGAAATTTCAAACCATTATACTCTCTTGAGGCCAGTCAGTACATGGTATTACAATCCTGAAATTATATCGTGTTGCATTATCGGAAGACTATCAGACTGGTCGGCCTATTGAACAAATAATTTCTCAGATATATGTACAGTATTATTACAAATTACTACAAATATTTGTACTTCACTCCCCAACTCCTCCTCTATGCTCTGCTCGTACATCATCATCATCTCATCATCCTTTACGTCTATTTGTGTCCCTGGAGATGCCAGTCAAACACCTTCATAAACACTTCCTTTCCATCTCCCTCCAAAACATCTCCATGGCAAGGAATCATGGTATGAAAGTCCCACTTGGCGATCTGTGCCATGCTGTCGTTGAAACTCTCACGGTTCTTGGCGAGGAGATACCAGTTGAATCTCTGTAGCCACTTGGTATCGCCACGGGGGTTCTGAACACAAGCGAAGAGCTTGCCAACAGCTCCATCTGCGGGCAATTCTGATTCGGGCACTTTGCTGTACTGCTCAGTGGGGGGTAGGTTGAAGAGAAGATCGGCCTGGATCAGGACTTGCTCAGGCTTGTAAAAGAAGACAATCTCAAGGTTGGCGTGGCCGTCGACGTATTCATAGTCGAAATCGGCATCGAAGTCGGGGTCAATCTTGATTTCCCGCTTGTTTTCCTTCTTGAAGACAACAGCAAACTCATCGTCGTTGATCTTGGGATCATCGGTCTGCTTAGCGCGCTTTTCTGGCAGACCCTCTGGGCCGATGATCTTGGCCGAGGGATACTCCTTTTTCCACTCAGAAATGAAGATGTGGTGCTCATAGTCAAGAGCAACGATATAGCGGACATCGCCTCCCATCTCCATGACTTTAGCTTGGGTGGCTTTGGTGAGTGCGACTGGTGAGAAGATGGCCAGGCCTCCTGAAGTGAGCTTGACTATCGAGCGTCAGTATCGCGCTGAAGTTACCTCTTATGAATGGAAGAGCATACCTAGAGTACCTCGGCCACCAATCTTGACTTTTCCGAATCGTGAAAAGGGGACTGAGAAGGTGGCAATGTTGGGGGTGACATTGCGAATGACCATGACATGATCAGGGTCTGAAGGGATGAGTTTGGACGACATTTCTGCTGAGTTGGACGTTTCTGATTGTGTGCTGAGGTTGTGTTTCTGTGCTGGTGGAGTGAGAGAGGTTGTGAGTTTGAGTCTTCTGATTGATGATGTCGCAATACGAGGTTGAAGATGTATGACGTTGAAGTCGTGTGTTGGAGTATGTTTAAATGCACGTGAGAGTCGAAAGAATCTTCGCTGCTGTTGGTGCTGGAATAATCTGGATGCGTTGACGTTTAAGTATTGAATTCGAGACGTCGGACGTATCATCACGACCAAGGTAATTAATTGTCATCCAATGTCGAGGCGGACCCTGAACTTGAATTGGTAATATTCCAGTTGAGAATAGAATTAGTCTTTGCATTTCTTCAATGACATCAACATTCCGATCCATCCATTGTAATCAATCGGCCGACTCTGGCTGAGTTGGCCCAAGACCCTGGAAATCGGGACTGCTAATTTAAGCATCAAAAGTGGATACAATGGAGCAACATGTGAGTGCTGATATTCCAAATACTGCAATACGCTGCATTTAGACTGGGATGCAGCATAGGTAACCTATTCAATTCTCTTATCTACCATGTACCTAGCTAAAAGGTTCCCTGGCAAATCGGATTGATACTGTCAAAGTTGCTAGCAGCTCACAATTGATTGATTCCAAATATCATTTCAACGTTAGCTTGATCCATCCGGCGGCATGTTACTTCGTCCCGAGAGCCCGATATAAGAGTTGAACCTCAGCTCAATCAGGACTCTGCGGTACGCGTATGGTTTCTGCATACCCTCGTTAAATCCGTCGTAGCGGTCAAACAATCGAATTCAGCTGAATTATGTGGAAGCTCGTTGGTTTCGGATATCATGGTTGTAAATGTAAATAATTCATCACTCAATATAATATTATACTGTTTGGACAACTTGGACTCCACTCTTCAGACCAAGTGAGCATTAGGTCCAAGCCTCGACCCAACACCACGCAAAAGTAATACACATATATATAATCGAAAGCGACTGTTAACAAACAAAAACAATAATCCAGAAAACCCACCCACTATCCTTTTCATCAGCCACCTGCCAGTTTGTATGTCCTGATTACTAAGGTTGCACTTCCAACGACATCTGTGAAACACGCCCACGATGAACTTGAGAATGAAGTCAGAAGCTGCATAATAACATTCGGAAAGGCCAACATCCAGGATAGCAATACCTCCGGAAGCCCAAAGATATACCCTAATGAGTTTGTATAATAAGAGAACGCAGTGGATACCCATGGCGGTTGTATCGCCATGTACGTCAACATATGGTCCCTCGTCTGGCCGTTGGCAATATACCACAGGTGTCTTTCCTGGCGTACCTCTAACCACCAGCCAAGAACAAACAGGAAGAAAGCATGGTTGAAAACAAACCCCACGTTTACATACGAAGGTGGGTTGGGGAATTTCAGTGCTTTGCCGTCGTTATCCACGTTCCTATGCCTGATGAAACGGTGATAAGACCAGGAGAGAAGTTGACAGACAAATTTCATGACAAGACACCAAGCCCAGGCCTGGTTGGCTATAAACAGCACTACCAGCATTCTCAAGACCCTAAGCCCCAGTTTCAAGGATTGGAAGATACCAGAATCCTTTGTTGATGATTGTGCAAGGGGATGTGACGACTCGTTATCGACAGTAGTCCCTTTAGTAGGATCTGGATCTGGATCATCTCCGCCATCACTATTCCCTGGTGCTGGCGTGTTCGCCTCTTGAGATGCTTCAGGTATGTCTGAGGATTCACCGGTGCCGTTGCTCGACATGTCTCTGGCAGGACTGTTCCCTTTCTCATCTTCAGAAACAACCTCCTTCTCATCATCATCACTGCCCTTCTGTGGAGTGTTCTCCTCCTTAGGACTAATCCACCACTTCTTGGGTGGGTCTCCGTCTCTCGGGCTGCTTCGCGGCGTTGGGTAATATTGCGTTCCAGCGGACGAAGGAGGGCTCAGGTAAGGGCCTCGGCTCACGGACTCTCTGTTCTTCTTGATCTTTTGCTGCCAAGCACTGAGCTCCCGAGAACATCCAGGTCTCAAGCTTGCCGCTGACTCGCTGTCTGGAAAAACAGGACGCTTCGGTTCGCTACTTGCGTTCACCTCTAGATCATCACCGTCATGGTCTTTATTGCTAAGGAAGCTGTCGCGAGATCCGCTGGAAGGCGCAGTTGACAAACATTGAGAGCTTTCCATGCCTGCAGAGGTTTCTGAGTAGCCAGACATAGAGTTAGAGGCTTCCGATGTCTGCGCCGCGTTTGGAGGAAGATCGATATCAAGCACATGGCGAGCGATGTCAGCAAAGAAACTCTTGATCTTCTTAAATTTACAATGGTGATCCTTTATTGCCGGTACCCAGATATCAATTAGTTCTTTCATGGAACTCTCATTGATGTTGCACTTTTCTAGGTTTTCGCATTTTGATATTGCAAAATCGACGCGCTCATTGTTTTCCAAGAGGATTTTCCAGAGCTTTATTGCCATTTTGGGTGAAAGCGTGATGGTGCCATCAGGCCCAGATTGAGGTTTCTCTTGAAGATGAGCAGTCTGATGCTCAACGCCCCCATTCTTTATTTCGAGCTTGTCGTTGAGTTCATCGTGCTCCTTGGTCTCATCCTCGGCTTCTCTCAAGGGAGTGTCCCCAACCCTCTTCTGTTGCTCTTTTCCCTCCTCGGCCATTTCTTCGACTTCGGTATCCCCGCCATCCGAGTCTTCAGCATCAGCTGGAGAGGATATGGTACTGGACTCTTCATTGAGTTGTTGTCCAAGAACAAATGCGTCGTCTATGAGAAGTTCCTTGTCTATGCGAGGATGCCCGTGACCCTGAGCAGCGACAAGCTCCTGCTCTAGAGAAGGTTTTGCGTATATCTTATCAGGAACATCGTCAGGCTCGTCACGTTGCAACTCGGAAGCATTGAACTCTTGCGATAAAGAGCTTGCTGTGTACCGCTTTTGGGGCCGGATCGCTGTGGGCAGTCTAGGGGCCGTCATGGAGGTGCGATGAGCCAGTCCTTTCGGACTACCATAAGTTTGCGATCGTTTGTACAGCGACGTCTTCCTAGAAATAGCTGCGTTCTCGTTTAGGCGATTCAAGGTCTTTTCCGTGCGTATAGCATTCTCTCTCCGATGACGATGACGAGGATGGCGAGAGGGTCTTGGCTGCCCATTGGCCTGTTGGCTACGTATGATCCTCTCAGTAGCTTTGGCACGCTCGAAAGCCTTCCCAGCACTGCCAACACGGTTTAACGCGGAAGTTACACGTTTTTGTATGGGCTTTTTTTGCTCAGGGCTTGATGCAGGGTTAGGGAGCCTGCTCTTCTCCATCACGAGCAACCGCTGTTCTGTGAGACGCCTTTCGCTCTCGATTCGTGACTTCTGACTCTGATAATAATCATCGATACACTGTACCAGATCTTTGATCTGGCGCTTGGACTCATCGTCCTGACTCCGCTGTGTGGCATAGACCCATTCGAGCAGGTCATCGAGCGAACTATGGGCCGTCTTTTTCAAAGCCTGCATGACGTTGAGGGCCATCCTTGGAAATTGGGAAGGCTCTTTGAGACATTCTTTTTCGTAAAATCGATCTAGACTTGACGCGAGGTTGTCCTTCTTATGATTCCATTTCACACCTGTTTCGGCAATTCGAACGTCGAGGTCCTTTTCAAATTCGATGAAAGGATTAGTAACCGACATCTTGACTGCCTGGGTAATTAACAAAGGTGGAATTGAATATGGATGTGTGAGAAAGTTGCTACACGATTCCTGGGTTAATGTGACAAAAGCAGCTGATTTTGCCCTGCAACAATGTGAAAAGGATTATCGAAACAGTCGCTGGCACTCGATCAAAGGACACGAGGAGTGGGTGGGAGTGTTGAAGGGGTTAAATAAGCGGCTTGCAGCTGTGTGGATGCCTTTGTCTATTCAGATTCTTGGAACCGGACGCTTCTCTTTGACACTATCTGCAATGTGTCAGAAATAAAACGAGGCGCACACCTTTTGCCGTGCACAGGCAGTCTTGCACAAAGGCTCATCGCCGCCAATCGAGCCTTTCTTCATTACTACCCCGACAGCAGAGGTCGGGGAAGAACAAGAACAAAGAAAACAAGTTGTTTGCTAACGGCCTGTGCACAACACCATGTTGGCCATCTCCGAACCACTGCCTGATAGGTATCTCACATGCAAACAAGGTTATCTCGTGTGTTTCATGACAATGAATCATGGATTTGAAAGACTCGACATGTTTGTTCATGCTTCCCCTTTCCCACTCAGCTATACCAACCCCGCGCACCAGGTCCCGAAGTCGTCACCTCCTTTCTGTGAGCAATCATGGGCTCCTTGAGGTCGAATGTGTCAATAATGTCCTGCCAGGTCTCCATGTCCATGGAAAGAATTGCTTGGTGTTTCGCTGCCCCGTGTCGTGTCGGTTCTTCTTCCTCTGCCTCGACATCTCTGTCTATGATTTCTAAAGATCGAGTTAGCAAGTTTCAGACGTCCCGGCCATGATTAACTAACCAAGCGCTGGTAAATCGAATTCATCGAAATCGATCTTCACTCTGCCGTCTCTGACAAGGAAGCTGACGTAGAACATGTTCTCGATGGTTTGGCCGAATGATTTGGGATTCACAACAAACCGCATCAAATCAATGCCGCCGGTGCTCCGAAGGCCATGTTGATGCATAATTCTGGTCTGTTCCTCATCGTCCATATTTTCATCAATCAGGTCCGCCACAGTTTCTTGAATGTTCGCCTGGAGAGTTTGTAATTGATGGAGAATCTTGCCGCAAATCGCGGTGAGATCGTTCTCCTTCTTGGCCAGATCCTCGACATTGAGCACTTCGGGACGCGTCTCAGTCAGATTGTTAGGTCTGAACGGGGCACTTCGCTTTGCAATCTTGCGAGCCTTCTTCTCGACTGACAGAGGTCCAAGGAGGAACCCGGGGAGGGCGGGACGCCTGATATAAGGTAAGCTGGCAAAACGGCCAAGATGCGGCCAGTTCATCATATCGCCCTCATCCCCGATGTCTTCCTCACCATCTTCATCACCTCTTGTGGTCCTTCTTCTTTGACGTTGGGTGCTCGAGAGCTCGGGTGCATCATCATCCATAATTCCTCGACCATGTCTCATATATGTGATGCATTTTGAAACAAACTCATCAACATCGATGCCTTGAGAAAGGCTGCCTTGTGTGAGTCTCAAAGTCTTTCGGTAAGATAAATCGGTAGTGCTAACAAGTAGCCGTGAGTCAATTGTTGCTTCTGTAGTCTGTCGCACTTTCTTCGATAGTTCATCGGCGCGGAGAATGGCCTCATGAAGCCCTCGCGAGTCCCCTTGTAGGTATTCCTCAGTGTTCTCTGTCACATCGCGAAGTAAATCTCTGAAGCCCTGTTGGACTCTGCGGCGCTCCTCCAGTGGCTGGTCAGGATCGTAGATATCGTCATCATCGTCGTCGTCTTCGCTGCCCGCTGTAGGTTCAACGGTCCGTCTTCGATAGCTCGCAGGTTCTCCGTTTCTTGTGTCCGCTCTCTTCCTCTTGGATCCAGATGCGGAGCGACTTGAATCCCGTTCTCTGACTGCTAAATTTCGATGCGCTGGTGTCGCTCTTGAGGGCGGCGACGGCGATCGCGAATGCGACGGGGAATCATGTGTTCGAGTAGGCATTCGTGCAATAGGGCAAGTCGTACAAATGTAGGTATTAAATTTAGAATCCAATCCAGCTATGCTCTTGCATCCGTTGAGGACTTGTAATATCTTAGCGCCTTGTTGAAGTTAAAAAGGTTTAGTTGTGGCACAAATCGCGTACTTGGTGATGGTAAACGCGACGTGAGGCAGGTACGTACTTCTTTCCATTAAACGTACAGTGAACTTTGAAACCCACCTGCCCTGAGAGAAGACGTTGGTGGGGCAGGCAGGGACGGGGAAGGAGAGAGAAACTCAGTTCTCCACACCTTTGGATCTGACAACGGAACCTTAATTGGGTGGAAATCACATGTGCTACCTTAGGTTTGCCTGAGCCTCATCAATTAAGGGACCGGGTATGGTAATAAGTACATGGTGTTCCCACGTCCTGGATTATAGTTAAACATGTCACTAATATAAACAAAAATGTGGTTCGTCCCAGTGATAGTTCTCTTAAGATCTCTAATAATACGATCGCTTTATGGAAACGCTTTTACGCTATGATTGTCCATGATATCAACCTCCCTCCATGAAATAACCCCCACTTGCCGTAAGTATGTACAGTTCGAACGGAAACCTCTTGATTACTTCCACCACTCTCGTTGCAGTTTACCACGTAAAGCTTTCTTCTACAAAGTCCACCACGGTTGAGCCCTGCACTGCTCGGGCAGCACCCCGAACATCATCAGCAAGAGCACCAGGGCCACAGACTGTGACGCACATGGCACCCATCTGCTCTTGCACCTCTCGGGCCAGGATGAGGGGAACGTTTGGCCGTCCTGGGAACATACGCACCGTGGCGCTAGCACTGACAATATCGCGTGGGTTCTGAGGACGGGTGACGAAGATCTGGATGCGGAGTATGTCTTTTCGGTTTGGAATACGAAGAATCGTATCCATGTAGGGCCGCACCCACTCGAGAGATTCGTATTCGCGGATAATCCAGACAAGTGTGATGCGTCGAGCAGCAGTAGTGCCCTGGTTGTATCCTTCGAGGAGATGGCGAATGTACGAGATTTGGTGAGTAATTCCAGTCGAGCCGGCAAAGAGGACTGCATGGCCATATGAATCAAGGCTGTTATGTCCGGCGTAGGGACCTTCCATCGCAGCCTTGATGCGGAGACCTCGCGGGCATCTGGAGGCACGGTCGAAGAGCTTCTTAGTGAAACCTGTCTGGGCTCCAATCAGGAAAGACACTGTAGTAGTCATGGTTGACCTGTCGACTGCGTGGAGAGGATCCTTTTCCGCAATTGGTAAGCTGTTATCACGAACATGATTGACCCAGCAGATAGAGAAAGGATGGCTCTCCCAGGCACAAAGACCCCAAAAGCGTAGGTATGCGTGAGTGCCAGGCTCAATATCGACATATCGGGGTAAGTGGAGGGTGACTCGAGTGACGTTGCCGGGCATAGCCTCGCACACCGCATCAGTCCATCCCTTGGAAGACCAGTTGACAAAGACAATCCGGAGCATACGAGCGAGGCGGTCGGCGAACCAGATGGCCATGATGGCCATGATCCAGGGAAGTTGAGGTAGGCCACCTTTGAGTGCAGACGAAGCACAGTGAATCCACGTAGCGACGAAGGCAACGAAGGCTAGGACAATGTGAACGTTGAGGAAAGTCTCGTAAAAGGCATGACGCAAAGGCGAAACGGAAAGCAGAAGGAGGAAGGTCATAGCAACCGTGCCAACGGCTCCCGAGCCTTCAAAAAGTCCATGGGAAAGTTTATGGCCAACACCACCCCAACCCAAGTCATCCACGGCGACAATGAGCCAGGCGATAGTGTGGATAATAGACTCGAGGACCACAATACGACCCATCCATCGATGTAGAAGATTGTAGGTGTCAAAACTGATCTTGAGCAGGCCAATGAGGAGGTTGTTGCGCCCAGCGAAAATAATTAAGGGCACCATGTTGACAAGCGCCAAGGTTCCTGAGCGGCCTCGTAACTCGGCACAGAAAGCAAGCTTGTTCTCATTGTGCCAGTTGAGGACGAACATATAGGCGAAGTTGCTGCCCAGGTAGATGAAGAGGATGATGAAGTGAAGTCGCGAAGGAAGGGTTCCCATGCTAATAGCAGAGGATAGCTTGAACTCTCGGTTGTGACGTTTGTTCCACAGAGGAGCGTATATGAGGTTCTTCTTGACGTTTGGCATCCAGCTCCATTGAGATATCCTCCAGTACGCTTGTTTGGAGCCGGACACGTTCATGGCAGACACCTGTCGGAGTCTCATCCACAGGATCTCAATTATTCTGATGGACAGAACAACAAGGGCCATGATGCCCAAGGTCCACCACAAGGCATCTTTAAAAAGTAAATTCATAGGTTGGTTTACACCATCGAGATTTGAGTGATAGTTTGGAGTTGCCTCAGCATCTGCAGGAACGGCTTCGCCACGAGATTTGAGGGTTGATGTTGGTATGTATGAGCTGATATCGGCGATCCTGCGCCGTGTGAAATCCATCTTGTTAAGTAGTTGCTCTCTGGGAGCAAGTGTAGTAGGAAATGAGAGTCGGCTTCTTTTTATCCGGTTCTTTGGGCGAATAAAGAGGGAGAATTCGCAGTTCGCTGTGAATGAATGATGGACAATATAATTGTGCGACGAACAAAAGGTCCCGAATAAGAGTCAAGAGGTCAGTGGTGGTTTTAAAGAAAGTAGGTGTATGCTGTTCCTCCTTGTGTTCGCTCTTTGGTGTCAGAACATGATGGTAAACAAATGATTGACTTGGCGCTTGTGTCGATAAATCGTGATCGGCGAGCGAGATGTTCAGTGGTGACTTGGGAGATTTGGTGCTGGTGAAGGTGTGTTCAACACAAAATGTAACGCAGCGCGAAGGCAAAGAACAATAAACGATCCGCGGAGAACAAGGCTGACTTGGGTATTGATCACTGTCGCTACAAGGCAGTTCTCAATGACGTAGGAAGTCCAAGTCGTCTTCACCTCGTCCACAAGGTGATGATGTTCCCAGTTGCAGTTGGAAAGAAAGCAGGCCAGGCTGACGATCTCCAACTTTGGGCGGATTTGGATCAGCGGTAAAGAACGGGTCGATGTCAATTGCCGCGAGTAAGTGAAGGGCAAGGGCGAATTGAGACACAGGCCAATCGATAAAGGCAGGCGTTTAAGACGATCGACGTTGACGTTTGGGCGCTTGCGCGAGTAGAATGATAGTGAATGGAATAATTGAGGTAGGAATTGAGGCGCTTTGTCGCAACACACAAGACAATACCCAAATAATGAATGATCGACCGGAGGAAACAATGACAATCGAAGCCAAGCGGGAAACGGTTGTTTTTCAATGTTTCAACCTGTTCTGAGACTCGAAACCCCAAGCAGAGACAAACACGAGGGCGAGAACCGGTGAACAGTGGTCGACAGTGACGAAAGCAGTCTTGTCAGGCGGATTGAGGTAGAGAGTGGCCAGCCTCAGCTAAGAATGTTTCAATGGTCCAGAGGACGAAAGAAGACAAAAATAAAAATAAAACAGGGGGAAAAAAAAACCACCGTAAACGGCACGAAGCAAAGACCAAGAGGAATGAAGAGGCAATACATGAAGCCCAGCGGAGCAGACGTTGTGATAATATGTAATTGTAAACGGGTCCCCCCAGCTCAAGTTAGTCCGCCACTTGACTTGTCAGCCCAGATACAGTGGGCAATCAGCATTCAACTTAGCCGAAAAGGCTGTGTACAACTCGTCTTGGCGCTGAAAGAATTTACTCGCACAGCAGGGCATGGCATGGCAGAGGATCCCCTCCCTGTTCGTCTCTATCACAAGGAGCCCCTTACAGACTTCTAGGCTCGGCACCGCAGAGTCTGGATGGATGGATATAACTGGGACCCCCTGCAGGGCGTGCTGTTTCCAGCTATGAGCCGTAAAGCCGAGAATTCAATCCATATCGATCTGGTTGGACCGCGCATTACACTACGTCTTCCGATGTCTTACAATACAAGAGCTACAAGATTCATGGCACAACGAACCACGAGCGTTTAAGCGCATCTTACACAAGTGCCTAGGAACTTTAGCACCTGACTCTAAAAAGCCTCCATCAGCTGCAGCACGGCAGGGGCACTCCCAGCAACGGCGTGGCTTCGCAAGATATGGCCAATTGGGCGAGAGATGTCGCTAGCAGATCTCAGAATTAGGCCTCCGGCGGAAAAGGAACATTATTTAGTGGCTGCTTGTTGGCAGATCCTGGTAACTCAATGCTTCTGAAACCAGCCACTTGCTGGCCCTTGCTCAGGGGACCACCCAGGCCCCCTTTTGGAATGGCGAATGGGAAACTCCAAGTTTTCTGCTCCAACTCTTCAGGGGTGGACTGGCTGTCAAAGGCCAGACCTGCTGCAAGAATGTGGGCACTTGAGCACTTACAGCGCTTCGTAGCCACTCAATGCCCCGCAGCATTGCCGCCAACGACTCATTCTCTCAGAGGCATCCGGTCAGGAACGCTCGCTCTCGTATCACAAGCTCAAGTTCAGCACCGCCGCGACACGTTTCCAGACGACAAAATGTTTCCTGTTTGATGTTTGGATAAACGCATCGGTTTCTAGTTTCTCGTCTCATTGTTCCTCTGACGCAATCCTGCTCAGAGTGGATGAAAATGGGCTGACTGAAACATCCTACGGCTTAGACGGCAAACCATGAGGGGCATCTGTCATGCCATGAACCACAACCATGATGGCAGCTCCCATACTTCACCAAGACTTTTCAACTCAAGGCTTCGTCTCCTCGCTTAGCACAACAGATTGCCAATGCGGACCAAAAGCCTCAAGAGACAAGGTATTCAAAGATGCTCCCTGCAAACATCATTGCCAAGGGTCAGACGCGGCCCGCAATCTTCATATTTTCTCGTTCTGTGGTTGATGGAATTCTGTTTCGACGTCAGTTTGATCCTGCGGCCCAGCTAGCCTGTCCGCCGTCTAGCATGATAACGGAAAAATGACCGCTGGATATCCAGGCCCACGAGGCTCTTGATCCTTTGGCGCACATTGTTATCAAGTCAACTGTCTTGGCGTCACAGATAAAATTATCTAGTGCCTGAATGCTCGCTTCCGACGCCTTGGTAAGCTACATCCGATGTATACAGCCCCACGAGCGGGCGCTATCTCGATTCTAGAAATGGAAACCTCAAGGCCCCTTGAGGAGATTGTCCTGAACCTGATGCTTGCGTTAATCCTTGAATCCTATCGGCCAGTCAAGCCGCGACCTTACAGCAGGACTTCGTAAGCTGGGTCGCCGTGACATTGCCATTCTTTGCATCGGCAGGCATTGGCTTCTGTAAATCGCTATGATCTTGGAACAGGCCATGTTACCCCAACATCAGATCGTAATAAGCGCGGGCTTGGCCGGTGTTGTGAGTTTGTCACTGTTTGTGGGAAGATAGATTGCCGATAGTGGCATGTTTGTTGAATCATCATCGCAAGTAGCACGGACATCGTCCTGTGTCAAGCCTCCTTGATCAATGTCATGCATTAATTACAATACAAGTGGCGTGTGGTGTAATAGTTTCGGTGACCGTATTCTCGGTCGCAGGTGAGGCGCCACACTCAAGCGCCACACGAGGCGTCGCTTGACGGGATGAATTCGCAACCTCAGGCAGCCACGGATCGCCGCTCCGTGACGCACCCGAATAACGCCGGAAATTTCCAGGAAGGCTATCACGAGCCGGGCATTGAACATCGGTTGTACAGCCATTGCGGTCGACACAATGGGTTCCAGCGAGTCGAAACCAATCTCCTCACATGTGTGGAAGGCGTAAGTTAATCCAGTTATGGAGGGTATGCTACTATATTCCGATCAGTGACTAACAGCTTGCCAATAAACAGCTCAGCGCCTAACGGACTGTCACAAGATCTCGTTGATTCACTACAATCCAGCAATGAGGTACTTCTACCCGCATCGACTTACTAGTATATTCTCCACGAGCGTCAACCGAAGCTAATGCACGTTCTCTTGATTCTAAATAGACCGATGCCTCTCGTTCCAAGATAGTCGAGCTCCAGATCCAGGCCCGCGTGGCCGAGGAGCTCAAGAAGCTACAGCAGAAAGAAGCCGAAGCTCTCAAAATAGCACACGAGAAACTCGCCAGCGCCGATTTCAAAGATGACAACAGCACGAGCCAGTACACCGTCAGCAAGGAGATTGAAGCCATGCGTGAGAAGCTCGAGTCACGCAAGCAAGTGCGTCCTCTGCCCGAGAGCGTTGAGGGAGCACGCAATGAAGTCATTCGATGTCTGCGGGAGCACGACCGACGGCCGCTCGACTGCTGGCAGGAGGTGGAGAACTTCAAGGCCGAAGTTAAGAAACTTGAGAAGAGCTGGGTCGAGAAGGTCGTCTCGTAGAGAGAGAAGGAAAACTGATAATGGGAATGGGGACTGATTCTATAGAGATATAGAGGTGATGGGCTCTGGTATGCCCAGACAGGTACGCACGTGTACATTACGGCATTGGTAGCGGGAAAAACTAGGTTGAGGAATCAAAGTGTACAACTTATATCTCAAAGAGGAGTCCTGCGTCTTCCTCCTTTCCTGATTTGGCGCGGTCTGATTCTGGTTCTGTCTCTTGCTTGGCTTTCAGCTCGGCTTTCTTTCGCAGGCCCTCAGCACGCTTCCTTTCTCTTCTCGCTGCAGCGTCCTCCCATTCTTGTCCTTCAGGGTTTAGACGTGGTACTGGAGCAGAGATAGCGTCTCTGAAGGCGTTTTGGAAGCGTTCAATGCGCTTCTTATTCTCGATAAAACGCTCATTGGCAATCTGGACGAGGGTCTGGAGGTACTCGGGTGAGACTATGCGTTGCCGATGGCCGTCAACTTGCTGCCCGATGAGAGACTCAAAGGCAAGTCCCATTGTCCGTATAGCCACCATAGGAGTGGCAGCATCCTTGCCATTCGGGATGATATTGAGGGCACCCGACTCACGAAACCCTGCCTGTAGGCCGCAGCGCAGAAGTAGTTGAGCATGTTCCGGTGATGCTGTGAGGACGTGGAGGATCTACGTAATATCTCAGTATGAATGTTCTTTGTATTATATAATGCCTTTCCGCTATATTCGATACAGCACAATTTCTGCTTACCATTGCCTCGTACTTGAAGTGAACAAGTCTTCTCTCTTTCGGTTCTCCAGATGTCTCCTGTGCCTCTGTACATTTCTGGAGTCCAAATAAACTGCTCCAGTCTGTACTTCCACTCTTGTCAGGTACTGGATCATGGGAAACGAACAGCCAAGCTCCCCCAGCGCCTTTTCCACCAACACCTGCTACCTGTTCATCTTCTCCTTCAGTGTCAGCAACTCTCCGCCCTTCAAGAAAAACGCTGACACGGCCTGCACAGCTGCTAGTAGTGACAAATCCGGATTGTTGGTTGATTTCATCAATGAGATCCCTGATGCCCTCATCTATAGAGCCTTTCGGTGAAGCATCCGTGTATTCTGTATCTGGAATTGCAAGTTGTTCGAGAATCTTTCTCTTTCTTTCAACAAAAGCGGGCGGAGAAGAAGCGAGTTCCTGCATATTGGCAAGAGGCAAGACTTTTTATTTGTTAACAGTGGCGCGAGGCTGAAAAAGGTCACGATGGACAGTTGTAGGTAGCACTAAAGGGTAGGTCAAAGGGCTCAGATAAGACGATATCAGAATCTGGCAGTGGGGATGTGATGTTTTGTTAGCTCGAAAACTCATGTCTTAACGCGGGGTAGGTAGCTTATCATTGTGGCTCCAACCTCGTGATCCTGATTACCATTGACATTTGACCTCATTTCTCATAATTGATATCGCAGATCTCACTATCAAAGACACATTTGAGAAGTTTGGTTGATTCTTTCATTTATTGTTCTGTCTGCAGCCTGCGACAGATCTATCTGCTCAGTCATGTGCTTGCTATTCCTCCATTGCACCCAGCTTCCTGTATTTTTCCTAACGCCGTTCAATGATTCCCGAAATACCAAAAGCTCCATTCGGCTCAGTCACGATAACTGCTGAGCCAGCTTATCTCCTTAAACGCCTCGCATAATGCCTCAATCATTAAGTCATCAAAGATAAGTGGTTGTCTGGGTGCAAGTGCACTCATACGGTGGGCAGAGCCACTTTCTCGAGAGCAGCAGCAAGCTTCTCCTCTTGTTGCTTGCGCTCCATCATAGCAACGAACTCGGCGTATCGAGACTTCTTGTTGTGGATACCACACTCAGTCTTGTCTTGGCCCTTCCATCGGCCAGCTCGCTCGTCTTCACCCTCCTTGACGGGGGCAGTAGAGTGCCAGTCGCCGATGGACTTGTAGCCTTGGTCGAGGAGAGCGTTGTAGGGAACATTGTTCTCCTTGATGTAGTTGTTGACCTGCTTGAAGGACCAAGTGGCCAGAGGGTTGATCTTGACAACACCACGCTCATCGTCAACTTCGATGATGGGGATGGATCCACGGGCAGCACCCTGAGATCGTCGACGACCGTTGAGGACGGCAGCAACCTTGAGCTCATCATAAGCTCGCTGGAGAGGCTCGACCTTGGCAATCCAGTCATACATCTCACTGGCGGTGTTCCACATCTCCTTTCCGTACATGTCCTCGAACTCTTCGGTAGTGTTGACGCCATCGGGCTTAAAGATGTGGACAGGGACGTTAGGGTATCGCTCCTTGACTCGGTCGACAAGGTCGTATGTCTCCTTGAAGTGGTACAAGGTATCCAAGAAGATGAGGTCGACAGTGGGAGAGTTTGGGTGCTCCTTCTGGATCTTGGAGAGCATGTCCATGGTTGCGAGACCGGTCAAGCCAAAGGCAGTCGATTGGTACAGGTTAGGGAACATGACCTTGCAGAATCGAAGTATGTCCATGGGGTGCATATCCTCGAGCATGTTGTTGAGATGATTGATGTGGGCCTTGGTGAGAGAGACCTGGGGTAGAGTGGTTGATGATGATGGTGACGAGTATTCTGAGTTTTGTCCAGAGACATAGCCTGACTCGCACTCAAGCTTGATGTCGGTGAGTGACACCTGCGAGGATGTTTGGGAGATGAAGGCAGGCATGTTCAAGACGCGGTGATGGTGTTTCGAAGATGAGTTGTTACTTGGACTTGTTGAAAGCTGGGATAGGTGAGGAGCGTATCCCAGTTATATCTAATCGGCAGCCAAAGGTAACGTAGAGTGAAGAGGCTCTAGTCGAGTTGATGACGCAGATACTGTGCTGATTTGATTATAGAGCAGGATTTTAAAGCACTGGAAAGACGAGATGACGAACACGATAATGAACGAGGACAGTCAAATTCTTAAGTTAAGTCAAGAGAGAGGGAGACGGAGAGGGAAGAGACGTGCTGAGTTGTATGGGATTTACAAGCTATGTCCGGGCGACCGCCCGCTGTGCCCCCGATCAAGGGCGTCCTTAGTAATGTGCAAGGACATCGTCCGAACCCGAGAGTATTCTGCCTGTGACGAGCCCAGGACGTGGAAAAAGATGGGGAGCTGCAATTGCGCAATCGCCGCCATGAGGATTAACGACTATGAGTTGCAACTGAGACTGATCACGACATCGACGCTATACCTTTCGCGATGGGGGCGCCACGCTCAGGACAAAGCCTGATTGGCCTATGGACCAAAGCCCTGAAATGGCGCCCAGCAGATGGGACTTGTTTTGCCTCACCTCATCCCGGACAACGACATAACTTCGATACAGCCGCCGAGCCGGAGGTCCATTGGGCCTTTTCTTCGGTGGGACTATAGGTAGCGGCAACCCCGGAGGTTGGAGGTTATCATCATCATGCGAGCAGAAGGTTCTATAAGCATCGCTTAGAAATTATATGGTCTTTATCTGGCTCATCTCGCAATCAAAGTCGAATCCCATGTTATCTAGATCTGGGGATGTATTGGATTGGCGAGATCAGATGGAGTCAATGACTGACTAGGGCCATTGCATGATTATGAGCACGAGGGCAGGTTCCCCGCGATCATGTCATTTTGGCTTGGGTTGCGAAATTCTAGTATCCCCGGAGGAAGCGAATATGCTTTCCGTTTACGATGATAGTGTGTCACTCGATGTATGTATGTATCTCCGTCGCAAGAATGAGCCATTGTGTTGTCACATCCTGAGATCGATGATATCAAAGTTGTTGATGACTTTTTGAGTTAGGCTTCATGCGGGCCGACAGCTCGATGCCTGTATTCCAACCCGTATGAACGCACAACGAACAAGTTAAATTCCAGTTATAAAATTATGCCGGCGTCGTACATGCTCCCAAAAAGACGTGCTTCAAAGGCGGGCAGCCGGTGCGGCAGTCGGTCTTTGTCAATATGAGGTTCGGAACATCGGTACCGAGGAACCGTGCGACTGCCGTTGTGCCTGGCTCCAGTTTAAACAATTTTTTCTCCTCTTCGGGACTATTCGCACGAGGGATTAAGGTTAGGCCGTGTCCCGATAGTTGAGTGCTCACTAATACGGGTTTAACAATGAAATGCCAAACGTGCTGACTTATCAAGCTAACGTGGAGATCTCTGGTCCTAATCTCAAGCTACGTCATAATCCCAGCTCGTTGCTTGCGTCATTGCTTTATCAATGTGACCGTACTCTACAATTTTGTTGATTTTCGCTCCTGGGTGAGCCAAGTCTTCATCATCTCAATGTTTCCTTCATGAGTTTACACATACAGTTTGCTATCAAAACCGAGCCATATGGCGCCAACCCAATGAGCTAACTTGATGACCAAAGTCAGGACTCCAGCAAGACAAACTGTGGGCTACAACTACGACCTCCAGAGCTTTACCACAGACAATTCATCAGAGTTGCATACATGTTAAATTAAACTCACGTGATTTTCCAGGTTCATTGAAGGTCTTCATCAAAATGACAAAACCCGTGAGGCTGCGGGCTTATTTGCACCAATCATACCCTAGACCAAGCCTGACAGGAGCCGCAGAAGCCGTAAGGTCAAAGTCGCACGAGCCATTGGCGGGGCTAAACACGGAGAGAAGTGCCCTGGCGAAAGACAACCTACGCTCACTACCCTCTCACCTTTGAAGATTGATTCAACGCAAGCTTCTAGGGTCCGTTGCTCGCTGTACCATAGGCGCTTGCGCGTCATCGCTTATCCTATCTACGTTGATTTAAACATTTCTTAGTCTCCTTTCTGGGCTTAAAACCTCGTATCTCAGCTCTTCCCTGACGCTATTGATTACCAGAACCAGTCAGAGCCAGTCAATCAGACGTTAGCAAATCTCACCCCGCGCACGCACGCAAGTACAGTACACACACAAACAGGCAGTCAACACAATGGCAGACCAGACAAGTCCCACCAAACAGAATGTCACACGGCCGCAGCTGGGCTCCACGAGGAGCAGCTCATACCTTAGTGATCACCAGGAGTACCGCCCTCCTCGACCCGAGTCAGCTCGACAGGATCAGCTGTTCCACGGCATTGACACCGTTATAGAGGACACCAGCAACTCACCCGTTCCCCAGACAAGGCCTATCTTGCCCTTCAATGGCATCCCGTCTGAGGAGAACCCCCCTACTGTCGTCGACAGTGGACTGAGCCACTCGTACTCTCACCCCAATTGTGCCCCTAGAGCTGGTGAGAAGACGGATCGTCTTATCGCGACCCTTTTCTATAAGCCAAGGGGTGAGGACCAGGGCTCCAGATCTCCCGTCAAAACCACTTTTGCGGACAGTAACGAGTCTCTGCCCGCCAACTTGGCCCCGACAACCGATCCCAATGAGTATCCTCTGGAGCCGCCAACTCAGGAGTCAGAGCAGCTGGACCACATCTATGGTTCCTATATCTCACCTCTATGCATCACCTCATTCCTCCACCTCATGTCTTCATTCCCTCTTCCTCAGGACGCCGATGAGCCTCACTCCTCTCATCGATGTTTGGATAACCAGGAGCAACCGCGCATTGTTGAGCTCACGCTCTCTCCTACGCCATCACCCGAATATCTGAGCCTGGATGACCTGAGAAAGCATGAGATGATCTACCGATTTGAGCAGGAGTGGAACGTCGATGTGGTCCTTCAGCGAGATACAGTGTGGAGACGCCACCCTCGACTTGTGGTTTTCGACATGGACAGCACACTCATCACTCAAGAGGTGATTGACCTTTTGGCTGATCATGTCAAGGATCCCCCAGATCTGGCTGCACGAGTTGCCGAGATCACGCACCGTGCCATGATGGGCGAGCTGGAATTTGAGGCTTCTTTCCGCGAACGAGTTGCTCTTCTGAAGGGCCTCCCTGCCAACCTGTTCGAAGGCCTTCGGCCAGTATTGGATGTCACCAAGGGCGTACCAGAGTTGATCAAGGCCTTCAAGCGACTGGGTGTCAAGACAGCTGTTCTCTCAGGCGGTTTCCAGCCTTTGACAGGATGGCTAGCTGGCCAACTGGGCATTGACTACGCCCACGCGAACCATGTCGTTATTCAGGACGGCAAGTTCACAGGTGAGGTTGAGGGGGTCATTGTCGGCAAGGAGCGGAAGAGGGATCTTCTCGTTGACATTGCTGCCAAGGAGGGCATTGATCTGTGTCAGGTCATTGCTGTTGGCGATGGCGCTAACGACTTGCTCATGCTGGACGAGGCAGGTCTGGGAGTTGCATGGAACGCAAAGCCTCGTGTTCAGATGGAAGCTAACGCCCGCCTGAACGGAGAGAGTCTTTTGGATCTCTTGTACCTTCTTGGATTCACTTCCGAAGAGATTGATGCGTTGGTTGTTTAGTTGTCGGCATTGAGTTCAGACAAAGTTGTCACAAGACTGGTGAAGACAGGAGTTTAGGATATTACAAGGAACGCCGGGTGTTGTAGTAGTGAGTGATGAGATACCAAGAAGCAACGAGAAACAAGAGTTATTTTGTGACGTATGTGGAATCATACCACGTCACTGGTGTGATTGGCAGCCCATGTGAACATATCCAGACCAGCCTTTCGCCCGGTCAATTCCCGTGAGCCAGAGATCAGGCACAGACACAATGAGGCCAGAGACAAGTCAAATTATAGTTGAAAGACACAAAGCTAAGAAAAATCGCGGCGCGTCGTATGTGAACTATGGGTGGTTGCTTAGATCAAGCCCATTTTGTCCTTCTTCTTTCTACACAGGGCGTGAGAGACCTGACTGATCCAACTCATAAGCTCCCCCCCCCATTCCCTACAATACATGCTTGTTCATGTAGCCAGCTCCAACATCATTCCAAACTCGTGATTTAAGGGTATCCGTCCTTGCCCCACTTGTTGTACTTTTCATGAAGCTCGGCGGGAAGGGTGACGTTGGGAACGACGACAACGTTGAGAGCGCTGGGAGCGTCCTTGGGAGCTGCGTTGGGGTCACCGCCGGGGTGGTACTGGTACTTGCCAGAGCTGCCGCTCTCCCAGGGGTGAGTAGCAATGGTGACGGGAGACTCGGAGGTAGCGCCAGTAGGAGATCGGCCTGAAGATGGCGATGTCAGCAATTGCTTCAGTTTTGACATATCAATTGATTTCCGTACCAAGGTAGTAGCCAGCACCGCCAAGGGCAGCAACCATAACACCACCGAGAATCTACAGATCATCCATCTACGTTAGCAACCATAATTCGTGGTCCATTTCCGTCGCTCATTGTTTTGGCTGGGCATAGTTCCAAGGGTGGGCCGAGGCATTATGACGCACCAGAATCTCAGGGTTGCGACGAGACTCCTTCTTGAGCTCAGCCTTCTGGTGCTCCTGGAAGCGGCGGGCGGTGGTGGAGAGGAATCGGCGGGAGATGCGAGAGGCCATTTTGACGACGTGCTTTTGTGTGCTGTTGAAGAATGGGTTTCTACGTCGGGGCTTTCTTAGGTGGTTGAAGCTTTGAAGTTCTCGTATGATTTCGGAGACAGTCGCTACGATGAATGCGTGCACTATCATTGGCCAATGCCGGGGGAGCTGAGAAGGTCACGTGCAACATCACGATTTACAAGGAATGACGTCTTGAGTTGAGTCCAGAGCTTTCTAGCGATGATGCCTGGATAACCAGGCCACAAGCTGGCTTTCCACCATTCTTGTCCCTGGCTAAAGCATGAAAGATTCGTTCATTGTGATGCAGCGACGATCATATCAACCTCTTAAAGCCAAGACTAGTAAATTTAGCTGGCTTCGGTCGAGTTTTAAGTGAATGCAACCATTATTAACTGAGCTACCGTAACCGAAGTTATTCTGGGACTGGCTGTCAAACGTCAACGAAACGGGTTGCTGCAGAAGGTTTCCACAATCTGTTGAAAGTGGCGTCTTTCTGTGCATGAGAAAGGTACAGAGCATTTTGATTACGGCGTATGCGTCCAGCCATAACAATCTCTACTTTCCGTGATCAGTTATCGTATGGAGTTCTCAACCTTTGACAGCCCTTACACCAGCGCCGCTAGCAGGGGCTCCAGTGACCTGAGGTTAGCCCCTGGCCCCTTACTAGGGGCCCGAGGACAGCTTGGGAGAGCGCGAACGTCCAATTACCTAAGGATTCGGGCCCAAGGTTTCTGAGGCTGGACTGGGCTGGGCTTGGAAAAAGAAACCAGTCCTGAGCCGGAACAAGGACAAGACAGGACAGGAAAAAGGAACAAGCATACACCTCCTCCTCATCTTGTCACCATCCATCACCTTTCTTTTCGTTGCTGGCCGCCCTTTACGTTCTCTTTTACTTACTGGTTTACTCTCCAATTGTGCGCTCCCTACCTACCTTGCTTAACTATCCGTCTCGCGACCACATTCTCCTAATTCCTTTTCCCACGATCGAAACCCGTATCCTCTCACCCCTGTCCTTCCATCCCTTCATTTGGCTCCTTTGTACAGTACTGCGTAACGCGACCAACCTGCCGACCGTGCCGATTTCATTTTTGGATATCATTCGACACTACCTATTCACTGGCCAGTCGACGAATTTAACGAGACTCTGAATGAGAGGCTGAGCTTGGACCTTTCGCGCCAACGTTCCCTTAATTTCGATCAAGACTTCCTGTAAAGTCGTCTCCAGGTAGACGACTGCGAACGACACCATTACTCAACATTGCCATCGCTATGGCCGCGAAATCCGATGACGATGGCTTCTCAGCGCCACATAATTCCCGTTCCGAAGCGGCCCGGCCGCCGAGCATCATTTCTTCTCGAATGACGGACATCGCGAGTGAGGACGGGGACGGGCCAGAGTTGCAAAAGAACAGAATGAGCATTCCTCGAAGTGCGGACATGGGTTCCCGGCCTGATACTGCACGAACGGGAGCATCTTCCAGGGGTCCATGGCAGGGTCAGTCTTTGCGTAACAAGACATATCTTTCTGGCGTACAAGCAAAGAGAGGGAGTGTCGAGAGTTCGACTGCCGGTTCTACAAGTCAAGCGCCAAGTTTATCAAGCAGAAGCCATGTTCCATCGTTGCAGTCGCATGCCTTTTTCCGACCCATGAGCTCGCAGAAATTACAGGCGCAAAGAGGAGGATCGCATCGCCCATCTACAATGAGTCAAATGTCGCCAGCGTCTCCCACCTCACCAACGTCACCAACATCGCCAACGTCACAACAAAGATTCGATGAGCACGGCGAAGCTAGCGGTAGTCAAACACGGCAAAGTATCATATCGAACCCGATTGCGCAACTGCAGCGCCAAACAAGCAATGACGAAAACATGCGATCTCCACCATCCCGAGGCACGGAAATGACGGAACAAGAAACTTTGGACAGAATAACAGCGAATACGAGCCCTAGTCATGGCCATTATCCCGCGGGGAGTTTGACGGATAGTGTTCGTCCTCTTCAACAAGGCAAGACTTCCGATACAGGTCACTTTCAGCATAACATCATTGTGGACAAGAGTTATAAGGACCTACACAACCTGCCCAGCCCGATTAAATCTCCACGGTCGTTTCGATCAAGCTTCCTCATGCCTGGTCGAAGTAACGAAGGCCAGCAAAGTCAGAATCGCAGTACCGAAGGAGCTGAGAAACTCTCTTCGTCCGCATCCTCACCACAGTTCAGACCTGTAGACTCTCATACTGAACGTCATCCCCGTGTCCCTCATAAGTCGAGTCAGAAATCCGATCTCGGACGTGTTCATCAGTATTTCGATGGCAACACAGTATTCTGTCTCGGTGGTCGCTGGCAAAACACAAGAGGGAGACCTGTTAATATTGCGACTGGTATCTTTGTCATCATTCCTTGCGCCCTGTTCTTTGGTTTTGAAGCACCTTGGTTATGGAAGCATGTATCGCCTGCGATACCTATTGTGTTTGCATACCTTGCGTATGTATGTTTCTCTTCATTCATCCACGCCTCCGTTACGGATCCTGGGGTAAGTTTTATCTCTTGCTCAAATCAAGGTGTGTTTCGGCTAATGCTTGTCAGATTCTTCCACGAAATCTTCACCAGTTCCCCCCTGTCGACGACAACGACGACCCTCTCCAACTTAGCCCACCCACAACAGATTGGGCATTGATAAAATCTGCCGAATCATCAACAGCCGCAATGGAAGTTCCGGTTAAGCACTGTAGAACATGCAATATCTGGCGGCCACCCCGTGCCCACCACTGTCGCTTATGCGATAACTGTATTGAGACCCATGATCATCACTGCGTGTGGCTCAACAACTGTGTCGGGAAACGTAACTACCGATATTTCTTTACCTTTGTTACATCCGCAACTATCCTCGCGGCCTATCTCATCGCCACTTCTCTTACACAGATTCTTCTTTACAAGAATCGTGAAGGTGTCTCATTCGGAAAAGCTATCGATCACTTCCGAGTTCCTTTTGCGTTGGTATTCCTTGGGTTTATCTCCTTCCTTTATCCTGCTGCTTTGATGGGATATCACATCTTCCTCATGGCGCGAGGCGAAACGACCAGAGAGTACATGAACTCACACAAGTTTGCTAAGAAGGAGCGTTTCCGGGCATTCTCTCAGGCCAATATGTTCAAGAACTTTATTGTTGTTCTATGCCGCCCTCGACAACCCACATATTATCAGTTCAAAGCGCATTATCATGAAGGCGACCAACGCCTAGGCATTCGAAGAGACAAGCGGCCGAGATCGAGCTCTCAGGGATTGGAAATGCACGACGTCGTCCCTGGAAGTTCTGGTTTCCAAGGCCCAGTGGCTCTGAGAAGTGAACAGAGTCATTAGCCGATGCACTGAAGTAGAATTTTACTCTTGCATTGTAATTGTATTTTCTTTTTTTCAAGATGGCGTAGCTTCTGGGAAGTATTCATCATGTGAGGTGGTCAGGATGATATGATGCCTGTTTCTTTCTTCTTTTATTATACCCTACCTACCTTATGTTAACTAGTCGACCACATTTCATGTATTCATTCCCCTTTTGTTTTTAGCACAGACTCTGGAAAAGTCGGTAACTTATGGTATAGCCACTGACATACGGGCGTTGAGCGGGCATTGACTGGGAAGACGAGCCTTGGCTGTGATACATATCTGAGACTTATTTAGATACCAGTCAGTTTAAGCCACTAGATTCACTTTTCTCACACACCATTTTTGCTTTACATGGAGTGAGTGATGTCCAGAACTTTAATCGAATTAGTAACTGACAAAATAGGGAATGCATTTAAGTTGCCTCTAGATCGGTAACTCTAGAATCGCATATCAAGAGTCCACTAAATGAGTCCCCGGAATGCACGTGGAAATAAACAAGGATAGGCTTTAGTGGGGCGGAGTCTCCGAGTGGATGGCGATAAGACAACCGCCGCTAGCGATAAGAAAAATTTCAAACCGAAATTTAGTAGTGCGCCCAACCTATGAAAGTCGCTTTGTTTTACCTAACATCCATCGTAAGCAGCGTTTTTTCTACGCTCGCTACCTATTTTTCCCTCAAGGGCCTCGTTGGTTTTTGTTGTTCTTTTTTTTCCCCTTCTTATTTCTACTGTCCTCTCCTGGAGCAGTACCTAATAGTCAACGAGGCCCATTAATCGTATATATTTGTTTGCTTATACGAAGAAAACGATAGACGATGCCTCACCCCGTTACGCCGCCGTCGCAGGACCCGACGATGGTATCTAATGAGGCCCCGCCCCCGCCATCTCAAGAAACCATCAACGACCTCCTCAACACAATCTTTACTGCAAAGACCTCGGCCGCTTCGATAGATGCATGCTATGGCCTGTGCGAGATTATCCTCTCTTCGGTTGGCGTTGCCGGCTTGAACGAGTACGGCATAATTGCCGAGATCAAGAAGGCTGCCGCTGATAAGAAGTCGGGTCTTCGTCGCGAGTCCAGTCAGAACCTTCTAGGTGCCGTCTTTGAGCGTTTCCTCCCTCGACAGCCTGTCAGCGAGGTTGTTCTGCTCCTCCAGGATGGCGGTCTTGTCGGCTGCGCTCTCGATGCTCTCTCTGATAAGGGCGCTGTCGTCCGCGAGGCCGCCCAGTATGGCCTCGATGCCGCTTTTGGCATCCTGAGCCCCGAGGCTCTCGTCGCTGGTCTCCTTCCTGCTCTTACCGAGTACCTTTCCAAGAAGACCGGAAAGTGGCAGGGAACCGTTGGCGCCTACAAGCTTCTTCAGAAGATGGCCGATAAGGCTCAAATTTCTATTGGAGGCACCAAAGAGGAGGCTCTTGAGAAGGATATCCTCCGTGAGGCCATGGGTGCTAAGCTCGCTGGCTTGATCCCCATCGTCGAGAATGGCATGCATGACTTGAAGGCAGAGGTCGAGAAGCAAGCCGTCCACACCATGAACTCTCTCACTACCCTTCTCTCCAACGACGATGTTGCTCCTCGTATCCCTCTTCTTATCGATACCATGCAGCACCCTTCTTCTCAGACTCTCCAGAAGGCTATTCACGCTCTGTCTCAGACTACCTTCGTCGCCATCGTCACCTCACCCGTCCTGGCTCTTCTGACCCCTTTCCTCGAGCGATCTCTTAACAACCCCACCACTGCCCAGGAGGTTCTCCGACAGACTGTCGTTATTGTCGAAAACTTGACAAAGTTGGTCCACGACCCCATTGAGGCCCGAACTTTCTTGCCCAAGCTGATCCCTGGTGTCAAGAGCGTTTGCGACCGAGCCTCGCTCCCTGAGGTTCGCGAGATCGCTGAACGTGCCCTCGCCACTATGGAGAAGGCTATGGGTGACGATAAGGACGTTGTCGCTCGTACCGCTGGAGACGATGTAGCCAAGATTCTTGATGAGCAGATCAAGGCCAACGGCGGCCTTGCTGGAAGCCTGGACCTCTGGAAGCAGGCTCGTCCCTATATTTCCGACATGGTTGCTATCGATGTCAACTACCGATTCGTCAATCGCATCTCTGGAAGAATTGCTCCCTACGTCAAGAGTTTCGTGAAGGATGCTGAGGCTCCTCAAAAGATTGCCGACACTATTCAGCAGCATTATGTTGATGAGGACCACCGCCGGTACGGTGTTCCTGAGAAGGAGGACGACGGTGAGGTCGAGATTGTCAACGCCGATTTCTCTCTCGCCTATGGTGGTATGCTGCTCTTGTCACACACCAACCTGCGACTCCTCAAAGGTCACCGATATGGTCTTTGCGGCCGCAACGGTGCTGGAAAGTCTACTCTCATGCGAAGCATTGCTAACGGCAAGCTCGAGGGATTCCCTCCTCAAGACGTTCTCCGTACCTGCTATGTCGAGCACAACCAGGGCGAAGACGCTGACATCAGCATTCTTGAGTTCGTTGCTAAGGACCCTGAGATTGCCACTCAAGGCCGTGAGCGTATCTCTGAGGTTTTGGCCGAGTTCGGCTTCACTGCTGGCCCCGAGGGTCGACAGGCTGAGAGAGTTGGTTCCCTTTCTGGAGGTTGGAAGATGAAGCTGGCTCTGGCCCGAGCTATGCTCCAGCGTGCTGACGTTCTCCTTCTGGACGAACCTACTAACCATCTTGATGTTGCCAACATCGCTTGGCTCGAGAACTACCTCAAGTCTCATCCCGACATCACCAGTCTCATTGTTTCTCACGACTCCGGATTCCTGGACAATGTCACAACTGATATTTACCATTACGAGCCTAACAAGAAGCTGGCTTGTTACAAAGGTAACCTGGCCAATTTCGTTAAGATTCGCCCCGAGGCCAAGAGCTACTACACTCTCTCCGCCTCTACCGTCCAATTCAAGTTCCCTCCTCCTGGTATCCTGACTGGTGTTAAGTCTCAGACTCGTGCTATTATCCGCATGTCCAACGTCTCATACGCTTATCCCGGTGCGACGAAGCCTTCACTGCAGGAAGTCTCTTGTCAATTGAGTCTGTCTTCTCGTGTTGCTATCATTGGCCCCAACGGTGCTGGCAAGTCGACTCTTATCAAGCTCCTTACCGGCGAGACTATCCCTACCACCGGAAAGGTTGAGAAGCACCCCAACCTTCGTATTGGTTATATCAAGCAGCACGCTCTAGAGCACGTTGAGATGCACTTGGAGAAGACCCCTAACCAGTACCTTCAGTGGCGTTACCAGCACGGTGACGACCGTGAGGTTCACATGAAGCAGACTCGTGTTCTGTCAGATGCCGACCGTGCTCAGATGGAAAAGTGGGTTGACTTGAAGGATGGAAAGTCTCCACGCCAGATCGAGTCTCTAGTTGGTCGTTCAAAGTACAAGAAGACCTTCCAATACGAAGTGTAAGTTCTCTTCCATTGTTTTACAACAAAGCGCAATACTAACTTCCAACAGTAAGTGGCGTGGTCTCTTGCCCAAGAACAACACCATGATCTCTCGTGAGACTCTTACCGAGCTTGGATTCGACAAGCTTGTCCAGGAATTCGACGATCACGAGGCTTCCCGAGAGGGTCTTGGTTACCGTGAGCTTCAGCCCAAGGTCATCTCTAAGCATTTTGAGGATCTCGGACTCGACCCTGAGATCGCCAACCACAACGAGATTGGCTCTCTTTCCGGAGGTCAGAAGGTCAAGGTCGTCATTGCTGGAGCCATGTGGAACAACCCCCATCTTCTCGTGCTTGACGAGCCTACCAACTTCTTGGATCGTGACTCCCTTGGTGGTCTTGCAGTTGCTATTCGCGACTTCAAGGGTGGTGTTATCCTGATTTCTCACAATGAAGAGTTTGTCGGTGCCCTTTGCTCTGAGCAATGGCACGTCCGTGATGGCCGTGTTGCCCTTCGAGGAAACGCTGCCGTCAGTCTCGATCGTTTTGAGGACAGCCGTCCCAGCAGTGGCGTCAACAGCACTGCCGCCAGCTCCGTTGTTAGCAGCGCTGTTAACAGCGGTATCGAGGACAACTCGGATATGAAGTTCAAGGCCAGGAAGAAGAAGAAGATGACCAAGAAGGAGCTCAAGGAGCGTGAGGTCCGCCGCAGACTTCGTCACATTGAATGGCTCAATAGCCCTAAGGGTACTCCTCACCCTCCTGACACCGACGACGAGGACAACTAGAAAAGTTCATTGGATTTTTTTGCTCTTATGTGCGTTTTTGTTTTGAGACTATGCGGATATGAACAAGTCTCCACGTTGTGCGGAATCTGGCGGTTGTTTACAAAAGGAGAATGAAGGCATCATCTCATTTATGCATGATGCGGTATCTCGCTATGAAGAATGAATGGTATTTACATACTTAGATAGACCTGAACGGATGGTATAGAGGCGTTGGTTTGGGATAGACGGCTTTGAATCAAGTCAAACTTTCTACAGATTCGCCTCCCTAGTTTTGTGATGATTTTCGATTTTTCAACTACACTGTTCGTTCGCTTATTCACCGAGTGAGACGTAGAATGAGAGCAAATGTCACTGTTGATATCGAGGTGACGGAATATGTATCAATAGAAGTTAATGTTCTAAGCAATAATGATTCGACAATCCACTTCAATTGAACCTCCGTTTTGAATCAGAATTTATCTGTTATTATATATACAGGCAGGCTCTCAAAGCCTAGCCACGAAAACGAATGTTACTGGGTATGATCCTTCTATACTCCGTTGAATCAAGGTCTGATGTAAAGACAGTACAAAAGAAAGAAAAGGAATAGACATGCTTTTGGGGCGGTACATGAACCAGAACTACCATGAAAAGGTCATAAGGGCAGGATTCAATGCCAAAGGCAGGATGAGATGGCTTCCAGCGACAGTGGCCATGGGCAGGATTGCAACAAAGTCGTTGATCCGCCAATAATGAGGAATGAAGTCAGCGGTAGCCATTATGATGAGACCGACAATGGCCAGCAAAGACAATGTCATAGAGACACGGAACTAGTGTAATTTGTTAGCATGTGACCGTAATAGATGTTGATGGAGAAAACTTACCTTCTTCAAGACCTTGGGAACCTCAATGAAGAAGTTGGAGAATTCAGCCTCCTTAGACGTGGAGCCCCAGCTCATGTCAATCTCAAACATGTGTGCCAAAAGAGCCTGGCTCACGTGAAGAGAAAGGCCACCAAGGAAAACAGCCAGCATAAGAGTCCACTTGAAGTTCTCGTAAATGGCATAGCCCAGAGTTCGCTCGCCAGAGCGATATCTCATGATAGCAAGTGCGAGGTTACCGAGTCCGTTGAACACAAGGATGATAGAGAACCACACCTGCCACGAGTCAAGGTAGTACTTATCGAGATATCCATTGAACCAACCCATCAGGAAGTAGTTGGCAGTGGTCATGATCCAGGCAGCTCCAATAGCATAGTAAGTACCGATGTAAGAAACAACAGTGATCTTGGAAGTGAAACGAATGTTGGAAAAGCAGAAGCGGCGAAAGAGGGGCGTAAAAGGACCGCGCCATAACCAAGTGCGGATAGGGTTGAAGAGCAGCTCGTTGCAGCCAAATGCGTATTTTTCCCATCGAGCAAGTTCGTCGTAGACGGTCAGAGACACCCCCTCCTTGAAGCCATCGCCGGCCCAAGCAGCGAGACGGATGATGTAGCCATTGCACTGAAGACGAAGAGACATGTCGAAATCCTCCGAGACGTGACTTTCGGACCAGAACTTGTCATAACCATCCTCATCTTGGTAAGCAACTTGCTGAATAGCAGACCAGCGAAGGATGGCATTGTGGCCGACGAAGGGAGCAACATCGCCGTTGGAGACAGTGAAACGAATAGCAGTGTAGATAAGATCGGTGAAGAAGGTGATGCCGTTCTCGAAATAGGTGTGGACAACTTGCATAACACCAGAAGAGAATTGCATGATGCCGACATCAGGAGACTGCTCCATCTCAGAGACAGAGTCAAGGAGGCAATCAGTAGGAACACGAGTATCAGAATCAATGAGAAGGATATAGTCGCCAACGCGGATGTTTCCATCAGCCCAAGCCCGGCCATTCTCCTCGAGGACATCTTTGAGAGCCTGCTCGTAAGCAAGGGCTTCATCAGACTGGCTCCAATCGGCAGGGCGCTTGATGAGCTGTAGGCGCTCTTCGACTTTGCAAGAAATCATGAGGCCAAAGTTCATGTTTGAAGCCTTTTTGAACTTGCCCTTCCGGATAAAGCCATCCTCGCCGTGTTTGGGTCGTGCAACCCAGCCAATGCTGTTGTCGGCATAGAAGTCGATACGGGCATCACGTTCCTCTTCGCTGAGGAGCTGAAGGCCATCGTCGTTAATGAACATATTGGCAGAACCACCCTGCAGTTCATAGGTTGACATGGCCTGCTTTATGGACTTGACGGTAGGAAGAATGACGGCATTCAGACCCTCCTTGTAGACAGGACACTGGATGGTGATATGAGGCAAAGTGGCTCCCTGGAGTCTTCGTGGCGGGCGTGCTGAATAGAACTTGGAGTTGATAGTCAGTTGGCGAATTGGACCAAAGATTTGTGCCAAACAACCAACAATGACTTGGGCGAAGAAAAGAGAGAAGAATATTTGGATCGGGAAGAGAGCGACGAGACCAAGTCGCTTGTAGTCACCATCGATGGCTATCTCCACGGCCAGCTGCCTCCACGCAGCTCCAAGGGAGGCCATGACGAGGAGGAGTGTAAGGGAAACAAGGACAGCATTCTGCAGGTGAACTGGTCGAGATTCCGGCTTGATCTCACCACTCTCTTCATCAATCTCGTACTCCGCCGCAATAGTAGAGTCTCTCTCATCTTCATCAATTGACTGGCCAGAGTTCCATACCAGCTCCATAAGCTCTGATTCGATAATCTTGGCGCGCGCCATCAAGTTCAGTGCATCATCATCCCAGACAACCAGAAGACCATCTGAAGCAATGAAAGCCGCGAACTGATGTTTACGAGCTCGGGGGAGGTCATTTACTGTAGGCAGAATCTGCACACGAAGGCCGTTCATCAATGGAACATCCACTGCATCAGGAGACCATTGGAGGAAGGTCTTGATGACACGAGAGTTGACAGTCATCGCACACTGAGATATATGTCAGTAATCACTCTTGCCATAGGAAAACAAGTTGTACATACCTGAACATTAAGAGCCGTGCAAGCGATTGCAAAAGGAGATTGTCCCAATTGAGGTGGGCAAGCCATATACTGGCCCCGAGACTTGCGAAGAAGAACGCCCTCAATTTCACCAGAGCCATCCCCAACCCAGAGTTGAGAGCATTGCTGCTGGTACAGGTAGTTGACCATAACCTCATGCTTGATATCATCGAGAAGATTGCTGTTCCCTGATTTGGATGACGGTGCAATTGAAGGAGGGCCTGCAGTGAACTTGGGCCCAGCTGCTGAATGTAGCTCTACTACGGCAGCAGGAGGAATCTTCTCCTCGATGATTGGGGCATGAAGGGACATTGATGGCCGGTGGCTAGGCCTCCTGGGAGGAGGTCCTATCGGTGTCTGAGGCGGGATATCCGCCTTGAAGTAACTGCCGATACCCATCTTGACGGTGCTTGTCGAAGACTTGGCAAGTACAAAAGCAAGATTCTAAAAGACTGTGCGTCTAGGGACAAAGCCCGCTGTAGAACAACCCTAAGAAGTCGTATATGAAGAACAAGAAGTCTGTTACTGGGCTGTCTTGAAGATCTGTGCAGAAGCAATTCCGCGTATATGGATTTTGTTGGAAGGACTGTGAAGTTTCAAAGACTCATAACCATGAATATCTCTATCAAAGAAAGACAGGTTAAAGGAGTGACAGGAAGTTGCACCTATTGAGCGAATGACAGAAGAAAGAATGGATGGAGTGAAGGATCGAAGGATCGTGGTGAGTGAAGGTCTGAGATGAGAGGATCAAACCTCAGAGAGTGCAACTACTGGTTCAATTAAACAAACTTGTTTGAGCTTCAGTGTTTAAGTTTCTGCGCCAGACTCAGCCAAGGAATCGGGGACAAGCATATTAAAGTTTTCTTCTCTTGCCCGGAGGAAGAACCAGTATGCGGCGACCACGCCACTGCGGCTAGATAGCGAGACAATGAGGTCGGGCATCGCGACAGAAGCTGTAAGAAGCGGATCATGGGCATCCACTTGGAGGACCACGACTAGACCCTAGGCAAGCCTCACGACCAACGTCGAGCCGGACAGCCCTAGGTCTAGATGGAATAGCGCGCAAGAAGCGGAGGGGTGACGATTATGTTGGAGCCATAAAGTGTGGCTAGAGGATCCCAGACTGTTGGTCTTGGTGTAGGCGTGTCTCAGACTAGTCGACCGGGGTCCAGCGCATGGCTCAAGAGATTGTCCCGGGTGGCTGGAAACGAGACAAGTCCATGTGGGCACAAAGCTTGTTGTTAGCATTTTGTCGTTCTGAAACCTAACCGATACCTCATCCAGCTCGTGAATGCCAAGCTTGAATCGAGAGCCGAGCCTATTATCACGGATCTTCAAACAAGAGGATCAATAGGGACGACCCATATCAGGAAGTCAGAACGTAATAATGTGGCAAGTACTGCCTTTCTTGGACCGTGCCACTTGGATCTAAAGAATTTATGTACTGTAAGTGGCGTCTGATTCTGCAAACCGGTTGAAGCGGGAGAGCCGGAACCTGTAAACACGGGTGAACCTGTAGGGTGACGGGACCATGAAGTTGTGGATGAGCGATTCCATATCGATCCATAGCCTGCTTATCATAAAGAGGCCTCTTTATTTAGTTACAGCTGTATTTTTGATATCGAGACCATCTTTTGCTTCCCACTATCACGAGTTTCGATGGTGTTGGTGTTTTGGTTGAGTGCAGTCACATTCAGCTGAGGTGGAATTGCGGATAAAGTATGTTCTGTATTAGGCCTAGAGGGATCTTAGAGATAAACCAATCACATACTCGCATTTCACGATTGATACGCAAATTGGGCAAGCGGGATAGATCTGTCCCTCCCTTAGTGTCACTGTGACAGCTTCAGTGGCGTGGTGTGGCTTGTTTGTGAGCTCCGGGAAAGGGAAGGCGGCCACAATGTTTGTTAGTAGGAAATGCAGTCTGATGTGGAGACAGGAGCATACGAGCCTGTACCTGCATCGGCTTGAATTGATGCAGGAACAAAAGCCTTGACTGTGTATTGCCTCACTTTGACCTATCAACTTACAGCCGGCAACTTGGATTTAATAACAGCTTCATACTACCAACGCAACATACCTTATTACAAACAGAAGTATCCTCCATTATTAATCGGGGTCGGGAGTTACGCTTACTCGGTACTGCCCACATTTATTGTCATCATACATTCCTCCCCAGTACCAAACCGGCCGACCCAGAGTCTACTATTGTCTGTGGCTTTAATGGCTGCAAACTTCGCGCCGTCCCGAGAGTAATGAATGGCATAAGGAATGCATCGAATGTCCCTGGCGAGTCGCGAATCGAAGCCTTGGTTAAAGTGCTTTTGTTGCCGACCTGAACCGGCCTCTCACTCATCAATAGGCCATCAATGCAGATGGCCTAGACCCTTGCGGCATCCTAGCGATCGAGATTCTACTTATCAGTTATCACTACTAACCATCGCAGAAAGACGGTTGGCACAAGAGTCAGTTTGCCAAGATAGCCATCCTCTGCAGGTCCCCGCCCAAGAGCTCCTACAGCTGAAGACTGCTTCTCCATCTTCAGTCCCATTTGTTGCTCGAGTGCCGATGTGTTTCGGCACACTTGGCACATCCGAGCTCACATATCACACCCCCGCACTTCTGTCATTTTGCTTTAACATGTTTCACACATTTGTCGATCATATCTCAGCCATCAATAGATCTAAAGTGTTGAGCCTTGAAATCTATATTTGGTTCCCTCGTTCTCGGATGACGAATTACCAAACTTGAATAGTGAAGATGGGATTAGGACTTCCTTAGGCAGTGGAAACGGTATCAAAATCATATCATGGACATTTTCCGTCCTCTCCGCTCTGAAGTAGAACGGCTACTTGGCTCAAAATCAAAATCTTCCGCCTTAGACTCTTTTTTTCACTTACACGCCTTGGCTCTCTTCTACTGGCTTTCCCCTCGTCTATTTACCCAGTGACAAGACTCTAAGCACTACATGAGTCTGCAGCGATTCAGCTTTACCGAAACTAACAGTAGCTGTTGGCTCTGTGACAATGCCTCATCAAGCACACAACCTTATACTTATCTTGAAGAGAAGCGACGAGTCTCTATACCGATGGGCGTTGAATCTTGATGCAAACCGTGATGTGTACTGGAGTTATATGACGGTTCTGTATCTGAAACTATCACTCTCTGATCAATTAGTTACCGTTATTGAATTCTGATTCACCTGTTATAGCCCTCATATTGCAGATCTTCTTCTGGTACCTTGAGCTAATACCAGTCGTAAGCGCACCGCAACGTTCATATGATCCGGATCTGGATTGGTTTCCTACACTCGAGCCAGAACTCACTGCAACTCTCATGGTCAATTTGAACTCTTTTCGACGTTATTGTACTAGCCTGATAGATTCACTGGTGGACTTAGGACCCCTCTACGCTTCCCGAAGTTCGGCGCCTCCGCCTTCGACATGTTAGTAGAATCTCGTTCCGCAGACCCGGTTCAAACACCACCAACAATTCATTACAAATACCAAGATACGTATAGCCTTGGCACGAGACGCCTTCACACACCCATGCAGAACGCAGTCAGAAGGTCAGAGCTCGGCGGCTCCTATCCTACGGGCCGAAGAGGCAGTGTTGTGGTCACAACCAGCCTTTGTGGCCATTAACTCGTCTCTATCGAAGTTTGATCGTATTGCCTGACACGCTGAATTCCTCAATGCTATTGTAATCCACCATACTTGAGTCATGGTTGTGAGAAAACAGAAGATCAGATATGAATCAGTTACCTATGGGTGGGCAGCTGAAGCAAACATCTCGGTAGCCTGAGTAGCTCGTGATTCATTACACAGGACTTTATCCGAAAAGCTGGACATGAATGGTCTTGGTACCGCTCAGCTTACTCATAAAGCCAATGGACACGAACTGCAGTGTTAATCTGATCCCCAAGGGTTCGTAAAAAGATTTCTAAACGCCAAGTTGTAAAAGCGGCTGTTGATACATAATGTGAGTTAACACAAAGGTAGTACAAGGGATGGGAATTTTTGAAACCATGCACTTGAATCTTGGTGTCTAAATGCCGTAAAGATGGAGTCAGACATGTTATGAGACACGCGTATTGACTATGTGTTAAACGGTGAAGGTATGGTGGAACTTGCATGGCATCCTTTTCGTTTAAATTCAACTCTATTAAAAAAGGAACTTCCTCAGATCGAAAGATTTGTACCGTAAAACTAGCCTCAAAGTGATATATTCAATCTAAATCTCTCTCATCAAACAATGTTCTCACCTGGATCGCTGCTCAGTACTTTGTTCTCATTTTCATAGATCCTCATTGCCATTGCACTGTTGCATCATGATTACTCGGCTAACTTCAAGCTGTGGTTGTGTCCAAGTTGGATACCACTGCTCTCTTGCATCCCAAAAGTCCTTTTTAGCCGTTGGCGAGGCATCGTACCATGGCTTCTCAGACTTTCCATCCTCAAACCACCCGTTCGTGCCGCCCACGGCGACATTGAGGATGAGGTAAAACTCCTGATCGAATGGCGCGTTCACATTAGGTGAGACAGTCCATGGATCAGTGAGCCGGGTGCCATTCTGATCCACGTCGGGGAACCCCCCTCGTTTATACATGGGCTTCTTGAAGTTGGTGTATGTGACTTGGAGGAGTCGGGTGTTGACATAAGTGAAGAGATATTTTTCAGACCACTCCAAGCCAAACATGTTGAAACCAGCGCTATAGGTGGTGTGAAGGGCCTTTCGCTTGTTGTTGGTCTTCCACCAGCCATCGTTGGCAGAGTTGGGACCCCAGTGTAGCGCCGAGGAAACAATGTCGTTTCCGCCCTGTTTGTACGTCCAATTGTTTCCGCGTGATTCAATGATGTCGATCTCGCCAGATCTCGGCCAGGCACCGTAGACACTCTGCCTTGGGAGCATCCAAATAGCAGGCCAGAGCCAGTCACCTTCAGGGAGCTTGGCGGTGACCTCGATACGGCCGTACCTAATATTGGCACCCTTCTTGGTGTTGATACGACCAGATCGCGCGGGAGGAACCACGCTGTTATTTCCAGCAGTCAAGTTGGTGGAGGTAACACAGTTCGACCAGACTTTAGAGGTGCAAGTGCCGGCCTTGAGAAGGTTGATGACGTTGTTCTTCTGCATTAACTTGGGATCCTGCAAAGTCGCCTTAATGATGAGTTTGCCATTTTCGACATAGACGTTCTCGTCTGTGTTTGTTGTCTGCTCGAATTGGCCATTTCTATGAGAGTTAGCCGTGTAAGCGAAAAAGAGACATCATGATTCAACATACCCATAGCCACCAACTTCGACTTCCTTAGTCCAAATGTTGGGGTTCAGACCTTGGCTGAAATCCTCGTCCATAACAAGACAATACTTGTTCTTGACTACGCTTCGAATGCCATCCCAGACAAGAAAGCCAGAACCCACGAGGCCGAGGAAGATTGCAAGAATGGGAAAGATGGTCACCCATTTTTCTTTGGGGTTGGTTTTTTCCAGCCACGGTTTCTCAACCTCGCCTGGCTTCACTCTCCTTGAGTGAAAGTATCGATTTCGCTCGTCGATTTGAGTTCCTGAGCCAGATGTAGATTCAGACTCTGAGGCAGGGCTCGAGTACTCTGGAATACTGAACATGCCGCCGTGGCCACCTGAACCTGAGCCTCGTCCAGGGTCGGTACTGTGGCGGTATCCTGTTGAGGTTGCCTCATGAGGGCCACTGGCGTCCATAGACCTTCGTGACATATCAGTCGGGCCAGGGCCGTCATGCCCGCCGTAACTACTTTTTCGATATGGGTTATTCATGTCAAACAAGCAGGTGAGAAATGAGATTCAAGTGAATAAAACTGAAGAGGCTGGATTTGTTTAGAAGGGAGAAGTCTTGTGATAAGATTCAACACCACAGTGACATTCATGATCCATGGTGATTTGGGCTAGTCAGGAACCAATATAAGGTAAGGAATGAATAGCTAGTCAAGGAGAAAGCCAAATTCAGATTTTTCTTTCATGCCAGAAATCGCACAATGGGATCACGTATCGAATTCATTGGCTAAGGGGGAAGATCTGGCGGATGATAGAGAATTGTGGCACTGAGAAGAGGAAAGGCTAAGCCCAGTCAAGCTGAACATGATGAAGCCATCACTGTATGGAGAGATCGAGAACGGGGTTGATCCGCTGATTGCTTGGCAAGACAAAGACGAGTTGCTAAGAACGGGATGAGATGGATTGTAAGTCGATCGGATTAGGTATAGGTACAGTGTTAAGTAGGTAGACACTGTGCAATCTGGTCGTGTATATCACTGTGCGTTGTTTCGAAAACACTGTACGTCAACTTGTATTAGCTCCACTGAACTATGGTCACTACATTCCATCCTCTTCACCATCACCATCATCCTCAGCGTGGTCATCGATAACAAACTTTTTAGGCCAAACTCGAGTGTGCACTACCTCGATGGCTGGAACAATAGAACTTTCTTTGAGTTTTAGTTCCCGCCCTATGCAGGAACCGAAGCGTGATCTGGCGAGATTCCGCTACCCCCAGTTGTATGAACACATCGCCATTTCCTTGGGCAGAGGTTGCCTATTACGACCATCTTCCGGTTCATCCGACAATGGCTTCATTTGATTAATAGTACCTAATAGTGCCCATGGATCATCCGCCTCTCCCGACTTCCCGTTTGACCTGGCGTTATAGCTTCAGCGAGCACGGTAGAAAGGCAACGAGTCGCTCGTGAGAGCAAACTTGCCATGGCTGAGACAAACCTCACAACCCTCCCGCTTATTCAAGCTCCTCAACTCTATTTCCACTTACCAACAATGCATGGCGATCAGGAGCTACCGTCTAGGTCAACGCCCGGTGCAACTTCAAAACCCCTTCCACTTGCACGCCCCGGACGGAACCCAGCCGACCTAGGATCTATGACCAGCTAGGTAGCCTTTCGGCAAACATCCATTGAACTCGGTGCACTAATGGCCAGACATGTTTAGGTCTGGTGCTCTAACCCCCCGGCTCGATGCAAACTCTATCAATACTAACCTCGAGAAAGCTTGCCGTACGGCAGCCGTGTGTGCTTCGTTCTAACTCTGAGGTTATGGGTAGCTGAAATACCGATGAATATGATATGACAATTGCCTACCTGGCGGATTGTCTGTCTCTTTCAGAGGAAAACGTGCGGTGTCCGTACCGCATACTCGGGACCGATAGCTTTACTGGAGAATAACGCCACAAGTGCCGTCCCACCGTGCTAAGAGGAATTCCGGATCGAGCTGGACATGGTCAAATTGAAAATCAAATCGCCCTTGGCTGGGTACTACGGGTTTGGGGACAGTTTCAGAGCCAACGACGTTGAAGCGGCTGGCTTCTTCGGGCGCTTTACGTGTACATTGGACATGTTTGAACAAAACTATATGGTCCAAATTTAAGTAATCAGCTGGCCGAGGATGCTCAGACACTTACACGAGGCCAACGTTCGACGCTTTCTTGCATTGCTATATGACGGCGTGTCTCATCACTGACTACACAACTTTCTATTTCTGGTGGTTTCCCCTCTTTCTTACAGTGTCAGGAAGCAATAAGATAAGCCTTACGAGGTTTGTATGCTGTCACCCAGGCCAAGAAGTTCTTGGAATACAAGATCCAACAATGCCAAGGTGCATTGGCTGATGGTTACTCGGGACGCGTGCCAAAAATATGCATGTCCCTCAAGAAACAAAGTGCCTCGGCCCAAGAGATGATCTCAGAACATCTTCCATGACTATACTTTGTTTGATATCTGATCATGTTCAAGTGAACACGGGTTCATACAATTGGATAAAATGGTGGCTCGTTCCTGGTTGTCAGTCCCAATCCGGAGATCCGGGCCACTAACGAATCCTTGCAATGCAGGGTTCTTAGCAGGGTCCAGGGGTCGGATTTCGGCATGCCCGCCGATCTGACAGATGCTACAACACTCCTAGACTCCCAAGTACCGTACCGCATAGCAATGGCCCTCCATGAGCCCAGAGGCTTGGCGATGTTTTTTGGGTTTCACTCGTGAGGCGCTGGAGTTCTGGAAGCTCTCTTGATGAGGCTACTAGTAGCGTCCCTCACCATAAGCGTTACCCGGCTCTAATTAGCTTCCAAAATTCCTATGACTGGCGGGATATCCGTACAGGATGTCAGGGCCTCGCCTCTTAGAGAGACCTATTAAGCCCTGTTGAATGACCGTTTTTTCTGTTCCGGGTTTCTGCATTTCTTCCCATCGTTCCTGGATGGAATTCGCTCCTTGACTGTGTTGACCACGCTCCCTATTTCACATTTCACTCATTTATCTGAAACAGATTCACTGAACTTTTTTTTATCTTAACTTCTGCACCAGAGACTACAAGGCTGCTAACCACAGTCAACGCTTTCTTGGAGTTGTAGACCAGATAGTGTATAGGCTATTTCCCTATCATTACAAGCTCGCCTTCTCAGTTTTCATCACATTCGTTTTCCAATAAACCAATACACAATGCTTCTGTCTAGAGTATTTGCTGGCATTGCCAGTCTAGTATCACTGGCAGTTGCTGGTGATGCCACTCAAGCTCTGCCCATGGACCTGGGCAGTGTTTTGTCAAGGCACCCCAAGCTTTCAACGTACTACAAATTGATCCAGGTATGAAATGTGTTACTTTGTGAGTAAAAGACTGTTATCTAACGCCTTCAGAAATTTCCCGATGTCCTGTTGCAACTGCCCAGTTATGAGGGTGTCACGGTAAGTTGAATCTGGTTCTCCTAACCTCAGGAGCAACGACTAATTTCTGATGTTTCTTAGATTGTTGCTCCTTCCAATGATGCTTTCAACCAAATCCCTTATTCTCCTCTCTCCAATATTTGGGACCCGAACGATGCCAAGGTCACTGTTCCGCTTCTTCAGTACCACATTCTGCAGGGGACTATAAGCACAATGAAGCTGAAGGAGGGACCTGCATATGTCAAGCCTACACTTCTTCTCAATCCTAAATGGAGCAATGTCACTGCTGGTCAGAACATCCTTATCAACAAACAACCTGACGATGTCATCTTCAGTACCCGGCTGGGCAATCGAGCTACAGTCATCAACTACGATATCAAGTTTCAAGGTGGACTCATCCAGATTGTTGACAGTCTGTTGATTCCGCCTTCTGGTATTCGTCAGGTCCTCATGGCAAGTAAGGTTGACTCGTTTCTTGGTGGACTCTTCAGAGCTGGCCTCATGCCTGATCTTGCTGATCGCCAGGACATCACTGTCTTTGCTCCAAGAGATCAGGCCATGGAGATGGTTGGCAGTGCACTCAGCGGCATGTCAGCCAAGGAGCTAGCAGGTGTCATGGGATACCACATTGTACCTGGCAAGGTTCTTGTCTCGACTGACCTTGACAATGCCACATCTCTTACCACATTGACTGGTGAGGAGGTCCACGTCCGCCAAATTGGCAATGAGAAGTTCGTCAACTCGGCCAAGATCATCACAACTGACCTTCTCATTTCCAATGGTATCCTTCACATCATCTCCAATGTCAATAACCCAAAGGAGGCCGATGCGGTTCCTAATCCTAGTCTCTGGCTTCAAAATCCTGTGTTCAAGTCTGCTGGCGTTGACGATGTTTTCGACTCGGATATCCCTTGTACCGCGAGTTGTCCAGTGACAAATACGCCAACACCTACACCGGCAGATGAGGCTGAGAACAACGCTGTGGCAACACCGTGGTTCACCACAAGGTCAAGCAGGGGAGTGGCTGCTCCTCGGGCCACAGCACATGTTGCCCGCGCTGCACTGGGTATCATGGGTATAGGTGCGGGGATGGCGCTCTTGTAATAAGAGTTGGTGTTCTCCTGGTCTCTTTGTTTTGTGTTCGCTTTCTTGAGCTTTGGTGTTTTGGGTCGGTTGGCTTTGCAGTAGTTTAGATCTCTCTATCTTTCGATCAATACCCCGACAGTCGTTAACGGAAGCAAACATCCTGCCTTTTGCCAGTGTGTTCCCTGAGGTTCCACAAATCTTGCTTTTAGTCAAGCAGTGTTTGATCAACGTGGATCGAACTTCTTGGCGCAACAGTCATGGCACTCGTCGTCCGGACTTCTCATTAACTCCGCGTCAGTCAAGTCTTCCGACGACATGGATCATTAGTCTTGTACTGTAGTTCGGATGGGGTTTTAACTTGAACGGATATCATTATCCTTTAGGAGTGTAAAGTGATTGGTGAAGTTTTTTTTAGTATACTGTCGATACATAGAGAGATCTAGATCCGTTCAAGTCCGCGGTTGTTATGCATGCAATTATGATTGCCACACAGATAATCCTTGTCATCCAGTCAGTAGCTAGGTAGTAAGTGGCACCACGACTTGCCATATTCAGTATACAAGATGCAAGTTTTTGGTTCAATGAAACAGCGAATTGTCATAGCGCACGGAAGATGCCGCCGAGAGGTCCAGGGTAAGCATCTCAAGTCCTTGCAAAAGCAACCCGGCCAGAATTGCTCACCTGGTTCGTGGGGTACAGTAGAAATGGAAAAGCCTGTCGCTGTCTCGGCCGACAACCTTAATAGGTAAAGCCCGAGAATCTGTAACTAGGGGGAATAGAACGGGCGGTGCGTTTGATTGACAAGGTTATCGTATCTTTGCCTGTAAGTGAAGCGTCGTATGTGGATCTTTGGAGAGACTGGGCTGAGCTAGCATAGGTGTAAGTAGGTAAAGTCTTGGCTGTATCATGTTATTACTGAGGCGACTCACTCAATTATCCCGGAGATATATACAGCAGGAGAAAATCCGTAGATCAGAAGAGGAGAAAAACAGGTTCAGACCGCGTAAATGTTTCGTAACCAGTATCCATTCCTTGGCAGCTGAGTCATTCGTTATCACAAATATGGTAAAAGTACAGTAAATAAATCCACAGTTACAGGTGGTAATATTGAGATACGCCGAATAGACGGACGACAGGCCATGCATGTAAAGTCAAGACGGGATAAATAAACGCGATAGACCCGCTATAGATCTGCCGTTGTAATATACCGCTCAGCGACTAATTGACTAAGATACCTTGCCTTGCCTTGCCCTTACTTGACTAACAAGCTTAGTTCGGCGACGATGGAAACGGTTTCAACCAAAGAGAGCCAGGAGGTGGAAAGGAACATGAATCAGTATCGTTGCCCACTATGAATGGGTACGGAATCGGAACCCATCAACCCCCACCAGAATGAGAAACGGCGAAATCAGGGCCATTCCGCAACTCGCTCGCTCAGTCCTTCATTCATAATCGGTACAATATGGTAGAGGCCTCGAAAGCAAAAGAGTTACATGTCAGTCTCTCATGCGCCAAGCCGCATCATCGGATTGCTGCTCTGCCAGACTCATCCATCTGTCAAGGCATCCCCAACAAACCAATACCCCAGTCAGCTCTCTGTATCACTTCTGGCAGAGTCCTTCAGGGCGTCCGTGACCTATACCGTACGCTCCGCAATGCACCAGAACGTATTGTATTGTACCGTACCGTAACGGACTGGGCTGTCCGTCTCAGGCAAAACTCCCACTCCCACTCCCACCCCCATCTCAAATAATGCACATCTCGCAACCCACACCATAAACGCTGTCAGTCTGTGGCTTATCCATCACTCCCGTACTTTCCGCCTGTTCGGTCCAAAGTCTTGTTTCGGGCCATATGTTGAATCCTGGTATGATCGCCCCACGAGATGCAGAGAAGCATGAGACTCCGGACTTGGTGCTGCATGATAAGTGACATGATGCTTGGCGTAAACTCCTCTCCTGCCTCTTGTCCTTTCTTGTAACTGTCCTACACGAGGTCGATCTCCAAGACATGAACTCCGGGTGGCGGAACAGGGGTCCCTTCTTCTTGGAGGTCGATCTTGGCTTCGAGAAAAGCAGAACCCTTGTAACTCCAAGAAAGCGGAAAGAGGCTTGGTCGACAAAGAAAATCTGGCACAAGATAACAAAGATTGCTAGCAGAAACGCTCAAAGGTCATAACAGTTCCCATGTATGAGGAGGAGACGGCGGCGGGTCTGGCTGAGGAGGAGGGACACGCGGCCCTCCTGGAGGTGTTGGCGGAGGGTCTGGATCTTGCGATTCGAGAGACATCGGGCAGTGAGCCACACACAAAGTGTTGAAGTGAAGGTGAAGATAGAGGTAAGGATAAGGATGAGTCCGAGGCATTATGGACATGTGAGAGAATTCAAAAGCCTGCAACTACAGAGGCATCAGGACAAGAAATACAGAAATAGAGGACACACTGGGTTCTGGTCCTCCAGAGACACTAGTCGAAGTGGTAAAAGGTATCCGATAGATAGTCTTGGTTTAGGCTGGTGGTTTATGTTATACTATTCTTCGACATTACTGCCGCCCCCAGTATCTCCAGATAGTCGGTGCGACACTGATCCTCTTAATGAGGCTCACGTTCCGCCCTTGGAAGACATGGCGCATCATCGACCTTGGCCAGGTGGGTAGGATACTCGTCAGATCAATGTGTAAGGTGGTTCACGATAGATATCCACGTTGACCTACACGATCAGCTGCGCAAGGTGTAGTCGACGGCATCTAGACCCGCACCCGCGCCCCAGGATCAGGCCTTAAAACCAGGTGGCTTTCTCGCTGTTTCTCAAAGGATCACCATCGTCGTATCCAACATCGCGCCTCACAGCAACGCGTCCGCGCCGAGCCCATCAGGTGGCCAAACCAGTGAGGGGGATTGAATATGTACGACGAACATGTTGCCCAGATGAGCAGAGTCCACGCATCTGGGTAGGGTCCAGCCAGTCCAGGGCCCGGAGACCGAGTAAGGAAGGCAAGTAGATATTTCAGTATGCGCTAAATAAGTACCGGTATGACCATGGCACAGCCACCGATATTCTCATCGGCGATTTGAGCCTCAACCAGAATCCATAGCATTAGCCATTTATTCATATTTCTAGAGAATGCTCTTCATAGCAGGGTTGCGGCAGTAGGCGGCCGCGGGAAGATCCCGTGTATGGGGAGATAACAGAGAGACCCAAGGACAGGTCAAAGCCCCGAGAAGGCATGCCGGGACGCTGATGATGTGCGTAAAGTTGTTCTTAGACTCTGGGCTCAATATACCTGCCGTGGTTCATACAAGCTGAAACCGGCTTCCCATGTATGATAGCGTCAACTTAAAAGGAACACCTAGCATCCTAAAGAGATCGGTGGGGTCCCAATGTGGCTGCCGAGGGGACCCCAGAGGTAAAGATTACCTGAGTGATCAGACAGAAAACGCAGCCGGACCATAAGTCCTCGGTAGCACAACCGACTTGAACCCTGCAACGCGCACGGCACCCATGTCAGAGACAGCTGCCAAACTCGAATACAGGCCTATGACAGCTGCCCGTCTACCAGGCTCTTGTCATGGTCCCCGAAACAGACACTATGCGCCACACACCACCTTCTCTGTCGTACCATGCTGAATATGCAAGGCTCCTAAAGCAGTAATGTGAGAAAGGGGGCTCGACACCCCAGCACAAGCCGAGGTGTTGTCCATCGGGCCTCAGAATCTTGCCTTTATAGGCTTCCAGCTAATTAGGGAAAAATCTCCTGGCTTGACTAGCCGGCAGCGCCTTTACCCGTACCCTGCCCCGGGATCTCGTAATTGGCGCCATGCAAGTGGATCACATGCTGGTATGATATGCTCTTGACGGCGAATACACGATGCTAGTATGGCCGCCGAGAGTGATGCGATGTGCGGCTGTGCTTAAAACTGCCACGGCCTCGATTTACGCCAGTGCAGAATGGGATCTCGTCACAAAACCCGCAAGGGGGTGTGTACTGTACCCTAGATGCGATGTCACCATTGTGACACACAGCTTATCCAGTATTGTACCGATATGCATGGCGTAAGAGAATGTGTGAACATCCTGCCTGTCAAGACACCCTTGGTGGTGTCAGATCTGCTATGTGACAAACATCTGCGCTCTATGTGTTCGGTGCATGTTTAAACCGAGCTCGCTTTGACAACTGAGTCACGACTTAGCTGCCCAGGAGGGCATGACAGACTGTCGTATGGCGAGTGGTGCAGTCTGACAGCGGCCCCTCTTGAAACGGTGACCCGAGCCAAGCTCAAGACCAAATAATACCCTGGTCGCTCACGATTCATGGATCTTGCTTGCAAGGGCGGCGTCGTAGGACCGGCCTCTCCTCAGCCCTATAGGAGAAGCCACCGTTGTGCGTGAAAAACGCTGAGGCCAAGACTAAGACCCCGGCCTGGTCTCAGGCTGTCTTGGCTCAATAGACCGTGTTGCTTGTATGGGCAGTGCTACTCAAACCATCCCACTGTTGCCGTGCTTCGGTGCATGATGGAGTGTTGGTTGGATCAACCTATCGTGAAGGGTTGAGTTGCGCCAAGACTTAGTCCACTAAGCATGGGGTCTCTCATATGCCCACAGCAGGTCCCCTTAGTCGAGCGGGGAGAGTGCGAATCGTAACAAATGGTAGATGGGATCTAGTGACCAGTGACTGGTCCCTGAATGGTCCATATACGTTCGAAAATAGTGGCTGGAGCAGTAGCACTCAAAGTCTATCCTCCACTTCCCAGTTCCGAAATCTGTGACTTGTGCATATCCATGGAAAGGCATCGGGGGCAATCCTTGCTGGCCCCGTCCGCGGCAATTGTCCTGAAACGCCGAAACCAAAACGAGATCACGTACATAAATTGAACTGGGACATTGACAGATAAATCGGACAATGGGCGAGTGATTGGCCGTAACAGAATGGAGCGAACCTCCGGTCTGATGCAAAAAGATGATAGGCGAGATTCTTGAGAGTCCTCAACAAGCGTCGTTGCCGAACATGGTAAGACGTACACCTTTATCTGGTCAGATGTCAGTTTGCCAAACGGGAGACAGATACAAGTGACTAACTTGTTTCCGAGAGCTAATTAAAACCTGGGGCCGTTGTTTATTCTGTTCCTTTTCCTATCCTCTCGTAACGCCAATCGAAGCAAATTAATTACACCTTAGAGCTCGTGAATCATTTTGGACCGCGTCCTCGACTGCGAGATCGACTTCGACCTTCGCGACTATCAATGCTCCCGCGTCGTCTTGTCTCGTGATCATCGTGGCGGCCGGCTGCTTTTCGCCTGGGACCTGGAGATCTTGAGCGTGATCTAGATGAAAAAGAGTTGTTGGATCGACTGCGATATCGGCTTCCACCACCGCCACGGGAAGGAGGGGGGCCAGCCGACGATCTGGAAGGCGAACGCGATCCTGGACGATACACATCAGACCTAGGTCCGTACCGACTTCCTGGAGATGCTCGACGGCGACCTCCACCACCACCACCCATGCCGTTATTTCCTCCCATGCCCGCACCAGGGGGTCCCCCACGTGTTCCCGCAAACGGAACTCTGGGATCAATGTTGGCTCCACGCCGAGCCGTTGGAGGCGCAGGAGAAAGCTTGCGACGGGGAAGCACTATGGAAACATTGATCGCGGAGCCATCCACTTGAGCTTCATGCATGTGGGCTATCGCGGCCTCGGCATCGTCCTCGTAGTCGTAAAGTATGTATGCTGTGCCACGGTTTGTTCCAACTTTGATTATTATTAGTTGATGTCCAAATAAATGAGAGACGGTCATCTTACAGGTTCTGTTCATGGGAAGATCAAGATCCTTGATGCGTCCAAACTGCCCAAAGATCTCATAAAGATGTTGCTCATTGATGTTTTTAGAAAGTCGCTCTACTACAATCTAGGCGTACTAAGTCAGTTTCCGTAACCTGGTCATGACTGTTCGCGACATACCTTTGTGCTCTTGGCGGCTGGGGAAGCACTCCTATCTCTGTCGTTGCGATCGCGAGCCCCGCGGCTCCAGCTACGACTGCGGCTTCGACTCCGGCTGTTACTACGGCTCCGACTGCGGCTGCGAGATCTGTAACGGCCATTACGACGCTGAGGTGATGTGGAGCGGGCGGGTGACCGCGAGTCGTGATGATGGCGGCGCTGGGGTGAACGAGAACGTTCCGAGCGTGCAGCAGGTGAGCGCGTGCGCGACCTGTAACGGCCGCGAGATGGCGATCGCGAAGCCATTGGGGTGCCAAGGGCAAAGTCGGCGTCAGCTCAAAATGATGTTTGATATCGCGTGTTGAAGTTGAAGGAATTGGCTTGAAACGCGGAATGTGGCGGTAGGAAGGCTTGTGGGTTAGCTGCTGGAGCTTTCTTGACAGGCGATCACGTGACTACAGATGACGCGCCGTGGAGCTATCTACGGAGTATTTGCAACCTGCTACTCTATGCACATGGTAACTATAAAATCAAGCACTTCTGTTTCGCTTAGCGGGTGTTTAGGTGTTTTTGGCAAATAATCATCTACATTTTCCTTCATTCGGGATAAGATGATAAGAGAATGGCATAATATGCAAAGGCGTCCATTGATAGCTGACATTAGCCTCCATAACAGCTGTACATAGCCGCGACCTTGCCTTGATATAACCCTGCACTGCACTGCACTGCACTGCAAGCAACCCAATCCTTCTTTATTCGAAGGCAAAGTTCTTATGTGCACGTTCGATACCACGTCGGTTGCAATCAACTACGCCCGTTTTGCATCCTATATCCATGTCTTGTCACATGTCGACTGCTTTGCCACGGTTAGCATTTTTGCGGTGGATGGATGACACAGGTTTGAATCAACCGGCATCAGACATGGATATTAGTTCGCTTCCTTGGACTGTGGCTCCGACTGCGGCATGTGCGGCTTCTGGTACGAGATGCGGCCCTTGCGCCGGTGAAATTCAACGACTTCGGGGGGTGGATCGGTTGGGTTGTTGTCTTTATCCACCCATACGCAACGCAGGCTTTGTATGATGCCTGTCGACATGTTCATTAGCAGCCTTCTCTTGTATCATGCCATTACTTTGACTCATGCTCAACTTGCAGCCATGCCAGCCGGCGATACAACATCTCCTCTTCGGGAGTACGGTTTCTGGCATCTTCGGCCATTCTCCTCAGCACCTTTTTGCGACGGCGGTGGTCCAGGGCTTGGACGAGGAAGATGAAAAAGATCAACGTGACGAAGAGAACGCTGACTCCCACAATAAGGCCTATTTCGAGACGGCTCATAGGTCGAGACTCAGACGCCTTGGGTTCCTCCGGTACGGAAGTGGCTGTGGGATTCACAATAGGCATGATGCGACTCCTCGGCGACTTGAGGCCGGTGTTGGCAGTGGAAGAGGGTTGAAAGAAACTTGTGGATGAGAAAGAACTCGCTCTGACGAAATAACTTAAGAGCTCAAGTCAGAGAAATCTGGTTCAAGATTCACGAGGATGTACGTTGCGGTGAGTACCCTAGATAGTGAGCCCAGCTATTTATGCACGGTAATCAGTCGTTGATGTCGATGAGCTTGCAACAATAGATATCAAAATGCCATTGTGAAATCGATTCATCTATTCATCCTGAATCAACAACGAACGCCGGGTGAGGGGCTGTTGCGAGACTCAGACACTGCCAGCTGCCGCCAGTTGCCAACCCAGTAGGATACCTTACAGCCCAGGCGGCCTTACAATAAATGATGATTGATTCCTGCAACGCCTCTGTACTCCCGTAATTGAATTCTGCTACATATTATTTCGCGACTACAGGAACAGTTTTACAGCACAACTTCTCAGTGTTGGTTTCATCCTCAGGTGGCCAGCTCGACAGGATGAAAGAGTGAAGTGCTAGATGATTCTTGAGCTTGGAGCCAGCGATGAAGAACGAGTGGAAGTTTTATTTTAATTAAACTGTTATCCATACTATCGTTTGGAGGTTCTCGAACATACAGATAATGCTGCACCCTCAGCCAGCTTGCAAGTGTACTCGCTCTTTGCATTTCGACCTACAATCTGCTACCTTGATAATTCGAGAACCCAAAGAATCAAGTCACGACATGTACCCCATCACACAAGGTCACTGATTGATACGTCTCCCTCAGCATTTCCTTTCGCTCAAAGCATCCACAAGATACAAGCCTTTCCATGGTTCCGGTCTGAGATCTTCTGCATATGTGCCTGCTCACCCTCCCTCTCCAGAAGCCTTCATTCTCAATTAAGTACAGCCTCATAGATGCATGTGGGGGGCCATTTTGACAGACACATATCTTCCTTGTTGGTGAACTTTTACTTGGACTGGTGGCTGACGGAGTGACGATAGAATCACAGCAGGCCTTTCTATCACTCAACTAACCTGGTACCATCCTCGATGCCCATTCTCTTTGTCATTGCTATGCTTAAAGGCCACCATTAGGTGCGCTACTTTACTTCATGTTACCTAAACGGCCCAGAACGTCTCCTGCTTCGGGTTTGTATCCGATGTGATAGTTGGGGGTATCTGGCACTGACGAACACAGCCTGTGATTGTAACTGTTGGTTTGTAGTAGCTATTTCATGAACGATAGTTCAGGCAGTTCTCAGATGCTTCCAAACAACCCTCAAAAGCAAGCACCCAATTCAGTTGTCTCCGCAAAGACTTCTGATCCAAGGAGTGGGCCAGTTTGGTTTTGTGTGATACTTTGTCCCTCTTTGACAACCCTTCTGACTCAGAGTGAACATCATTTGTTCCTCTCTCGCTTCTGTTGTAAGCTACGCGATAAGGAAGAAGGCCTACGTCAATAAGGGTCTGTAGGTGAAAGGCTTAACTGTTTTGTATTATATTGGGAATTTTAATCGTGAGATATTCAAGAGTAGCAGCTAGGTAGTTTGGGAAGCTTGATCAAGTTCGGCTCTGAGAGGCGTTTAGGGTCTCGCTGGTGGCCTTGGCAGCATCTCGAAGTCGAGATTCCAGGTTGTCGCCGAACATAGCACGGCCGTGGGCCTTGAACTCCTCGTAGACAGGGACCAGAGCGTCAGATCGGAGGTCGCATCCATAGTAGAAAAGAACATTGCCGTTCTTGTTGAAGGTTCCGTCAGCCTTCTCGAAGAACCAAGTTAGGTTCTCATCCTCCTCGCTGACAGTCCAGACCAGGCTAGGGTGATCTTTCTTGATGGCAGCGAAGACGTTCTCAGCGACGTTGCTGAGCCATCCAGCCTTGGTGATATTCAAAGTAGCCAGTGTAGCAATTGGTCGCTCCTCATTGGCTGGCAGGACGACAGCTAGACACTGCATTCCATCGTCGTAGTAGGCATTGAAGTTCTTCTCCTTAAGATGATCGACAAAACGTTCGACAGTGGCCTCAGCATCAAGACCCTGGCGGTCGCGGGCCAGAGTCTCCTTGAACTTGGAAATATCCCCAATTTCGTTGACAGAGGAAACTCGCTGGATCTTGTCTCCTCGACGAATGAGGGTACCGGCACCGGAGTCGGTGAACAACTCCTTTTGCAAATCGCTGGGGTGGATAATAGCAACGGATGAGCTGCGGGGGAGTGTGTCCAGTACTAGGAATGGTCAGCTATAAGTCTGCATAACGTCACCTGGCCTACTGACATTCTTTGATTTCCTTGATCTTGAGTCGCGTTCCGTATCGGCACCAAGGCTGAGCCATCAAGTGGTCGAATTCGGCGTCTAAGTTGATAGTAGAAATCTTCTCGCCATCACCATCATACAGTCCACCCTTTTCTGACAGATAAACAACCTTCAGGGGCTCAAGAGCACGGGCAAGCTCGGCGGCAGCGACATCAGCGTTGACGTTAAGGAGATGGCCGTCTTCAGATTCAGCCATTGAAGTAAGGACAGGGATATAGCCAGCCTCAATGGACTTCTCAATAGCATCTTTGTTGACCTTGGTGATCTTGCCAACATACTGCCACTTCTCCTTATCAAGATAATCAGCCATAAAAGCACCGCTAATCGATCGAGTCGCAACACCGAGCTCATCCAGTCGGTTAATAAGCTTCAAGTTCTCTTCAAGGAAAAGCTTGCGAGCAATACCCAAGGTTTTGGCGTCAGTAACTCGGATACCTTCTTCGAACTGGGGCTCAACACCAGCTGACTCGAGAAGATTATTGAGTTGAGGACCAGCTCCGTGGACTATGATGGGATAAAGATTCATCTCGGAAAGAAAAACGAGACTTCGGCAAAGCTCATCCAAGTATTCGGAAAGAATGGCCCCGCCAACCTTGATAACAGCAAACTTCTGGGACTCAACCGAGGTGAAGAGCTTCAGGTACTGCTCACCCTCCCTCCTGCTGCCAATGCTGTTGATGGTTTGCGCAACAATCTCCCGAGTCCTATCGCGGCCAGGCAAAGAGGCGAGAGCCTTGGTAGTAGAGAGGGCTCGGTTGGGATTGATGGATCGGAGCGCAGTCGGAGCGGCAGTCTTGACATTGGAACGAGCGACGCGGGGAGCGACTCGTCGGGCACCAGCCCGAAAAGCTCCAGAAGTGGCGGAAAACATCTTGCTTAAGCCAATTGACTCGACGATGGCAGGGAGATCGTGCAATGGACAGAGGGGAGGGATGAGGAAGAGAGGATGAGGACTGTTGACTATTTTAGAGAGAAGATCGAGAGGCCCACACGGCAAGATAAGGCCCGGGTGAGTCAGTGGAGACTAAAAAGGTGTTGTACCTTAAAAGCTAGGAACCTGGGGTCACTTCCAATGGAGGGGCAACAGGGCTGTTAAGATTTATGTGTAACCAACTACATTATGCACAATTATTCTATGCCCGTATAATCGTGTTAGAAGTCGAGGCAATGGCCTCCGATAGTTCTGTTATTGTAACTTGCAATCTCTTCAAAGCACAACTCGCATATTCCTTGGAGTCATCGTCCCTCTAACCATCCACCATCGATCCGACACCGCTTGGAGACCCTTAGCTGACCGGGGTTGCCTTGCCGGTCTCCGTTGCATCATGATAGAATTTTTTTTTCCGTTGAGCTCCATCATGAAAAATACCATGTTCAGGCGGTCTCGTCTATGGCCTGTAACTATGGGCGAGAATCAGTCTTTGACTTAATATTGGTATCGTTCGTTCATTGTTGCGTTCAAATATCTACAGTGAAGCAGCAATAGTGAAAACGCCCCCGTTCATCCGCTGCAGAACTTTTTACCAAGGCAAACCCACCGAGGTCCAGTAACCAAACACGGCTACATTCCCTGATGCAAGAAAAAAAAAGCTCAGATGGTGATGAGGCATTATCAATCAGTCGGCGTTATCAATCTACTCCTACCCACAATACCCATGCACTTACAGAAGAAGCCCACTACCAAATGACGCCAACAGAGGACCCATGGTTCTGGTACGTCAAATCTTGAGCCTGTAAGGGATCTCTTTCGTTCATCTTCAACGGACAGGATGCCATGTGTACAGAGAAGTTCCACTTTCGGAGCAACTATTGTTTAAGGCATGGTCTAGTTCATCCAAATACCGGCTGCCCACGTCTCAGGAAAGTTTTATTTTAATCACCCTGGGTTGCTATGAAACTGGAGCTTTCGTCATGTGATAGAAATCTCCTATTAAAGAAATGGACTAACAAGAAGGGATTCTGCAAGAATTAGACAGCTGATCACGATCCTCTGCTCTCAGAAATCATGGACTCTCACTTGCCATTCCTATCTTCGGTCTGGCAAGCGGACTGCCGCTTCGTTGCCACCAATGACGCAACACGAGGAGCCGGGTCTGATGACAAAGATCCGCGGAAAGGTATACATCTCAATTAATCGGGGAACGCCTAATCTCAAACATCCAGCCCGGTCTGAAGTTCCAGGAGCGATACTGAGACCTCGTCATCAGTAGTAAGTCACCCCAGGAGCAAAAACTGCCAGCATAACATTGACCGGGACCCAACGTGAACAAACTCCATCGTGCTCAAATCATATTCCATTGCAATAATGGCCAGTTGCCCAAAAGTTCCATTTCCCATGGTCGTAGCTTGCGATATTCGATGTCGTCATGTCCCAGCGTGTGTATCGTAAGGACCAAGTAGTACCCAAACAGATGATTGGGCTACTAACGAGTAGCCACAACTAGGGAGGATTATCAGGATATTCAACAACACATCTTTGACGAATCGAACACATACCAGAGGGGACGATGATGATGACCAGCAGAATGATGATACCGATAATCAGACACATTCGCATCTTCATATCCTTCCACCACATCTGCTTGCGGACTCTGTTGGCTCCTCGACGGAAACCTTGTGCCGAGACGGCCAAGTTGTCGGTCTTATCCTGAAGAGCATCGAGGCGCTCACCACGTTGAGAAACCTTGTTGATGTTGTCACGCATCACACCCACGGTATCATCAATTTGCTGCCGACTGCATTAGTTCATATCCAACACCAGAGACATTGCAGCGCTGGTGTTTTTGGGGTGCGGCGTGGGCTGGACACAGGTATCGTCTGGTGGCAAGATAGCCAGAATGTGACGAAAACCCATCAAGCATTGGCAAATTGATGCAAGTGGCGTTTGGTCGGGTTGCTCGGAACGGATATCATGATGCTGCATAATTGCTCTTAGGGTATTATCGCATGATTTGCCAGTGGCCGGTTGATGGCTCTTCGAAAAATTGCGATTCTATCGCAAATCGTTTGCGAATTACCAAAAGGAGGCGTCATCCGTCATCCGTCATCGAACAGCCTGGTCGCCAGGTGTCGCAACTCATAACCATACAAAAAACACTCGCGCATCACGAATATCATCAAAACAAACTTACAGCTTGTAGCGCCTGCGTTCTGGCATTGCCGCCAGCGCCCTGTTGTTGGGCTCCAGCCTGGCCGCTGGGGATATAGGGGTCGTAAGGGGCTTCCTGCTCAGGCATTTTGGCTGTGGTTTGGAGATGTTTGAGTCGCTAGAAAATAACAAAAGGGTATCGGTCGGAATAGCGCGAAAAGTTTGATGTTGCAGGAGAACAAGTTCGCGATTACGGGGCTGTCGTGTCGTGTCGTTGTGATAGTCGAAAGGAGGAGGTTGGCGTAGCGAGAGGTTGGAAGAGGGAAGTTGATTGTGAGACGTTGCGCTGGTCCAGGCGAAACAAGTAGTGAGTGACCAGGTTGCAGGTGAACCTAGGGCGGAGCTGGTTTTGGGGCGCTGCTGGGTGACGAGGCCACCGGGGGGTTCGGGGCGGGCTTCAGATGGGCTGTGGTTGCGTTGACGTGCTGAGCCTGAATTGGCGTCGTGGCTAAGTACTTCTACATGATTCGAAGGCCTACGGATAACTTACGCTTTGGCAATCAAGAGTCTTTGTCCTTTTCAATTTATCGGGGTTCATCAACTGTTGGTTCGTTCGTTCGTTCATTCTGCTGTTCTATTTTTGGCCATGACAGTCAATAGACGCCATGGAGCACTTAGTCTGCCTATAAAAAGAGCTGTAAATGTCCTGACCTGTCCTCTGGAAAGGCCTTCAATTCATTGCTCGCACTTATCAGGAGAGTAGTTGCACTGTAAAGTATTCGCGCAGTGATACGTTCCTCCTGTTGCTTCGAGTCGCGGTACGCAATGCCTAAAAAGGTTACCGATGGAACTGGTGATGACAGACTCATGTGATGCTGTAACCCAAGTTGTCGTCCTTTTTCAGTAAGCGCGGAGACACTGCCCGTATTCGCATCCATGAGTCAGCCACAGTCAGCCACGGCTCACCACAGTAACAGCGCCACATCCGATCCAATCGAGTGTATGCACATTCGGGTGCCCTCAAACAGCCCATTCATGCACTTGGAAACACATGGACGAAAAAGGTACAACTTGTATTAGTGCCAAAAGTTTCACTAGAAAGACTTGCTACAACACAGAAACTGATGCCATTGTTATTGTTGCTGAAATATGTACTACGAAATAGCTATGGATGGTCTTGATAGGCCACGCAAGAGGCAGATACATACTTTTCTTGACTTACCTTTTACAAGTAGGAACAATGACGGTCACAGACGCACGGAGGAGTTGCTGCAAGCCGTCCATGGAGCCATTCTCTGTTGCCTTATCATGAAACCCATCGTGACCCCTTCAGGTCTGTGTTGGATGCTTCACATATGGCTTTAAAAATAGTGCCAACGAGAGACTACATTGAGCCTCACCCAACACCAACACCAATCAGTGTCAGTAAATTTGAAACAAGGATTAGATAACTACTTTATTGTTTTTGTGACTACGTCTTACTCTACTGCCCATACATATTGAAAAGGCATGGGTGCCGTTCTTACGGAACATTAACAGTATCGTAGATCTCGTTGAGACGCTTAGATAATGGAACCTGGATATAGGGCTATAAATATGGGGAAAGCGATCATTCTGTCATCATCATGATGGAAGAGGCTTCCAGAATTTTAGAACATCGAGCTAATAAAAACTGATAACAGGGGTCGTTCAGATGACAGGATTCGATCGAAACGTCGATTTCGATCTGGCTGATGTAACACAAGCGGCTTGTGATTGGGGCCGGGCTCCAGTGCTTTACTGATTTTGTGGAAGATGTGAGAAGAAGAGAAGGATTTTGAAGCTCAACAAACAGAGATCTATACACTATGTGATTCATTCTCATAGCGACTCAGACTCCAAGTCATCAACAATACATTATTATTAGTATCCGTCACAGAAGTATACGTCACCCTATGTATGGATGTCATGATATTGGATTGGATACAAGATATGGTTAGTTCGTCAATGCAGCTGTGGCTCGTGAGCTACAACCAATCAGTTGACCCGGATCTTACTCCGAGCTCGATCGTGTCCCTCCACATTCGATTTAGCTACTCTGCAATTGTGCGAATATGGCATATAGGACTCTGATCATTGGAAGATTGTTTGGGAAGCTGATTGTAGCAGCGTTGAGTTGATTGGGTTAGAGATATACACATTGAGAAGTCCCGTGTATTGTGTGCACACATCCCTTAACTACGTAGCACCTCCAACCTTCACTCATTCAGATGATGAAACACGTGAAAGGAAACCCATGTAACGCAGAGATTACTCGCCACCGAATACCTTATCTGATCCCTTGCTCTCAGTCGACTGTGATACTACTTACTGTCTTTGACGGGTTCCTTGCCAGTATCACGAGTCCAAGCAATGTCCAAGAGATATCGCCAACTACTCCCTGTCCCTCCCAGCGAAAACTCGCCTCCCAACTCGCAGCCATCTGGATCTTCCTCGACTCCACGATCCTCCAGCGACGAACCTTTGAAGCGACAACGAATCGGAACACAACTAGCATGCAACTCGTGCCGTAAGAGGAAGATTCGTGTAAGCTTCTCAAGGAAAGTGGCAACCCATTTGTCCCTTTTAACACGATGTGTCAACTAGTGCGATGGAAGAAAGCCGACGTGCGAGGCTTGTCGACGACGCGGCGAAAAGAAACCATGTACCTACGCCGAGACTCGAAGTTCAGGCCAGACGAGTAAGGAAACAGAGCAGATTCTGGGGCTGTTTGATATTTTGAAGACAGCACCCGAGGCTCAGGCTATTGATATTCTCCGAGTCGTACGAAGCCACACAGATCTCGATACAGCCGTGTCGATAATCCAACCGCGGATAACAAAAAACATCAGTGACCATGAACGCTCCCCTGAGCACCCTCGGCACCTGGGTCTTGAAGCTGAGCTCATGGCAAGGCATTCTCTCGCTTTTCCAGCGCTTCAACCCCTTGAATCTAGTATCTTGAAGTAAGCTGGCTGGATGGGAAAGGCCTCATCACTCGCTATCCGGCTACAAAGCCGTGTTATCACCAACTTTGGCTGACATTTAACAGGAAATCCTTCAGCGCCAGCCGGACATCATCAACCACACAAAACGACGAAAACACCCCGATGACCAATAGTGACCCGAACCCGTTCCCAGCCCATGATCCTACCCAGAGCCTGGCACCCGCCCTAAGCCCATGTGACGAACGATTAGAAGAGCTGAATATTGGATTTTGGACCTCTGTACCAATCGCCTCCAACTTGGCTGCAAAGGTCATATCACTATATCTGGAGACTGACCACCCCTTATTGGGCCCCTTTGATCCTACCTTGTTTATGGAAGATCTGGTCCATTGTCGAACCAACTACTGCAGTAAGCTACTGGTCAGTGCCATTATGTACTGGAGCTGTGTAAGTGGTCTGGAAGGAGTCTGGTACTCGACTAGCCTCGCTGAGACAACAACAGCAAATGTACAGTGCGGTAGACTCTACTGTTCAGTCCTTCATACCACAGTTTTGTGAAGAGGCCGAGAATCGTTGGTCACTTGAAAAGGCGACAGATTCTCTGATGAATCTTGCTGCAACACAACTGTTGGGCTTAGCATATCTGGGTAATGGAAAAGATCACTACGTCTTGACGTATGTATCTGAAGTGAACGCCATGGGGGCTCGCATGGGCCTTTTCGGCGTCGAGCAAAGCGTTGCGATTTCGAAAGCAAAGCAAGTGAGCCCTGAGCTACAAAGCGCTACATCATATGCTGCTTGGGGGACTTTCAACTGGATAGTGTGAGTTCACGAAGTCAAGATCTCAGACAAGACATGATGTTAACATCCTCAGGCTTATGGCTTTGTTTTATCAACAACCTGGCCTCTCATATCCCGAGCACCCCCCTATAGTCCCAATACCAGGACAAGAATGGTATCATTCTCCTGAGCCCAGCCCCGAGTCTCATCAGCAGACACCTCAGCAGACGTACATGGGCGACACGTTTCCGGTTCTATGTCGATTTTGGAGAATAATGCACGAAGTGACCTTGAAATACTATCGTGATCAGCCTTTCCCGCGCGAAAGCCTCAGCAGTCACATTACACTCGCCTTTGCGGAATACAAATATCGAGAGTTAATAGCTTGGGCAGAAACACTGCCCCCATCTATGGTGCGTTCAGAGCAGAGTCCGCATCATGTTTTGGTCTTTCAGTATGTTTCGAATTTCTTGCTTCTTCCCAACTGTAGTCCTTCTGTTAAATCTAATCGCATGGCAGTATCTGGCTCCATGTCGCTATTCTGTGTGTCCTTCGCCCATTTACAGTTCGTGCGAGGGATTCACCAAAACCACTGCGACTGAAAACATTTCCCTGCAAGCGCAGCTCGCCTGACGCTGCATACAAAGCATCCGTGAACCAGCTCAAGCGTCTTGTGGTGGTATACAGAGAAAAATATGCATGTTCATCTTACACGATGTTGTGGCATACTGCTTTGATCCACGTCGCTAATGCGATTCTTGGAAACACAAAGGATGCCGCCTGGCGCTTTTACCTGTTCTTTTGTGTCGAAAGCTACGGAGAACTACGACGCTCATTCCGATTTGCCGAAACCATCGGTCGCAGCATATTGTCCATGGCGCTTCAGCAAGGCGATTTGTCCGCAGACGAAGCACGAACACTAATGGTACAGTTTGAGGAGAATAGGCTGACTAGTCCGTCGGAAGATATACGGGCGACATTCATGGCTGATCTGAATCTTGCCATGACGGATCCCGAAGAAGCAAGTGTGGAGAGCCTGTCTGACAGGTTTGAGGACATTGCACTGTTTCGGGAGTTTACGAATGCGGGTGACTCAAGCGAGGACGAACCAGTAGAGTCGGATGATGATACTTGGGATACGTCGTGAGACGGAGCAATCACTGAGTGGAATGGTCAGTACAGAATGACCGGAAGAGGCTTGCTACCTTGAGCAAACTGCTGGCTCAGAAGCTTTGAATAAGGTACCCTGAAGAAAAGACCAGCAATGAAGTTGGGCAGAGTCAAAATGATTGACAGAATAAGGCAACACATCACAATTGCCGTTGAGCAGGAGAAGGAGAAGGGGAAGAAGATGTGCAACAAGCAATACCAGTTGTGCCTTGAACATGAGACAATCGGTAACACTGGCGTCTATGAAAGTTAAACAAAAAGGAGGAGTTTGCGGTTAGCGTAGCGAGGTGCAGACCGCTGGACTCAAAGAGTGTGTTTATGATATGAACCTCTATATAGTGCTTCAGTTCGCCATCACTGTGAACAAAGACGGAACCGTTGGTATCTAGATGATTGACCATTTCCGGGGAACAAGTGTTTTGATGGTTGGTTCTACAAACATCAAGATGCCTGTTTTCGAAAGTCTGGAGCCTTGATCACTTGGAACTAGTCAATATTAATGCTCTCATGGATTGATTGGCTAGCCCATGGTTCGCCCGACTCGGCCGGTTTACGGAGAATCGACAAACAAACCCGTAGAAACAAAAGAGAGACAGATGAATCGACTGCCGACTTGACCCTTCACTGATGCTTTATGCAAGCTCTTCCATGGCGCTTTGATACAAAAGTGTGTTGAATCAGGGTGTTGAGGTTAGGTCATGTCAAAGTCTCATGCAAGTCATATCAACATGATGAAGTGGGATAGCAACTGATTAAGGTGAACACGAGAATCTCAATAACAAATGTCAGCAGAGCAAGGACCAGGGATGGATGTTCTCTCATTTACTGAGCGTAATCAAGCGACGGGCTTGGCCCCAAATTCTTGTCTTATACGGATAATCTGACCTGTTTAGATTTACTGGGTCAACCACAAAACCCCTCATATCACATATTCTTGGCTGCCGTGCTACCGAGACTCGCTCTTCACATTGTGATATTCTTTCTCAAGAGGTATGTACATACCGTTCAGGTACAAACTAGACTTGGCCCGTCTGGGTTTGGCACTTCCCTCAGGCTAACTCGGCCGTATCGACGGAGCCTTAGAGCTTGCAGAGGGTGGAGTTTAGGGCGGCCGTTCCAGGTCCTCGCCTGCTCGTATTTGGCAAATCTCTACGCAAAAGAGGCTAGCTTGGACCTGGAGATGGCGGGTCGGAGGGGAATTATTCAGCTGTGAGCTGCTAATAATAATGCAGTTGGATGGTATGTATATCCGAGGTGCCCGATACAAGTGAGTGGTATGCATTCATCTAACGATATTTCGAGGGGTGAAACATTCAATGTCATCAAGAACAGTTAGTCAATGACATTTCCTCCTCGTATCTCCATGGCTATGCCCGGGCTAGAGGATGGGACTTTTTGAATGGCTCCCGCTTACGAAAAAAAGGTTACTTTTATGATTAATTGGAGGTGCTGTACTCTGTACTTAGGCTGAAGCTGTACCTCGAATTGCTACACGAGGGTAATTTACTGCCATTTGCTCAACCTCTTGTACAAGCATCCAATGACTGGCGAATCTATCATGTCATCTCCCAATATTCTTCTGTTAGCCCCAACTGATCTAATTGTCGTCCTTGATCAATTCTTGCCCTCATTGCCCGACCTCCAACTTTTAAAGTTTTCCATCCTTTGTGACCTTATAAACTGAGGTAAAAAAAAAAGTACCTTGTGCACCTAAACTGGCTTTAACTCTACCTTAAGGTAATCCCGCTTCTAATAACCCCTGCTTCCTTGTCGAGGTTCCTTCCATTCTTAGGTTCCTAGCCACCCCGGGCTGCCATCCCAATCCCCCAATCCCGGTATCCAGGGCATTCATTCATTCATTTGCAGGTAACCTCCGCCCACGCCTGTCTCTCTCTGTCTCTCTCCACTTCTCATCGTCATCCTTTCGCTCGTTTCTTTCTCTTTCATCTTTGCATCCTCATGAAGCTCGACACGTATCATCGTTGTCGTCTTTGAGCTTATCGTCGCTCTCGCTTCATCGTCGACATGCGCTTCCCGTCAACATCGAAATCAGAGCCAAGGCTCGGTGCAGGCGGCATCATAGCTGCCCTGCTACTGACGCTCAATCGCTTTTCCTTGGCCTACCAACTGGATCCTAATTCGACGAGTGAGTTACACCGTGAAACAGTCGCCGAGCCGCTTGCTTCGTACTTTGCCCTCTCAAAGCCGCGCATTCTGACATAGAAACTCCATTCAGGTTCGATTAAATCGATTGCCAAATCAATCGCCAAGGATATGGTTGGCATGTATCATGGCGACGAACCCGGACAAACACCAGGTCTACTACCTGATCCTTATTACTGTACGAACGCAGTCCCCAACTCGATATTGCTCCATCTGTTGATACTAACAATTCCTGCCAGGGTGGTACGCTGGCGCCTTTATGGGAACACTCGTCGATTATTGGGCATACACTGGCGATTCCCAATACGTCGAAATCACCAAACAGGCACTTCTTTTCCAGGTCGGCGATCACGACGATTATATGCCTATTAACCAGACAAGAACCGAAGGAAACGATGATCAGGGCTTCTGGGGACTTACTGTCATGTCGGCTGCCGAGTACAACTTCCCCCATCCTGCAGAAGACCAGCCACAATGGCTTGGACTTGCACAAGCCGTCTTCAATACCCAGGCAGCTCGTTGGGATACAGAGCATTGTAATGGCGGTTTGAGATGGCAAATCTTCCAGGTTAGTGATTCAGTTATGTCCAGTTTCGGACTTTCGCCATCACCACCTGTCAAATCTTCGTGGCGTCACCCGAGTGCCTAGCGTCAAATGTTTATCATCAGTCGAAATTGATATTCATGGGCTAACAACCGATTGCAGTGGAATAGGGGTTACGACTACAAGAATTCAATTTCTCAGGCTTGTTTCTTTGCTCTAGGTGCTCGTCTCGCTCTCTTCACTGGCAATAGCAGTTATGCCGACTGGGCGGATAGAACATGGGACTGGATGGAAGCAGTCGAGTTTATTGACCCTAAGAGCTGGTACGTTTATGATGGTGCTCATATCGGCAACAACTGCACGAAACTCGTCCCCTATCAATTCTCTTACAATGCTGGCGGTATGATTCTCGGCGCCGCTGCTATGTACAACTTTACCGAAAGCCAGGTCTGGAAGGATCGCCTCGACAATCTTCTCGTGGGTGCCAAAGTCTTTTTCTCAGGGCCTGAAAAGAATATCATGACAGAGGTCGCTTGTGAACCCGTGAAACTTTGCAACCTCGACCAGAAGTCTTTTAAGGCATATCTGAGCCGCTGGCTTGCTGTCACTACGCAATGGGCTCCCCATACTCGCGACACTATCATGCCACTTTTGCGTGCTTCAGCCGTTGCAGCCACGGACAAGTGCACGGGGGGTGATAACAATCGAATGTGTAGTCTCTACTGGACCAAGGACAAGTTTGAGGGCGAAGTCACCATTGGTCAACAAATGGCCGCATTAGAAGTTACTCTTGCCTGCATGATCCAGGATCGGCCAGCCCCGTTAACGAAGGACACTGGAGGCACAAGCAAAGCCAATCCTGGCGGTGGTGCCGAAGATGTTGGGCGAACGACCCCTGATTTGGATTACAAACCTTTGCCTGCCGGTGATAAGGCTGGTGCCGCCATTATTACCATTTTGATTCTCGCCGGCCTACTTGCTGGTATGTTCTGGATATTCTTTGACGAAACGTCAGACAGTGGTCCCATTGATCAGTTCCGGAGTTTTGGATCATCAGCCGCTGCTGCCGTTGCCGCTTTGGCTGCTGGTGGGGGCGCAGCCGCGGTATTTGGACATAAGAAGGGCAAGAAGGACATCAACGAAAAAAATGCTGCGGTCTTTGCGACATCAAGCAATGGCAGCTCCCAAGAAAACACCAACAGCCCTGTTGCAAATGATGTGCCTGCCGGCGCTACCAATCAGAGCCAGGGGCAACATCGTCGGGTGTCTAGCATGCCTTTGGGATGGCCACAAAACCCAGCAATGAGAGGAAGCACTCTATATGACTCTGACGGAGTTTATCCAGCGTCAGCCTCGGCGCGACAATCTCGAGGGGACTGGGCAGTAGGAGGTATTGGCGAATCAAGCAGTGCTGCAGGAAGTTCGGCTGGTGGCAATAGAAGCTACACACAACAGGAGAACGCGACACGCGACACCACCCCAGGTACCGAGGAACCTGGCCTACCACACGATAGGAACAGTTAGAGTGCCACCCACACCGCCGAAGTGGGCGTGAGTCAACGTGAAGCTCCAGGAGCTATCGGGGTAGCACAGTGATCGTTTCCTGTGCTGGGTAATCATCTTTTCTTAATCAAAGGGGTTGAGACTTACGACATTCTTGGCAATACACGCTCAACTAGGGTTTGACGGACGCTTGTGGCATTTTGGGGGCGTTTTGACGGTGACGGCGCATATCGGTTGGCAGCCTGTGGGCAGGCTTTTGAGTGTTGTCTATAACTTGGACCGGGGTGCCATAAGAAAGAAGGCCTCCTAGCTACAACGGCAGAGTCGAGGTGTTACACACAATTAGATACAAACTCACAGGCGTCTGTCCTTTCCAACAAGACACTATATATGGCTCAGAGTAAGAGTAGTGCACACTTATTTCACGCAGATATTTGGCTGGTGCTATAATTTGTCGTATTCGCTATCGTCATTTCAACAATGATTCAATATCATCGACAAACACATTCTCACAGAGTCAATCTACTATGCCATCAAATCAGCCGCTAATAGATTTTCAGGTGCTCGTGCCATTCAAGATGCCTTGTGGTATGTTTCATGAATCGCCTGTGTCTCCCGTTCAAGGAACTCATCGAATGTGCTCAGCGGGATTCCCCATGCTTTGACTTCTTCCTTGGTTGCAAGCTTGGCCATGTCTCTCATGACAAGTTGACCAGCTATGAAAGGGTTGGTGGCTTTCTGATCCATGATCTCTTCATCAGAAAGGTACTCTCCCTTAAGATACCTTCCCACGGCTTTGGAGAGCTTCTGTAAGATGGTTTCCACTTCAATCCACTCATCAGCATACGCGATCTCCTTTCCATGAAACTTGGCTGGGTTCAGAAATGCTTCGCCACCAAACTTGCCGATAGTGATTGTATCAGTCAAGGGGAGAACAGTGTTAGGGGTCATCGCAGTTGCGAAGACTCCTTTGTCAACGAGGTCGGGATACATTCTGACAAAGGGTTCGACATAGTTGGCCATGAAAGCTCCCGGGCGCAAGATTGTCCAGTGCTCGAATCCTGCATTGCGAGTCTGGTTTTCAATTGCATGCTTGTTGCGCATGATTATATCAGTGAAACTTCCTGGCTCCATGGCAGTCAGTTGGTCAGGATTGCCAGCGCTGAAGCCGCTTGAGAAGATGGCATGCTTGACGCCAGCTTCTTTGCCACCATTCAAGACGTTGGTTGCCCATCGCCTCTCAGCAGTGAGGTCTGTGAAGTCGGGCATAAGGACAAGAAAGAGGCCTGTACAGCCCTTCATGGCCTCTCTGAGCGCCGCTTCGTTGTCATAGTCTCCAGGAGTAAGCCTGACCCCAATACTCTTAAGAGCTTTAGCCTTATCAGAGTTAGGATCGCGGGCAAGGGCATGGACAGCGATGTCCTTGGATCGCAGGTAGCGAGCGACAGAGCCCCCCTGGCAGCCTGTTGCACCTGAGACGAAGATTTGAGGGGTAGACATTTCCAAGTTGTTGAATAGTATGTATGTGATGTTCAGGGTGCAAAAGTATAGCTAGGTGGCGTACAGATGATATTTAAGTCCAACTATTTAATCTCTTTGAAGTACCAAAAGCCCTCACTTTATAGAAGCTACTCGCGGACTGACTTGCGGAAAACTATTCTATCCCGTAGAGTACTTCATCCCGTCGCCGGAGATCCGCTATTCTCACGCAGATCCCCCGGAGCCGGAACCTCTTGCACTGGGCGGAGTTCCGCCCGGTCCCACTTTTCCCGATCCTTTCCACTGCGGTAGATGCTTGGTTGCTAGTCAGACTTTCAGCTTCCGACATCACAACCATCCGTGTTACTAATTACACTTCCGCGCATTGGTGAACCCACTGCGGCTTTTTTTTTCTAATATGTCTCTTACCGCTCGAGAACGCCGCAACCCTCCAAGTCGGCGGAAGTCCTGTACTGCTTGCACAAAAGCTAAGCGGCGCTGCGACTTTGCTCTACCCGCATGTCTCCGATGCTCTCAAAGACAGATATCTTGCCAATATCCGACAAGGACGATACGGGGACAGTTGACCCCTCAGTCTGAATCGCCAGAGACAGTATCACCTTGTCTATTAAGTAACGAATCGTCCCCTGAAGTTTCTGGCAGCTTTCCCATTAGCGGGTCAATCATTGAAGATTTCAATGCCATCATCTCAAGAATTGATGCAAGCTCCAATGGCCTGGATACGTTTGATCTGCCACTAGAAGATGTGGCACTAGAACTTGCTCAACAGCCTTTGACATTAACTGGCCCGTCGACGCAAGATTTTGGGAATGTCTCAGCACATATCTTGAATCGCCTTCAGTGGGCTGTCGATGAGATCAAAGAGGCTCCAAAGAAGATGGTTCTTGAGAATCAAACACCGTGGTGTCATCCACTCCTCTATAAAGATGCTATGCCTCGGTCTATGCAGGGTGAAGATCAGAGCTCAACTGTCGTCTGCGCTCACTAACATCAACGCAGATGCCCACTCCTCTTGTGCGTTATACATGGCCAAGAACCGTGTCAATTCGCCCATCATATTTCGTAGCATAGAATCTCGCGTCAACGACCTACTCTCAGCGCCGCCACCAATAACGCCTCTGGACTGTCTGGCTCATACCCAGGCTCTCATCCTTTACCAGATAATAAGGCTCTACGACGGCGACATAGGTGCCCGTACATCAGCAGAACGAATCATTCCAGCCATAGAAGCTTCCGCAATGTCATTGTTCTCCTATGCCCAGTTTGACATCGAGGGCACACCTGGCACGCTTCCGCTATACCCTATAGCCCCGACAAAAGCCTTCTGGCAAGATTGGATTCTCCAGGAGTCCCTACGCCGGACTCTCTTATTCTCATTCTATCTTGTACAGACATATCGTATCATGTCCGGCTGCAAAATGCTCCAATGTGATGGAAGGCTTGGTTTATGCCACTCATGGACACTGTCCGCATATTTATGGAATGCTATGACTCCATTGGGATTTGCTGAGGCATGGAGAGATAAGGACCACTATGTGGTGACGAATGCCATCTTTAATGGTGTTCTTGCTGAGGCAGAGGCGGATGACATAGATGTCTTTGGAAAGATTATGATTTCAAGTTTATTGGGACGAGATGAGGCTGAGGGTTGGTTTGCAAGCAAAGGTGGGAAATTGTAGAAGGTCAATCAAGATTCAGCGAAGCCCAGGCGCTGGATGATAAGAAACACAAGGCAAGGCAAGTGTTGAGAAATGGTCTTATGGATACGACTTCGAATCCACAGTTTTCTTTTATATCTCTTCACCCTGGGCAATATCGCATCATGATAACAAAATGTTCCTCACCCTCTTCGATAGTGCGCTAGTTCTAGATTTGCGAAGTCGACATGAAATGCATTATTGTCAACATCTATAAGCAACAGCGGGTTTAGCTCAGTTGGGAGAGCGTCAGACTGAAGTCAAACTTCGGGATTCGAAATCTGAAGGTCGTGTGTTCGATCCACACAAACCGCAAACCTTTTCTTTTGCCTATCTTGGGTTCATCACAGGCGGAGCTACTACTTTTAGTGTTTGGACTAAGATGCAGCTGAATGGAGCCGCAAGAATCCAGGGACCAAACTTGCCAACAAGGTGTCTGTCTAGTCTGTGACGCTATCGATATGTGGCTGAGCATCCCTTTTGCTCTGTATAAAAATGAATTAGAAATATCTCGTGTTATTAATATGTTCTAAGGGCCTATCAATGATCGAGGCTTGGAAGGGCTGAGCAGTCAGCTATTTATTTATCTGATTCAAAGTTCAAAGGTTGAAGCAAGCCTGTAGAACCCACCAATAAAAACATCAAATCAACATGATCGCACCATTGACACCGATTGTGGGTCGAAAACGGAGCCGGTGGAAGTTACCCCCGGTCTCATTCGCGGCATTGCACATGGCTTATCTCAAGGGTCTATCCATGTCTTACATCCCCTTAAATAGAATTCCCTAATAAATGCGACAACGGCGACGTAGCAGATGCGAGGGCATTTCATGTTCCTGAGAGACATTTCGACGTCAAGTCATCATGTCCTTCCACAACTTAAATACGAACCCTTCTAGGGAGGATCGCGACAATGCCTCGTTCCTCTCTCCTGTCGCATACGACGACGATGCTTCTTCTCTTCACTCCCGCAGCGATCAAGATACCGATACCGACGATGACGAACTTATCTCGCGCGCGAGAAATAGTAGAGAATTGCGTGCTCACGATCGCATTGTCTTGATGGAAGAGGAAGATATTGATCGACTTGTTACCGACTCGCGACAGAAGAAAGAACGGGAGCGCCGTGGCTCAGGACTCGCAGTACCTAATATAGGCAAAATGTTTGGTCGTCGAGGAAGCAGTTCAGGAAATCGTTCGATCAACAGTTCCGCAGAAAATCTTGTGATTGAGAAGCGAAAGACTCGACGCCAACGGAGACAGAAGAAGCGAGAGAAACTTGTGGAGCATGCTCAACATGGAGAGGACGGAGAGTTGATGTATGAGATGGAAGAAGGAGGTATGAAGGAAGGGAGCTCAACTGGCGAGAGTAGCGAGAGGGATGACAGTGACGAATTGGATCGACATCATCTAAATCTGATTGCCGAAGCAAAGGCCCAGCGACGTCGCAGCTGGCGCCGGTGGGTCTTCATTCACTCCCTGATCGCCATAGGCTTCGCGATCTTGATTCTCTTAGCCTGGAAGCTATCCAAGAATCGCAGGAACAGATTCACCAAGGCGAACCAACCCCTGGTCAGCAATGGAACCGCCCTCTTTGCGCCCACGTCCCTCATCATCAGCCTGGATGGTTTCCGCGCCGACTTCCTCCAACGTGGATTGACACCTACCTTGAACTCGTTCGTTGCCGAGGGAGTGTCGCCGAAATGGATGCATCCTTCTTTTCCATCAGTCACCTTTCCGAACCATTACACTCTTGCAACAGGCTTATATCCTGAAAGCCATGGCATCGTCAGCAATACCTTCTGGGATCCTGATATGCAATCGCAATTCTACTACACCCATCCTGGCCAGAGTCTTGACCCAAAGTGGTGGGGAGGAGAGCCTTTCTGGGTTACAGCAGAGAAGCAAGGGGTTCGGAGTGCTGTCCATATGTGGCCAGGAAGCGAGGCACATGTCCTTCACACTGAACCAAGCTTGATGGATAAGTTCAATGGCAAAGAAACACTTGAGAATAAGGTCGCCAGAATCATGGAGTTTCTTGATATGCCCGGCTTTGAGGACAAGACAGTGGACACCGGCAACATGCGACCACAATTGATTGCCGCTTACGTTCCTCATGTCGACAGTGATGGTCACAAATTCGGTCCCAACTCCACCGAGATCCGCCAAACTATCAAGAATGTGGACGGCATGCTGGGACAGGTCTTCCACGGACTCGAGCAACGCAACTTGACCGACATTGTCAACGTGATTGTCGTCTCCGATCACGGTATGGCAACCACAGATATCTCAAGACTAATCCAGCTCGAAGACCTTATCGATACAGACAAGATTGAGCATATCGATGGCTGGCCACTCTACGGTCTTCGTCCCAAGAACCCAGACGACTTGAAAGGACTCTACTATGAGCTTAAGGAGAAATCAAAGTCTAACCCAAACTTTGAAGTCTATCTTCGTGACGTCGACATGCCCGAGCGATATCACTTCTCCAAGCATCACCGCATCGCCCCGCTGTGGGTTGTTCCCGAAACAGGATGGGCCATTGTCACCAAAGACGAGTTTGATGTAGAAGAAGGAAAGAAGAAGAATCTCGTATATCATCCGCGAGGTCTTCATGGTTATGACCATGAGCATCCGCTTATGAGGGCCATTTTCATTGCCCGTGGCCCTGCGTTCCCCCACCCAGCGAACAGCCAGATCGAAGTGTTCCGTAAGTTGATTTCTGACGAGCATCCTTTTTCTTCCTCACTTACTGATTTGGATGACTAGAAAATATTGAGGTGTACAACATGTTGTGCGACTCTGTTGGTTTGACGCCCAGCTCCAACAACGGAACTTTACGGCTTCCCCTGAAGCCTATCGGCGTGCACAAGCCCGAAGATACACCCGAGGAACCTGCCGATCCTCCGTCCGCCCCCAAGAAGCCGGCTCGCCCAACTTTGTCGGAGAAGCCAAGTCATCCCGAGAGGCCGACTGTGCCTCAAAAGCCTACCCAGCCTGAACGACCTACGGTCCCAGTTGCCCCTACGCAGTCCGCCAAGGCGACAGTCTCACTCAAGAAACCCGCGAAACCATCAAAGTCGGCTGTCCCCTCTAAGGACAGCGGAGGTAAGGATGGGGATAGCGACAGCGATAGTGACAGTGGCGACGATGACGATGATAAAGACGAAGGAATTTGGGATTGGTTCACTCACAAAGTGGAGAAAGTATGGCATAAAATTACTGGAGATGATTGAATTGTGAATACATAGGGTGGAAATGTCGTGCGTATTTCTTTGTATTTTGCGGCGTTCAAAGGGGCCATGATGGAACACAAGGGCGTTTGACAATGCGGCGGGCATGATGAGGCTTGTGATTCGTCCAAGCAAAGTTGGTATACATCTGATATCCTTTCCTTTTGCTCCTTTCAACCTTCCCTGTTTGAAAATGAGGCGAAATGCTGTGCTCACACTGGTGCTGCACTTTGTTTGTGTGACCTTTGTGCTCTTTGCAAGAGTGCCACGTATAATAAGGACATTTTATTAAGAGGCGGTGTACACTGCAGGTAGCTTTTCATTCACATAGCCTATTCCCTTGAAAATATACTTTTGCCTGCATCAAAGAGGTGGTGGGATTTGAGACACGGCCAAAGAATATTTGTTGCGGTGTGTGCACTGAAAAACTCCGCCTCAGCTTCCTGCATACCTAGGTAGGTAGTAGGTACCTTACCTTAGGCTACCTTATAGTTAGAATACCTCAGGTCATACCTTAACTCAAGAAATGCCTCATGTGAGGTTCCATAGAGAATTGGACTTACCTTATGTTACAATGCCCTATAGAGATATCTATCTGAAAATGGCTGCAGTAGGCTACTCAGCTTAGGCGGCGCTAAGGTAGGCTCTGATAATGATTAATGATTTCATGCAAGGGATCCATTTCAAGGTGGGGTCCTGCCTGCCATGATTGCCCCTCCCCCACTACAATACAATGGCTGTTGCTGCCTGCATTAGCTCCCCTCGGGCCCTCCACTTTCAACTCCAGTGAATCACTTAACGCGTGACGCGGCGAGCTCCTTCCCATACTCCCGGTATAATCGTCCCTGAGCTCCACCTCAAAATTAGATGTGAACCTTACAGTATCAACATCTGACTTCAGCCGCTTGCAACACTCATTTGTGCACGTACGAAGAATCACGTTCTTTAACACTACTCATCTGCGATAACTGGTACTGCGAGATCGTGATAGGGATCCTGATAGGCCGGTCACCACTACCCTGCCGCCTCAAGCATCCGGAGGTCTTGCTGCGTACCCTTGGAACATTCATGGGCGGCCCCTTGCCTCCGGTGGCCTGTCGCTGTCGCTGGCCGAGAAGGTCTTGAATGCTGTCGTTGCGCCTGTGCGCTGTCTCATTCGCCTTTCTCAAGGCTGCAGCGCAAGATGGCTGACATAACCTCCATGAGTGTCGAGGAGATCCAGGAGGAGCTGACAGTGCAAAAGGTTGTCTTAGAGTCCCTTTCTGAGGCAACGTATGATGGGGCTGAGGATATGAGACAAGAGGCTCACTCGGAGATCGTTCGCCTCAAGAAGCTTCTTCAAAGCTTGAAACTGAAGAAGGAGCCTGGTACTACCAGTATGTTCCACCCCTCAGCATAACCCTGGCGGCATTGTTTCTCGTTGTCTAATATCACTTGTAGCTGGTGAATCTCGTCACCACGTCCCCGAAGATCGTGTCCTTGGATCATCAACTCTAGGTACGAGATCCTCGAAAAATACTCTATGCGCATTTCATATGTGATTTCTTCTTTAGTGCCTATGCCATGTCTTTAGCACTCAAGTTCTTCTGACTGGATCTTCCAACTTCATGTGTTACTCGCCAATCCCTGATTTTATCACTCAATCGGCCTACAACCAAGAGCATCAAGCTGACCTTTTCCCAGAGGATGGTGAGCCTGAAGCATCAAAAGCCATGCAATCTCCATCACGACACGGTGCCTGGCGTTTACCTGACCGAAAGAGGGGTGCCGACTCAGCTCGCCTCTCCTTCCACGACAATCATGCGAAGACACGCCGTATTTCCCCTGAAGAGAATACCTTCTCGACTACCTTGGCCTACGGCAATGCTGACGACCACGTCGACTTCATAGACCTTACTGGGTAAAGTTGCTTGGTAGCATACTGTCTCCTCCACTGCTGACGGAAGAACACCAGGGACGATGATGACATAGGGTCCGACTTCATCGCTGAACAAATTAAGGCCGAGGAGAGACAAAAGCAGGAATGGGCAGACCAACAGCTCGCGAGACAACTTTCGAGTCAAGGCCCTTCCAATCAACTTCCAGGCTCACAATCTTCTCAAAATAACGCCTTTACACGACTCATGAACAGTCAGCCTGCCCTTTCTACCACACTTGATGACACAGACGACGACCTCTTTCGGATCCCTGGCGCTTATGATGCGCGCTGGGACGATTCTTCAGGCGCCGGGCCAAATTTCAACATACCTCAAAGGCGAATGGTCCCTCAGTACATACCTATGGCAACTTCCCCGAACCACAATGCCATCAAGGACGACCCGGATCTTATCTTCGCAGGATCCGTTACTCGCCAAATACCAAGTCCTTCTGGTCGTCCAATCCTGGCTTCCGGCATGAACTACCCAGACCTGAGTAGGCGTCATCCTGGTGCGCCTCGTGCTGGCGTCTGGCCTAAATATCACAGCTCACCTGGTTCTTCTTCAAATTCATCAGAACTCGCCAATTTGACCAGATGGAGTAGCGGAATTGACTTCGTGAGCGGGCTAGATGCCGATGGCAGGCCAATAAACCCCCATTTGATGAGTTACGCGAGAGAAGCGGAGAGTTTCCATACGCCTCAGCTAGACCAAGGAGAACTTGATGCTCTCCTGAAAAATATCTCTGCTGATATGGACCTTCCCAAGGCAGGTCTAGGTGAGGCACCAGAAGGGTTGAAGAGACCCCTGTATCCTCATCAGGACATTGCTCTAGCCTGGATGAAGAAAATGGAATCAGGGACAAACAAAGGTGGTATTCTTGCTGATGACATGGGGCTTGGGAAGACAATTTCAACACTTTCGCTCCTCTTGGACCGCCGGGCACCCACAAGGCCAAAGGTGCGTATCTCCGATTGACAAACAAGTTAGTGTACTAAGATGTTAGACAAACCTCATCGTCGCCCCTGTGGCTCTCCTACGTCAATGGGAAGAAGAGATTGCCACCAAGACCAAACCAACACACCGGCTCTCGGTATATGTTCATCACGGCAAAAAGGCCTCGATTGATGAGTTACTTAGATATGACGTGGTGCTGACTACATATGGTACGGTGGCACAAGAGCTCAAGCGATTTGAAAAGATCGTGGAGGATCATAATGAAAGGGGAGGAAACATCAACTGGAACGACACGACCATCAGTTCCAAACTATCACTTCTGCACCCGGTCAAGGCCCAATTTTACCGTGTCATTCTTGATGAGGCACAATGCATTAAGAACAAGGATACAAAGGGTGCCAAAGCCTGCACCCAACTGAAATCGATCCACCGGTGGTGTCTGACAGGAACACCCATGATGAATGGGATCATAGAACTGTACTCTCTTGTCAAGTTCCTGAGGATCAAACCGTACTCGAAGTGGGAAGAGTTCCGACAGGTATGCCAATCAGTCTTCGATGCCAGTTTATCGCTAATGCTCAGTCAGGGATTTGGTGTTCTATTTGGCCGCAATGGAGACCCTAAGCACGTGGCCATGGATAAGTTACAAGCACTTCTCAAAGCCATCATGCTCCGGCGTAAGAAAAGCTCAAAGCTTAACGGTAAGCCTATCCTTGTGCTCCCTGAGAAGACGGAAGAAATCGTCTACGCCGAACTATCACCTGAGGAGCGCGATTTCTATTCGCAGCTTGAAAAGCATGCCAGGGTCCAATTCAGCAAATATCTTCGTGAGGGGACGGTCAGTAAGAACTACTCCAACATTCTTGTTCTCTTGCTTCGCTTGCGCCAGGCTTGTTGCCATCCACATCTCAATCTGGATGTCGACGAAGCGGCCCCTTCGTCTATCCCAGATGAAGATAAGAAACAGCTCGTCAAAGAATTGGATCAAGCTATAGTGGATAGGATCAAGGAGGTCGAGGCATTCGAATGTCCTATCTGCTATGATGCCGTTCAATGCCCCAGCTTTTTTATTCCCTGCGGCCATGATAGCTGCAGTGAATGCCTTGTTCGGATTGCAGAGAGCGCTTCGGCGGTTAATTTGCAGGAAGGAAGTGAAAGCAGCCGGGCTAAGTGCCCCGTCTGTCGCGGCCAATTCGACCCTGCCAAGTGTTTTTCCTATGAAACCTTTCGGGAGGTGCACATGCCGGAAACCGTCAAGAAAGAATCCGGTATGGAACCAGCTGACGATGAATCTGACTCGGGCGACGACTCAGAAACAGGGTCAGAGTCAGACTACGAGTCAGATGATGAGGTAGACAAAAAGGGTAATCTCAAAGGTTTCATCGTTAACGACGAACTTTCGGTTGAGGACGAAAAGGTATCAGTCAAGAAACAGCGCAAAGGAAAGGGGAAACGGAAGGACAAGGGGAAGGGAAAGTCATTGGATGTCAAGCCTGCCATGCTTAAGACCTTGCGCAAGGAGGCTTACAAGAACCGCGAGGCGTTCAAAAAGTACATGCGTTATCTGCGCAAAACTTGGGAACCCGCTGCAAAGGTCACGGAATGCATGAAACTCATCAAGCAGATCGAGGAAACCGGCGAGAAGACCATCATCTTTTCTCAGTGGACCCTGTTGTTGGATCTGCTACAGGTCGCCATGTCACATGAGAAAATGGCTAAACCAGAGAGATATGACGGTTCAATGTCAGCAACTCTTCGCAACGTTGCAGCTCAGAATTTCCGCGAGCGAAAGGACACCAAGGTTATGCTGGTTTCCCTCCGAGCTGGAAATGCAGGCCTGAACCTTACCGCTGCCTCTCGGGTCATCATTATGGATCCTTTCTGGAATCCCTATATCGAGATGCAGGCCGTCGATCGAGCCTATCGAATTGGGCAACAACAGGAGGTGAAGGTGTATCGCATTTTGACCAAGGAGACTGTCGAAGACCGAATCGTAGACTTGCAAAACAAGAAAAAAGAGATGGTTGAGGCTGCACTGGACGAGACTGCAGGCAGCAAGATTGGTCGTCTCAGCATCAATGACCTCAAGAATCTTTTCGGATTCAACCGCTAATAGATGTATATCGACCAACAAATCGTCTGTCACGATATCAACTATCACATTGTACAGTATCAGGGGATACGACTTGCTTTTTTTTAGACGTGGACGAGTTATGACAGTTACAGGGCTGAGACCTGACCATCATGGGAGCCGAACGACCACCTCGCGGCATCAATTCGACTAAGGATTTTCCTTAATGCGATCATGCGAGCAACGGGATATGGACAATGACTCACCCAAGGGATATTTTGGAGTGTGAGCTCAAGGAAAATGCTTCGCGGATGTTTGTTCACTGTTAATTGCAGGCGGTGTGCATGTTGCTCTAGGGCGAACAACCCGTAGATGAACTATGTCAACGTTAGAGAAATGATTTCAGTACATATCACATTGTTTCCGGTTGGGAGGTAAAAATGGACGTGATTGTATGTGTATTCTGGTTCACACCATGCAAAGACAACTCGTTGCTTCGTAAATAGATGTATCCTGTCTCTATACTACACCACAGCCGGTGTAACCCTCTTGAGCACCATCAAAAGCTGGATATGTCCACCTTCCTCTCCTATCCTCTAAGCCGGAAGCGACCAAGTCTTAGAGGTTCAATTTCGAAACCTCGGTATCTATTATGTCCTGAACATATATTTTGGTAGCGTCGTCTGACCACGTCCATTCCTGGGACACCAGTTGCCCGTCAACGATGGACGTACTCTTCAAATGGAGAGCCGGCTCTTCTGTGACTGTGAAGACCATCCGACAATCCTCGTTCTTGGCGTTGAGAATGGCATTGCCCTGTATGCCTTTGGACCATGGCGGGGGAAGAATAGCGAGGTAGTGCTCGACGAGAAGGCGTGTGGTAGCAGTGCCGAGGTAATCAGCCAGTGCATTTGCATCTGGATATCCTTCCCGATATGGTGCACATGCAGCCGAAAGAGGTGAGTTCGGGGGAGTGATTACATAGTAATATGTCGCTGTAACAGGCATGAGGAATGTCCGGCCGCGGACGGTGAAGCTGACATTGGGAAGAATGGTTAGTTTGATGTTGAACTCAATGGGCTGAAGCATATTCCTAATCATGATCTGCGACGATGCAAGTTGGTTAGGTCCCTGATTCGCGGGATCTGAGTCGGTGAGAGAAATAGGGGCTGTGTGGAGGACGAAACGTGACGGAAAGCCAGCGCGCTGAAGAGACTGAACGAGGACGCCAATATGCTTGGTAACGACTTGGACGTTGTGCAGGTGCATGAGGCGAGCGATTATAGGACGGAGAAGAGCATGTGTTTGCTGGCCTCTCGATCGTGGGATGTGAGGCGGTATAGGACGAGTTCTCGTGAGCTCGTTCTGCCGATGAGCGTAGCTAAGGAGGGTATGCAGCGCAAGGGATATCGTCTCAGCGATCTGGTTATCAGGAAGATCATCATCTGAAGAAGCTTGAGGGCCAAGCGGCACCAGCTCTAAGATGACCCTTGATTTGGATGCTGGATCAATATCGCAGATGAGGCGGGAGTCGTATGGCTTGACATCGTATGCTGCAAGGGTGCGAGCTTCGCGTGTCAGTTCGTGCCATAGCTCTTGTGAGAAGATGGTATTTCGGGCTTCAAGAACACGCTCTTCCAAGGGGGCGTCAGCAGCTGTCTCAGCAGGTAAAGCAGAACGGCCGGTAACTTGACCGTCCCTTTCATATGTTACAACAACTCGCTCAGATACTCCTCCTAGCCGGCCGCAATCAAGCTGAACTGCCCCGCCATTGCCTCGCCTCATAGGTGCGAGACTATTCCTGTACTCGGGCGCAGCTATTGATCATGTTAGTACGGTCGTGCGCTGGCAAACTCGTCAGATTGAGGCATACCTTCTGAGAAACCGAATCGAACACCAAGTGTGTGCCTTTCTTGGGGCACTCTGGATATCGACCACCCGGACTTCTGGACTGCTGCAATCTCCTCCCAGTATTTACCCTCAACCGTAACTTCTTTTTCCAAGAACGCACTAGCAGCCTCAGCAGCATCCCGTGCTTTGTTTGTCTGTATGAGTGCCAGACCCAATGCGATGTTCTCCTGTTCTTGTACTTTGGCTGGAGTCACGGGCGGGTTATCAAGCCTGTCAGTGCCCAATGTACCGATGCCAACCATGTCGCGTAGGCCTTGTGAGAGAGTGACGCCAGCCTGTGTAGGGTTCTGTTTCGAGATGAGGAGGGAGAGGAAGTCGAGGGTAAGAAGAGCTGTGTTCCCTGCGGCGCTGAGAGATGTTAGTTTGCGATCATGTTCTAGGATATATTGTCCAATTCCCTGTTACGACGCGGGATTCCATACTCGAGATTCTTTAGCATTTCCATGCGCACTTCCTGGAGGTCTCTCGGCGCATCCTGGTCGTCGTCCTCGTCTTGGTCCCCATCGGCCATATCGGCATCTCTATCCAGCGCAGCCCCATACTCCGCTTCCTCTTGGGCAAGCTCTTCTCTTAGTTTGGCCTCATTTATAGCTCTGAAACCGCCAGGTTGCGCGTTGGCGCGAGCAATAAACTCTGCAATGTTCTGAGGTTTGCGATCGGCGACGGGAGATGGTCGTATAGACAGCGGTTGGTCGTCGCCACGGGCCATGATGAGTAGACTTCAGGTATCTTCCTTCGTTCCGTATAGTGTGCGTGTAATTAATGGCGTTTGGGTGTATTAAAAGGTATCCAATTGCTATTCTTTGTTATAGTCGCGTTGGTGATGTTTGTCTTTGAAAGTTTCGGGCTTCTCTACTTTAGCTCCCGTTTGAGGCGACATCCACAACCGCGGGGCCAACAGCTTGAGTGGGTCCTCCAAGTACAGCTGCCTTGACCTGAAGCGAAACAATGATGGATTTCGATAACATGGATATTTTGATGCTGATATAGGTGTTTCTATCATATTTTCATAGCACGGATAGTATGAGATGGTTTTACGTATTCACCGAATGCCTCTCTCACTATGATTACTATGTTTCATGACTTGCATCAAGCCCATTTCACTTATAAAATGCTAAGTAGGGGCAGAACTGGCTATGGAGCTCAAAAATCTCGAATTACAAGTTATAGTTCATCTACTCTTTCTATATATAATTCTTGTCTTAAAAGTCGGAAAACTCCTCCCACCCATATAACCAACCAGAAATAAACTCCTTTCGCCGATGCAATGCCATACTTGTAATTTCGATATTGTCTACTCGTTCTTTATGCTGCTTGAGCTACTCCACGCACCCGTATCATCTGTTCGGCGATGTCCCTCTCGTTGCAACATTCTCCATCTTCTCAGCTTCGACTGAGGGTTGTCACCCGCCATCGTAGGCATCAGATCGTCCTCAAGAATTGGGACTTCACCCAACGGGTCGAGCTGATCGATGATGTCAGAAATCTCAGTTGGTGGAATAGACTTGAAGACTGCCTGGACATCATTATGGGGTGACAGAGATGTGAACTGCCACTTGGATCGCTTGCCAGAAGCACGTCTGGACTGCATCCAAAGACGGCGTCGCTCCACAAAGCTAATGAGGAGGAGAGTTGGCATGTTGAGAGTTCGAATAAGGGCCACGTTGACAATGTGGAAGATTCGAGCGGTGGTGACAAGCTTCAGGGGTAGAAGCACCATCAGAGCCAAAATATTGAAGGGAGGGGGGTAGGCAAAGATAGAATCACTCTTGACGCCCTCGAAAGTCAAAACAGCGCGTCGGAACTGAATCTCGGCGGTTTCGTCGGCCACAATCTTGGAGAAGGTGTTTGTGAGCATGGCAATGAGAATGGTCAAAAAGAGCGTGTTGCCCAGGAACGCAAAAGCAATCATCAACGCGGGACCAAGGATGATATGGAAGCGCACCGACTCCTCAATACCCTCACCATCTAGACCGAACCAAATCCAGAGCATCCATTTGCCCACAACGTACCAGCTGAACTCCTCATTGCCATCGTTGCTAGCACTAACAAGCCACTGCAAAGCGAGCAGAAAGCCGGTAAAGCACCATGTGGCAAGGAAGGTCAGTACAGTAAAGTCCTTCATCATAGCGTGAACAGAGATAAAGACAAGGTTGTTCGGCAGTAGGTTGAAAGCAACCCGGGTCAACATGACAGGTGCTGCAATACAAAGAATCGGTAGTCCATAGCCAGAATGAAGCTGATCGAGGAGAAAGTCGTAGATGCGGAGAATAAAATAGGCACCAAAGATGGAAGCGAAAGTGATGTCGAGAAATGCCCATAGGTTCTGTGCGTGAACTGCCCAGCCGTGCTCGATAATAGCAGCCATCTTTTCGAGAAGCCAACCGAAGGTGTAAATACAAAATGCGAACTCCCACATATTAACCTCAGAATGACGAGATATCATGGTCATGACATAGAGCACCAGTAGGATGACGAAGTGAACGAGTTCGATGAGATTTCGGTTGCGAGGAACAATAAGACGGTGGTGGTTGAGAAGAGGTGCCGTCCGAGGGTCGTAAAGAGAGATAGGTCGTCGTTTATAGTGATCTGGAAGGAAATCCATAAATGAAAGGGGCGTGTAAATGATTTGACCGTTATGGACTGCGTCGACAGCTCGTTGACAGGCTGCAGAGCTGATGAAGAACTTGCTTTCAGAGACAATAGCCAACTCAAGAGCTGTGACCTTTCTCTCAGAGCCAGAAGTATCACCAGATCCAGGCCATTGGGGTCGGTTAGCTGGACGCTCCATGTGACTAGGGGCTCCTTGGAATGGATCGAAGCCCTCAACGAGGATATGCGAGAGCAGCAAAAGACCTTGTGGTCCTGGATTGTCCTCGTGGAAGCGGCGCAGGACCCGACTAGCGAGCAGCTCACATAGAATTGCACGCGCCTGGTTGACACTCTGATGAACCTCCTTAGACTGCTCTCTTAGGAAGGATACACGGTTCGCTAACAAGCAATAAACTGGCGGGGAGGGGTCAGAGAAGACTCCCAGGTGAGATTCTGCGCTTCAAACTCACCAACTGAGATATCGTCTGGATTGTAAAGTCTTTCGACCAGAGGCCTCACAACTAGAGCGTTCATCTTGGGATCTCTGAAGTGCTCCATAGTATAAGGATCATCTGACGTATATTAGATTTCATTATTTACACACGACTTAGGATGAGACTTACCAATACTCGCAAGAACTAACCGTCGGACTCTACACTCAAGGAGAGTTAGCACGCTGATTCCTCATGATAGGCGTATTATGATTCTTGGCAAGCTTATACAATGGCTCACCAAGAACATGCAGTTCTGAGCTGAAGGCAGGGATTGAGCAAGGATAAGGGCGAGTTTACCGGTGAATATTCATATACACGGGAAGCTCAGTCGTCGTCAAGTTGAGCGTCGATCTGTTGCCATCATCGAGAATTCCTTTGGCTTCGGCATCTTCGGCCACAGTGAGAAAGCCTTCATCTTCATCGTCCTCGACAGGTTTGAGCCAAGCATTTGACTGCTCAGTACTTCTGCGTACCACCATTGTGAACAGAGCAGATATTGTAGGTGTTGCACTTTGAGCAAATCAAATTGAGGACCTTTAATATGAAATCCGAGACAGGTTCGACGTTGAAGAGGAAAAACAAATAAAGTTACGAGGCAAAAAGGTGAGGCTCTCGCTTTACGTATTCAAGTGAAGCCCCCCGTCTCCATTGTAATTTGGGGGTCATTATGCCCCTGAACTGCCATTCCAAAATCACGGCGACCAATAAGCGTCTGCCAGCCCCGCCACGACAGGTACGCGTCTCTGGTAGGCGAGATATTGATTGGATTGCTGTAATTGACTACGTGGATAAGCGAGCCGTACTAATCATTACGAGTTCTAGGGGACTTTTAACTATAATTATCCAGTGATTTCCATCATTTCGAGAGCGGTCAGTACCAGATTGAAGAGTTATCATTCTGCAGTTCGTTCAGCTTTTACTGGGCTGCATAATTGCATGAGAGTCGCCGATGCTCATTGGAAGTTGACGCTGATACCCCTGAATCCCTTTCCCCTTCAGAGCACTGTCAGTTGCAGATCTGCAACGCTAAATCCAGGGTCCAGGGAACAGGAATTCGATTTCTGCAACGTGCAACCCTCAGAAGTGATTTCGATAATGGAACGATCGAAGAATCTGCCTTTAAGAATTCTGGTCAAACGGCAGGATCACTAACAACTGCCGAAATAGAGCAATGCTCGTCATTTTATTCATGTCACTAACAACAACCTTCATCTAACTTAGCTCAACGAGGCTTGACTTATCAAAGCGGAATCTACAGAGTACCATGGCCAAATTACATACGTTCTCTTTCAGAAATTGGCAGATGGAATGGTCTAGGCCAAGGAGCAACAAACCCCTTGATACGTCTCTCCAGACTTCCAGCCTTGCAAATCCCCCTCACCATACGGAGTACAGTATCATGTTTGATACATATTAGGCGTTCCTCGGAAGTGGGAGTTCAATTGCTTCAGGTGATACTCATATAGTTTGAATTTTCTGCCGCGGGCTCCTCGGGTTTCAACCACGAGAGCCCTGTTTCCGTTGCTGGTCCCGAGGCTCGGCATTGTTTGTTCTTGATCTTCTTGAGCATCTTGGGCGCTCTTTTGACATGGATTCTTACCTAAGAGGAAGTTGCCGGTTTCTTGAGCTGTGTTCCGCTTCGTGACGGGCATGTCACTTGTTTGTCCATACACAAACATCTCAGCTAGTTTAAAGGATTGAAGGATTGGGTTACACTGGACTATGGTGACAGCTCGTGGGGCCTGCCAGCAAGTTCACAGTCCCCAACTGATCCTGAATTTGCCCGGGATTCTAAAAGTCTCATAGTCTGAACATATACTGTATTCAACAAGGTATGTTCCTTAAACGGTCACGTCCACCCCCTCACCAGTAACACCTGACCATCGCCAGGTCTTGGCTACGAACGAGCTTGAATATGGGGTAGCCTAGCAGCAACCTAGTAAATGCTTGGCTCCCAAATGGTGGCGTCTGTATGCACACAAGTTTAGACGCCAAGAGAAACCCAGAGTGGCAGTGCATGAATGCAATCAAGACTAGGAAAGCGACGACAAGAACGCGGAAGACATATTGGTTCTTTACGAAATACTGTAGGTTAAGGGCAAGCCCATTGACACATGCCACGCGACCTGTAACAAGCATTCACCTCGGCTGGTTTAGGTCAGCGGAACGTAACACAGCTGATTGACCAGCATCAAAGAGGAGACTCAGCGTCCACAGCCAATGTCAACTCGGCGATTGATCCCATCTGCAAGGCACTCCCTGAGCCTGTTTCTCTGCCCAGCATTGAAGAGTCCGGGGGAGTAGCGGAGGGAGATCCGGCCAGCGGGGTCTCAACGGTGGATCTGATATGCGTCTTGATGAATCTGGATTCAAAGAAATGATTGAGGTGTCTGTGGCGTTTTTGGTGATACATTCATTTCTTGTCAAACATGATTGCGTTCGAGGCACGTGTGTCGCCGGCAGCTCAACGAGCTCCCTGATAGGGTCCGGTGCCTCCCGGCGAGGCAAGCCGTTGTGTAATTGTTCAGAGTGTTGGGGAAAGTGGTTCGAAAACATGACAGCTTTCCCTTATTTTGGAACATATTGACTTTTTGGGGTTGCATGGGTGTCTATGGCCCCCCTGGATCAGAAGGTCTTTGAGCTGGAGACATGCCATCTTCAGTTCTCCATAGGGCGAAAATGATTTAAGTGTGGCGTTTATAGTGCTAAAAGCAGTGTAAGGCACAGCATCCCGTCGCTGATCCTAGCAGTACTGTAGAAGTACATGTACCGATCTGTTCCATGCGATGGGTTATGTTGGTTGTTGGAGGTCAATCTTGGCTTTGCAGTGCGTTCACGGCACGGCCGTATTGGACTCTGTTTGTCCTTCTCCTTCGGTTATGGAAAGGTGTAACGGTTTTTTTTTCTTCTTTTTTTTTCTCCCTTTCCTGCACGTCGGTAGTCGGTACAACAATAATAAAGTGCTGACTGCTGCTGACAATGAGTGTTCGCCGGATGGTACGGGCGAGAGGACCAGCTACTGGCTGTTAAAGATAAGTTGAGTGAGGGATAGACTGAGAATGGGGCACGCGCCAATACCAACACCAGCACCAGCCTCAACGTAACGGCCAAGCAACAGACTTTCGAGATCCGGTGATTCAACAAGGATCTGGGGACCACTGAGCGCTGGCTTAAGGATCTGCCACCTGTAGCATTAATGACGCTGGACCAATGGTTGCGCCGAAGAAGCCGAGAGCTCTGATGGCGATGACGACCATTTTCTGCCATTAACGTCTTGTCATTCATTGTCTTGAATTTCTCTCTGGTCGCAAACCTGCCAGCACAATTTCGAAGACTCCATTTGTGACGCAATCAAGACGTCCCGCCCTCTGTTTCCCCAGCAGACTTAGCGCCTTGGAGCTTCCCTGAAGCTATCCCTGCTAAGCCCGAAGGGGTATACTGCTCTGGACCCCATCTGTATCTTTTTGTACTTACCTATATGTTCCGAAATTGCTGCAAGACTTTGATTTACGAATATCTCGGCTGGTCTAAAGTTCGACATCGTATTCACCACCTTTTCTCACGTGAACTGGATTCATTGTGGAAAGTCTATATGGAGAGATTATGTGATACTCGTCTCTTTATCAGTGGCATTAGCCTTTTAACTCGCCAGAGACTTTGAAAGTCTTGCTCAATGGCGTAGGAATCTGATCCCGCCAAGGGCCTATTATATTTACGCGAACCACTTTGATCATTCATGTCTGTCAAGGGCTCAGCTTTTGATCTCCATCTTGAACAAGGTATCGTTCAGGACCCTCCTCGGTCCTGTTTACGAATCCCTGTCCAGAGAGACTTTACCTCAAGGGTAAGGTATCCAGTCCCGCTGCAAAATTCTTGTCGTATTCCAGCATTAGCTCCTATTTTTGCAATCTGCAGAACGCAAAGGGAAGCTCGGTATGGCAAGTCAAGGTAAAACACAGAAAAGAATGAACCAATGCATCTGGTTAGCCAAGCCTGTGTTTGAATAGATGCTAAGATAACCGCGTCAGATGGACATTGAATCAACCGAGCTTAGGATACTTGGAGGTACTTTGAGCTGCTGAACCCCTGTACAATCTCCACCTCGACCTGGCCCGGGCTTGGATGGTACTGTACCATTCAGTGCACCTCCCTGCTGTGCCGTGTCTCTCCTGCAGCAAGCGCCTCTACGTAGGTCGAGGTTGCTCACTCTAGCTCTCCCGTTGTGTTCTGTTGCTCCAATTGCTTAGGTTAATATTAAGGCAGCCAACGTTAGTGTGTGCCAACCAGATGCCGTATCTCCTTCTCCACGCCCGCGCTGCTCTCTCCTACTTCGTCTCCGTCCGTGGCTTCGTTTCCCGTCCCTTCCTCACATTAATTCCACCAGTCTCCCCCTTCATCCTTCTTTCCCTTTTTCTCCTCACTCTCAACGATACCCTCACACTCAACCCCCACTGTCGTCATCGCAGGCCATTCTGTGAAGTTGTCCTCCTTCACATTGACCATCACCTAAACCTCAACCTTCATCAGCTTCCTCGTCTACTCCGTAGCTACCGCGCATTCAAGATGACTGACTGGACAACGGGCATAATGCCGCTGCACCAGGTGCACAAGCCTCCTTTCACTATCGAGGCTCCTGGCTACGAGAAGGTCCCTGGCGAAACCATTCCTCGACGTCACCCCAAGGCCAAGGACGGCCTCATCAACTATCCTGCTCCCGATGCCAGGACCGTCTTCCAGGTCGTTGAGCGCAGCGCTCGACTCTACCCCAACCATCATGCTGTCGGTGCCCGCAAGCTCATCAACATGCACACTGAGAAGAAGAAGATCAAGAAGAACGTCGATGGCGAGATCCAGGAAGTCGAGAAGGAGTGGTCCTACTTCGAGTTGACTGGCTTCGAATACTTGACTTACCAACAGTACCTCCAGCGCGTTCTGCAGATCGGCTCCGGTCTACGGAAGCTGGGCTTGACCAGTGACGACAAGCTTCATATTTTCGGTACCACCAGGTATGTACAACATTGACTGGTCCTGTATCCAAGCACTGGTTTCTGACTCCACGGCGTGTAGCATCGGTTGGATCTCTACTTCCCACGCAGCTGCCTCACAGTCCATCTCAATTGTCACCGCCTACGATACACTTGGTCCCAGTGGTGTTGAGCACTCTCTCGTTCAGACCGAATGTAGCGCCATGTACGTCGATTCGCAACTCCTCAAGACTGCTTCAGAGCCTATCAAGAAGTCGTCCGTCAAAACCGTCATCGTCAACGACCGAACGATCTTTGCCAAGGGTGGTGAGCTCGAGGCCTTCAGGGCCGATCATCCTGATCTGAAGATCGTCACTCTCGAGGAACTTCGCCAGCTCGGTGAAGATAATCCCGTTGAGCCGAACCCGGCCAAGCCATCCGACCTTTACTGTATCATGTACACTTCTGGTTCCACTGGTCTGCCCAAGGGTGCTTGCATTACCCACGAAGCTCTTATTGCTGGAGGTGAGTTGATTTGTACCATCTTGCGCCCTCTTACTAATTCGTTCCTTCTTAGTCACCAGTTTGTACACCTGTGTCGAAGAATGCGTTAGCGACAAGGAATGTATTCTTGCCTACTTACCCCTCGCTCATATTTTCGAAATGGCCCTCGAAAACCTCGTTATGTACATTGGAGGAACTCTTGGATACGGAAACCCGCGAACGCTTTCCGATGCATCAATGAAGAATTGCGCTGGTGATATGCGCGAGTTCAAGCCCACTGTCATGGTTGGCGTTCCCCAAATTTGGGAGACTGTGAGGAAGGGTATCACAGCCAAGCTCGAGGCTGCCAGTCCTCTCCTCAAGAACCTCTTCTGGGGCGCCTACAACTGGAAGGCGTTCGCCTCTAAGAACAAGCTGCCTCTGGCGAGCTTGTTTGACAGCATCGTGTTTGGCAAAGTCCGTGAACTGACGGGTGGTCGTATGCGCTTCACTATGAATGGCGCCAGTGGTATTTCCGATGGTACAAAGAACTTCATTTCGTTGGTCGTTGCTCCCATGTTGGCTGGTTATGGCCTCACTGAGACCTGCGCCAATGGCTCTCTAGGCTGTCCACTTGAGTTCTCCCCCGATGCCATTGGTCCTACCCCTTGCGCTTGCGAAGTCAAGCTTGTTGCACTTCCTGAGCTGGGCTACTCAACTGAAGCCAAGGTTCCACAAGGCGAGATCTGGATCAAGGGTTTGCCAGTTATGACTAAATACTGGAACAACCCCGAGGAGACAGAAAAGGCCCTTACTCCTGACGGCTGGTTCAAGACTGGCGATATCGGAGAGTTCAATGCTCAGGGTCACCTTCGAGTCTTTGACCGCGTCAAGAATCTTGTCAAGATGCAGGGCGGTGAATACATCGCCCTTGAGAAACTCGAGTCTGTGTACCGTGGTGTCCAGTCGGTGGCCAACGTTATGGTCCACGCCGATCCCGAGCACTCACGCCCTATTGCCGTTATCATGCCGAACGAGAAAGTCTTGCACGAGAAGGCCAAGGAGCTGGGTGTTGATGAGCACAACCTCCATACCGTCCACGCCAACCCCAAGATGGTCAGCTTTGTTCTTAAGGATCTCCAAGGTGCTGCGAAACGTGCTGGTTTGAGCAGTATTGAGATCGTCACTGGCGTTTTGATCACCGACGAAGAGTGGACATCGGATAATGTAAGGACAATCCCAATCGCTGGCTGGCTAGAAGTTTTACTAATGTGTTTGCTCCCAGGGACTCCTCACCGCTACTCAGAAGCTGAACCGACGCAAGATCACCGAACACTTCAAGAAGGATATCGCTGCCACCCTCAAGAGCACCGGCTCGTGATTAACGATTGAATAGGTGAGATGATTTAATGGTCGAACATCTGGTTTGAAAGTCGAAAGAATGGATACCAAGAGAGAAGATGGAAAGATGTGTGTATCGACTTTTGATGCGGGTTTGTTTTCAGTGTCTGTAATTACTTTTGCGGCGTTGGCTTCATGATATCTTGAAGGGAATTTTGAACGACAATGGAACTCGGCTCCGGGCCATTTTATGGTTGCTCACCAGGTCCTACTCTTTTTCGTCGGGGATGATCTGATGTGAGCTGACATGTGATTCTGTAAATCGAACTTGGCGTGTGAGAACCATTGGCTGGCAACCATGGAAAGGTGTTCAAGACGTAGAATATTGTAACTCTTTGCCTGGCCTAGTTTACATCGGTATTAATACCAGCCATCGGCCAGAAGGTACAGTAAACAGTTGGTGTCTGAGAAACGGAACCAGCTAGTTAGGTTCTAGCTCTAAGATACGGCACATCAAAATGAAGTTACTAATGGCCATTCAAGCACATAGATCAAATCATCAATCAATTGGTATATGGATATAATAAGCATTTGCAAGAAAACAGGTGCCCCTCCTTCAAGTCATGACTCTAGGTCGAGCATATTTACCAAAAAAGAGCACGCTACCTACTCCATACAATGCCATGATAGCCAGCTAGCGAGATTTATATTCATATAAAAACGATGGGGGAACTGGAACAACAACCCATTTAGACTAGTAGCGTAGTATTGGTATAGATCAAACAGAGCTGCGCTGAAAAAAGAAGACGGGCCCTCCAGGAAGTTGAAACATTCGTAGCATTTCGCGAGAGTCGGACGGATATGGGGGAGGGGGTGGAAGAGAGGTAATACAACGACGAATTCGTCCATGTCCATGGCTTCTCAGTGTTCCAGATTTCCTCTATACGCATAAAGAAAGGAACGAGGAGCCACAAGGATATATCCAACTCCCAAACCCGGCCAGAATTGTTGGGTGCAAGTAAGTGATACGATGATAGCCTTATCGCATGCCCTTGCGACGGAAGAAGACTAGATATGGTACACGGTCGCGGCCAGACTTGAACACCTCCTCCTGGACATCATCGCGGTCTCCGCTGCCAATGCGAACCTTTGTCACGCGCGAATCGTTGCAGCAGAACCAAGCGTAAGGATCATGAGATGTAGAGTCCCGCACATAAGCCAAGTAATGTCCGTTATCAGTACGACTGCCTGTATGAACAATTACAGCATAAGCCTCGTAGCGGAATGGCCCTGTGAATGCAGGGTCCATAGGATCAAATCCAGATGAAGACTCGCGAGAGCCAGGAGGGAGGAAGTAGCGTGTGAAGTCGGTGTCGTTGAAATCCCACGTGATGGGTGCCGTTGATTTGCGTAAATCCGAGGAATCATGTTGGTAGTGGAAGCGCCGGAAGACGACACAGAGCAAGGATGGAAAGCGAGCAAAGGAGAGACTCTGTTGAGCCCGAGTAGGGTGGCGGCAGTGGTCGCAATGGAAATCGTTAATGATGTTCCCTGATGTATACTGGTCGAGAACCTGCTCGAGAGTCATGCCACGCCCCATTCCCACTGTGACAGGAACAACATCAATAGGGTTGAACTGATAAGTACGGGTGTGGCATTCGAAGCACTCGACGGTTGATAGCTCGAGACCGCGCCAGTAGCGGTCGACAATAGAACGATTGTATTCGAGGTGATTTTGCCAGTACTGGACGGCAGCCTTCACAAGAGACTGGTGCTTAGTATCTGGCTGGGCAGCAGTGCCCTTTCGATCTCGGCGTGTATTAGTCTCGTCGTGCAGGTGAGTGATCACGAAAGACATGAACTCCTGGGCATCTTGCTGCTGACTCCCGCCAAACTGCTCGATGCTTCGGCTTTGGGTACAAACGTGATGCGAGTAGTTCTATAGTTCTGTTAGCTTGGTTCTTCTTGTCTGAAAGTTTGTGATTAACTCACCATGAGCGTCTGGGCCATCATGACCTGAAATTTGCCTGAACTCATCCAGTGGAACAGGTTTGAGATAATACGAATCATGAGCTGCGGCTGCTCAATCTTCTCATCATCTTTCATTGGCGCCTTGTATTTGCTGACCCATTCCGAGTTTGCCAGTTCTCTTCCAAACTCAGGTGAAGCGAGCAGGCTCTGCAGTGTGCTGTTGGCATAGCACCAGTTGTTGGGATTGTTGAGCCCAGTGTAGAATTTGGCCGAATCCCCTGTGGATTGGTGCTCCACGGCCTTCATAGTTGGCGCTCTTGAAGGACGAGCCGGCACGACCGCGTTATTGTTGCCATAAAGCTCGTTCTCGTCCCTCCCTTCGGTGAGGCCGCTGTAGCTTCGTCGCGGTAAAGCGGGAGCTGGTCTTGTGGGTGGTGAGGGCAAATCTGTGTAGAGGTCAACCTTGTGAGATAGCCCGTAAACGGGGCGATTCCGGGGCTTCTCTTCCGAAGAAGTCATAGACTCTTGTTCCAAAGACACTGGCGGGAATCTTCGAAGGAAGTCTTCTGTAGTACGTGTGAAGTTGGGTGATGATGCTGTCTGCATATCGTCGTCGTTTTTGAGTGTCTCTTGCCACACCTTGACTTCGTCAGGCTTGAGAGGCTTGGCGATATATTTTGACCTCCGTCGCTCGATAGCTGATAACCGGCTTCGATTGCGCTCCAAGTGCACCGTTCTGTTCGTTGTTGAAGTAGTCGAGCCCAGAGATGCCGGCCCCATCAAGTCAACCCAAGCATCAAGACCTCCCTTGAGAATCTTGGGCGTGTTTTTGAGCTCCTTCATAAAATTGAAGTGAACTAAAGCTCGATGGAGTGATATAATTACCAAGTCGTCAGAATTCCGTGGGTGTTCGGGAATTTCTTCAGAGTCTTGATCATAGAAGACCACCAGGTCGTAGGTATGCCGTTGTTCGAAAAGCGATTGTTCCTGGTTAGGGGAGAGAATCAAGCTCTCAGAAATCTCATCTGCAGAGAGGTTATCCCTGAGCAGGATGCTAGGCTCAATACAAATTGTTGACGACGACATGATATGGCCTTCGTTAAAATCATCCCTCATGCGAATGTCTATTATCAAAATACCCCCCTTAGCTTTCATAGCTTGGTACAATTCCTCCGGAGAAATGGCATCGCCTTCTGGAATCTTTACAGAGCCATTGAGATTGCTCGGGGGAACCGGAGGAATAGAGTTGTTCGAATAACTTTGCGTAGGAACAAAATAGTCTGTTTGTGACTGTGATGAGCCCGTGGGAGTTCCGGGTATCGAAACGGTGGAGGCTGTGCGATACATGCTACGAGGTGTGCTCGAAGGCGGTCTTGTTACTTCTCCTGAAATGCTTCCACGAGCAGGGCTGTAGATGGCATCTGGCATCTTGGGTAGAGTCGGCACACTGGTGTCAATACCAACCTTGGGCGGCCGAGGCGGGGGCATCTCTCTAGGACCCATCGGCTTTGGGAGTGTTATTTGATGTGTCTTGATGCGTGGATCTTGACCTGGTGAAGGTTGCGGGCCTCTCAGGTTGGCAAACCTGGTAGCGAGATCTTGGACGCCATTAATGGATGCTCTTTGAGCACCGGGCTTGATGGCATTCCCATGGAGAGATTGAGGTTTCGGTTGAATTGCTGGTTTTGCTCGAGCAGGAGAACCATTTGTGTCATGCCCATCAAATCGATGCTTTGAGGGTGATATGGGCCTTTCGACGGTCGATTTTGATGGCGTATGTGGCCGACTTCCTCCTTGTGACGAGTTCGGTCGAACAGTCCGTGGTTGCACACCAGATCGCTTGTTATCCGCAATAATGTCGGCCTTGATCCTGGCATATATATGGTCCTGCTGGCTGATCTTGGTGAGTAGATTGTTATGAGCTTTTACAAAATCGCCGTGGCTCGTTTTGAGATCATGATATTCGGGATGGTTGGTGATGAATTGGACGGCGATTATGGATGCTCGTATATATTCGTTCAGAGCGATGGCCGGTCTGCGAAACTCCCGAGCGATCTCGGCTTGCTTAAATGATGCCTCGGCCGATTCCAGCAGTTTCCTAACAGACACGTTCCGGTCGAGGTTCCGCGCAGCGAGAACATCGTCAATGTGAGGAATTGGAGCCTTCGAAGGAGATTCGCCTCCTCGATTGCCACCTGGTATTGAGCCATGGTTGAATGCGCCGGGGCTGCCCAAGGAGTGTGAGCCTGCGGTGGCCACACTGCTTGCGCGCGAGTGTCCTAGAGAGGCCATGATGCCTTGCTCAGTGTTCTGAAGTCGTTATACCGGAAAGTCTTGGTCGGTAGGTTCGAGTTCGAGAATCGAAGATAACTGTAGTGTTCAAGTTGTGAAATTAGGGTTTGGCGGCGAAAGGTTGCAATGAATTATCTGTGACAACGACGACAGAACCGCAGAGTGGCGGAGTATTGAAATATAAGGGTCAACAGCACCTCGACCGAGTAGAGATGGCATCAATGTGCAGCATCTTAAAGGATCGCGCGAGTCAACATCACAAACAAAGGCTCCTCCCGAACAAGAACCATGGGACGCCGAACGAGAGGGGTTGTACTGTTGGGAGAATGAACTTGGTATAAAGGATGGTTGTTCATGGGTGACTTGGATGCCATGAGGTGAGGTGTTAGTAGTCGCGGGGAATAAGGTACCCATGAGAACATCTGCGGTACTTGATAGGCCACCTGATCAGCCGCAAGGAGTAAGTACTGTTTACCGCTCTTTCGTACCAAAGCTAAGGGACCTTACTCTGTTCGAGGTCGCTCATGCACCTGAGCCACGTACGCCACACAGTACGTCGTCATTCTCCCACAGAACAAGAGCTTAGCGTGACCGCGTGCCAGCGCTGACGACAGTCCAGGCGTTCTACAGTGGGGTTTTAGGCTGCCTCGAAGTGCACTGCTGTGGAATCAATGCTCATCCCAGCCAATCACAGCTCTCATAACCTTACTTAATGAGGCACCTTTCTGCGTCAGATCCTCAATCGCCGTGCCCAGACAGAGGCTGGGGTTAACGAGAGCCTAGAGCATGGAAGCTTCGTAGGTACAGACTGAACCTCCATCAGACATTAACATCAACAGCAACAACTGCCTCATCGAACATCTCGACCTTGTGCGTCGCTACCTCAGAGATCTCGATACTGATACCTCTTGTTCTGATTCACTTGGTCAACTGAGCGCAATACCCCTCCTCTTTGCTGATCGCTGTAGCCAAAGCCAAGATGATGAGTTGGTGGTCGTCCTCCGCCAATACGGCCCTGGACGAACAGATCGAGAAGGCCACAAGCAGTAGCCTGTATGTCGCCAGACAGCCTACGCCCTGGTAAACTCAGCTAACAATGGTTTCAGCGAAGATATTGCCCTTAACCTCGAAATCTCCGATGTCATCAGATCCAAGACGGTCGCGCCGAAAGAGGCAATGCGCTCCCTCAAGAAGCGCATCGGCAACAGAAACCCCAATACACAGTTGAGCGCTTTAAACGTATGAATCCTATCGATCTGATAACAATTACCAAAGCTGACTTATTTCAGCTTACCGATACTTGCGTTAAAAATGGCGGTTCACATTTCCTTGCAGAAGTCGCATCGCGAGAGTTTATGGATAACCTTGTTTCGCTTCTTCAGGCTGTAGGAGGCGGTGCTGTCAATTCTGACGTGAAAACCAAAATCCTTGAGCTTATACAATCTTGGGCGGGTGCTACTGAAGGTCGTTACGAGCTTTCGTACATCGGTGAGGTTTATCGGACCCTGCAACGCGATGGATACCAGTTCCCTCCCAAGATATCCGTGGCCAGCAGCATGATTGACAGTAGCGCTGTAAGTACTACTCTCGCCATAGTTATGTAATGGAGACAACTAACGATATCATCAGCCTCCGGAATGGACCGACTCCGACGTATGCATGAGATGTCGAACACCATTTACCTTTACAAACCGAAAGCATCATTGCCGAAACTGCGGCAACTGTTTTGACCAGCAGTGTTCGGCCAAGGTTGTCGCTCTCCCACACCTGGGAATCATGACGCCCGTACGAGTCGATGATGGCTGTTATGCGAAACTTACCAACAAGGGACATAAGATTCCCAACCCATCGCTCGATCGATCGCCGACATATCCCCATAAGACACGAAGCACATCCGCCATGCAGCCCCGAAACGCTCGAGTTGATGATGGATTTGACGAAGATCTGAAGAAGGCGTTGGCAATGAGCCTAGAAGAGGTTAAGACCCATTCTCACGGCTATGCTGGACCTGCTCAGACTTCTTATGCAACCAATGGTGACGCTTCGGCAGCCAAACAAGCAGAGGAGGACGATGCTGACCTCAAGGCCGCCATCGCTGCCTCTCTGGCTGATATGGAGGAGCAGAAGAAGAGGCATGCTGCGGCGCTCAAGGAACAGACGTCCAGCTCTATGGACGCTTCTGCTACCACCAACTTTGTTCTCCCCAAGAACGATTATGAATTGACTCCTGTGGAGGCAGAGAACATCAACTTGTTCTCAACGCTGGTGGACCGGCTTCAGACTCAGCCGCCAGGAACCATTTTGCGAGAGCCACAGATCCAGGAGCTCTATGATAGCATCGGTACATTACGGCCCAAGCTGGCAAGAACTTACGGAGAGACTATGAGCAAGCATGGTGAGTATTCCTTCACTGCTGAAGAAATGGAGATACTAATCCAGCCTCAGATACACTTCTTGATCTTCATGCGAAACTCTCTACGGTTGTTCGATATTATGATCGTATGCTAGAGGATCGACTTTCTAAGGCCTACAGCCAACAGAACCTTGGGGGATATAACTTGCCGCCGCCACGCCAGGCTGCTGGGCCGTATCCTTCCATTCCTTCCCAGATGCCCAGCAACCCTGCTGGTGCAGAGAGCTTTTATACAGGTCAACAACGAGCCAGTTACCAGGCGCCTCAACACCAGCACTACCAACAGCCACCACCGCATGCAACACCTCAGCCTCAATATCCTTCTTACGGATCCGCGCCGGAAGCACAGCCCGGCCAATACCCTCCTCCTCAGCAGGTGCAACGGACCGATAGTTGGCAAAACAGGGCGCCCTCGGCACCTCAAGATCCGTACCAGCAGCAGCAACAGCAGCCGCAAAAACCTAACGATCCCAACGTGCAATCACAAAACCCACAACAGCCACAGGCTCCAAATGCCAGTGACCCCAATGCTTCATACTACTTTACACCCCAGCAGCCTCAGCAGACCCCTCTAGGACCATCTGCACCAGGATCTGCACCTGATGCTAATCAGTCACCATACCCTAACTTGCAGCAACCTTCCCAATATCCTGGGGGATCAGTATCTGCTCCCTCGCAGCCAACTCCTGGCCAAGCGCCCGCCCAGGTTGCGCAACCAGTCCAGCCTGTACAGACACCTCAGCAGCCTGTGCAGTCCCCTCATATGCAACATGCCCAGCCGCCCCAACCAACCCAGCAAGCGCCTCCCCCACAGCAGCAAGCGTACTGGCAGCCATCTATGCCCCAGTCACACCAACAACCACCTGTCGCACCGCAGAACTGGGCATACGGCGGTTACACGCAAGATTCATTCCCTTCAGTACCACAACAGGAGCCCGTCAAGCAGCCCGTCAAGGAGGAGGCTCTCATTGAGTTCTAGATTTGGAGATGGACGGCATCATTGGTGTGTTAAATCTGGTGTTTGACTACTATAGTTGGTCAGACAGTGGCGTTCATCGGGTTGTCAGTTTTAGAAGATCAGAATGGATGTACTCTCGGGCATGTGATCGGGCGTAATCATATGTGCTGGAAGTTAGGATACTGAAACTGTGATACCTTTACCTGCTTTGGCGCAACATGCACATATCCTCGTGAAATGGAATCCGTGAAGAGGGATAATAGGCCATCAGCATGGCTTAATTGTTTGTATAGACGCGACTAACCCAATTATGCCCACATTGTCATCTTCTGACTCCCTTTCCTGGTGGATCAACAATTTCTGGAATCATCTGCTGTTGTAGTCAACAAGCCGAGTCGGAGTATACAAATCAAGTAATCGAAGCGAGCCAGCATCAAACAGTCCGTGACGGCGGTGTAAGCTACTGCAGCTTGGAGACCAATCGGCGTTCAACGGCCGCGCACGCCGCTCACCTTGAATGGTGGGCTCCGCTGACGAAGCCGGACCCGGAGATCATGACACCGGCTTTGGCGGGGCTACCACGGGCGGAGGAGGGGCATTGAGTCATAGCTTCTTACAAACATGATTTTATTTCCTCGTTTTGTTTTCGTACGAATCATTGTTCTGGCTTTCAAATAGAACCAATTTCTCCTCCAGTTTGCTATTAGACATCATCTTTATCACTATCTCATCCGAGATATCATATATCACTCACTCAAATCTCACTCACTCTTTACATCAGCATCATAATGGCTCCAACTATTCACCTCATTCGTCACGCTCAAGGCTTCCACAACCTCTCGATCGAGAATGAGCAAATACAAGACCCAGATTTGACTCCCCTTGGCGAGGAGCAATGCGCTGCACTCCGCAAGGAGTTCCCTCACCATGACAAGCTTACAAAGCTTTTTGCCTCACCTATGCGCCGTACCGTGTATACCTGTCTCCACGCCTTCGGAACTGATGAGCTCAAGCCCATCGTCGCACTTCCAGTGTTTCAGGAGGTCTCCGCCAACCCCTGCGATACTGGTTCGCCTGTAGCCAAGGTCCAGGCTGAGTTTGAGGGAATCGCCGACTACTCGAACGTAGAGGAGTCGTGGACTGATAAGGGTCCTGAGAGCGAGTATGAGCCTACGCTAGAGAAGCTGACGGCGCGTGGCCTCAAGGCCAGAAAAATGTTGAGAGATCGTGTTAGTGGCAACGAGCACATTGTTGTCGTCTCCCATGGAGGATTCTTGCATTTCTTGACAGATGACTGGTACGGTGTGCCTGAAGGAAGAGGTGAGTAGTAGCCCCTGAGAAGCCATGGTTTATTCGCTCTCTGACCATGACTTATAGCTACCGGTTGGTCAAACTGTGAATATCGGTCATACCAGTTTGCCGACCCTACCAGCAAAGATGATGATGCTGCACTCCTCGAGACTGAAGAGAGCTGGCAGCGACGCCAAGGAAATACAAAGCCTCCTACTCTGACAGAGCTTCGACAGGTCAAATCTGCTGCGCAGAAACAAATGGCTCCTTACCTGAATCTTATAATGCCAAACTAGATGCCCGAAGACTCTGTTATGACTGGCTGGGATAGCGCATGGAGAGATTTCCTTTCATAACCCATAGCCCATCGTCAGCCGGCCTGAAGGCTAAACAAGTATAGCCTTGGTTCTCGGAAGATTAATCTCTGGCTTCTGCATATCTAAAGGCCATTAGAGAATTTCCGGCTGCTTCAGGGTATATTGAATGTTTCTGGTGTCTGTACTCCTTCATAGAGGATCGCTAGGGTAATTCTAGACATACGAATAGAAGACTTTAGAAGAACAATAATGAAATTAGTTCTCATGGTAAATCATTCGTTTTATAGCAACGGGACGTGACGTTGTTGTCTATATCCCACAAAATCGATAACTATCATCGTCATAGCAAACTCCGTCATATCCCACTCTAATTCCCATATGAACTCCCTGGTTCGTCCAGATCATGTCTCCCAAGCACATCCATAGCCCCCTGGATTTCCTTCCAGGTTGTGGGACGGATCTCCAGCACTGCAATGCCCCAACCGATCTCTGACCTTGGATCCGATCGCAACTTGCATCGACAAAAACACTTCATACGTGATGCTTGCGCCTTCAGTAGCTCCTGAGCCGTGCAGTCAAGTGGACTCCCGACCGCCTAAGCCAGAAGTGCCCCGTTTATATAAGGCGGGCTATTTTTGAGCAGGCTTTGAAATCGAAAATACTGTTTCTTGTAGAAGTTCTCGCGGCTTGAATAGATGACTCGGGCGAAGAGTTCAAAGGTAACGTCAGGTTGATTTCGGAACATTTGAGTTTTCGCATCTACAAGTTCTTGGAGATCGAAGAACGTTTTGAAGGGTTTCAGCAAAACCTTTCCCGTAAATATTACTGAGCTCTGGCTATTTGTGGGTGCTGATGATTGAGATTGCGAAAAGATCAATGTTTTTCGTCTAGCAATCGGCGATTCATGTTCGGGGGCTTTGCTCCCGTTCACAGTTGTAAAATCGACTGTCGATCCAGATTTTGTCTCATTGCGGGTGTGTTTTTGGACGTTGCTCCAGTCTATACCTTCATTCAAAGGTGTATATCCGACGTTACCCTCTGGTATATCAGCTATTGGACGCGGTGAAGAGTATTGTAATAGCGGGTCATACTCGTCCGCTGATCTCGAGTTACCGCTCCATGTACGCAGAACGCTCGATGGCGGTTGTTGAGGCTCTTCCTAGGTTTCTTCCTCCAGAAACTCCGCCAAAGCATCCTGGTCTGACTGTTTCAGAGCAAATTCATCACGGTCGACTAAAAGCGGTGACGTTCCTGACTTGTCAATAGAATTGGGTCCAGTGAGGCTCTCAAAGATTTGATCGAACTCTGGATCATCATAAGGGTCGTCATAAGGGTCTTGGGGTTCTCGTGGAGAGGGGTCCAACGAGGTGTATGAAGAAGCGATTGTGTCGGCGTTGGTCGATTGATGATTATCAACAAGGGTAAAACTAGACCCTGGAGTTTGGGCAACGTCACTATAGGTGAGCTGTAGAGGTGATTTGTCGATGGAAATGCGTTGACGTTTGATGTTACCCACGTTAGAGCCCTGGCTCTGGGATAAGTGACGTTTCAATGACTGGTCCGGAGGATTGGGCCTGATCGACATATGTAAGAACTAGGAATGAAATCATAAAGCCGGGACGATCGCATTTAACTCACATTGAAAGTTGACGATTGTCGTTTGGTTGCATATTGACTGGAGTCAGTCCCGCCTTTGAAGAAAAGCGTGTAACGTCATTGGGTTCATGAGCCGTAGCGTTGTGTCATAGCCATGTCCAGGAGTGGATTTGCTGAAATGTGGATGCTCTCAGAGGTCAGAGGCTCTAAAGTGACGTGAAGAAGTGACGTTTATTCCCACGCAGAAATAAGGGTCCAGAGCCGCTGAAATTTCCAGAATCTCGATGCACTTGCGATCTTCCAATACGTGCATCGACGAAGTCTCGATCATGATCAGCCACTTCCCGTGCGGCTCAGAGCACGCACTTGCCTCATCTGTGACGTGTAACGCCACTATTTTCAAAACCGGTTTAATCCCACGGGCGATTATGTCCGGAGGAAGGAGTGAAGGAGAGAAGAAGCAACAAATTGCGGAACCCTTTGAAAGGCCAGTAAAAATTGAAAAGCAAGGGCAGTGAAGAAATTGCAGTTGCTCATGACATGTTGCATGCATTTTTGAGACCCAAATGTGTCTCGACTCTTTAGAGCAATCCCGGGCCTGTCGCTTAGCCGTTCTGGGAAAGACTACAGTCTTTTCTGCACAGCGCATTGGCCCAAAATCTATAGCCAGGATTAGGTCTCTGGTAACCATGTGCCGTCAGGAACAACGCCAGCCCATGAAATTGGCTTTTCCGACTTCAGATAGATAAAACGTCCCCCAATATTGAAGAATTTGGGTAGCCATAACTAAACAAAAAGCCATTGGGGGTGGGAGCAGTACCAATTGGGGGCGGGTACAGAAAGTCCACCAACCAGGGGGGGAGTCAACTGAACGTCACTGAATTGAGCCTCCAGCAGGCGTCCACCAACGCCCACCCTCCAAGAGTCTGGACTCTGCGGGTCCCACCCCTTAAAAAAGGTTTCCGGGAGTCATTAATGAGTGAAAGAAACTCTGGCGGGTTACTGCTTTTGTTAAATTGGATGCAGCTTGTGCTATCTTAGAACTTAGAAAATAAAAATTGGGTTTTCAGATAGCTCTGAGTGTGTTCTACGTCTTCGTAAGCTTAATCTCAGTCTGCCCTCATGATCCAAGATTCAATTTCCCCAAGGTGGGCTTCAAGGCGTGGTCAGTAATTCCTTCAGTGTCCCGCTGGACGTGCCCCGAAGCCGGGGCTCCGCATGGAGTCCGCCTGACCTGCAAAGTGGGGTTGGGGTTTGGCAAGCAATGGCCCACTTTATGTGGCAGTAGCCGGCCGAAAATCAAACCTGCTTTTGAACTCGTCTCCGGCGATCGATCTCCCCGGCAGTCTCAGTCAACTTACAGCGAGGCACAACATCCCAGCATCCCCAACCAAAGCACCCCGCTCTCCTTCCCTATCCGGACCTGGGCGTGGGCGTTAGTTTAGCATTGGCAACTCGTCAGCATTGCACATGTGCCTGTCAGTTGCGCCTGCCCTACCTTTACCCTACCGACCCTTACCAAACTTTGACTCCAGACGTTTGGCGCCATCCCCCGTCCCCGTGTCTTGTGCCTTCCGTCTAACTCACAATGGAATCCCGAGCCTTCCTCCGGACTTCCCTCCGCTCTTTTCCCCCACCTTCCCCTTGTTCCCCCTCGATCCTCAAGCATTTATCAAGGCCGACTGCCTCCCCTCAATGTCCATTCTCTTCATCTCCCATTCTTCATTCTCCATCACTCATCAAGTATCCTCTCTACCGATCTAAATCTATATCAACAACCACTTCTCCTCCTCCTATCTATATATATCACAACAATCTATCTCCTTGGCAACGACTCCTACCACCTAACATCAGCCATAAACGGTCACACACTACGCCACATCCTTTGCAGAAACAACACTATACTTGCTAGGGACGGCCCCCTTGCCACGATATCACAAACCTCAAACTCATAAACTCCTTCTCAACCACATCGTGTGCAAGGATGCAATTCACAACAGCAGACGCACCCCCTCGCTTGGTGCAGGACAACTTCGATGATATAAACCCCAAGGACTTCATCGAGCAAGAACCCAAGTCTAAGCGCCCACGAACTGCTGATATCCTCCTTGAGGAGCAATTACCACAAGGTCTTCTTAAGGCTGCTGAGGCTGCAGACCTCGCAGGAGACTTCTTCTCCGTCAAGCCTGAGTCAGACCACGAGCAACTCCCTGAAGGTATCGAAGAGACAGCAGAGGAGAAGCAAAAACACTGGTTTGTCGGTAGTGTCGACCAGGGCACCACATCAACTCGCTTCCTTATTTTTAACGGTCATGGAGAGCCCATTGTGAGCCACCAGATCGAGTTTGAGAACCACTATCCCAACTCCGGATGGCACGAGCATGACCCTATGACACTCCTCGAGTCTGTAGAGACATGCATCGAGAAGGCAACAGAGAAGTTCTGCGAAAAGGGTCACCATATCGAGGATATCCGCTCCATCGGCATCACAAATCAACGTGAGACTACTATCCTCTGGGACAATATTACTGGCGAGCCCCTTTACAACGCCGTTGTCTGGCCAGATACTCGCACTTCTGCTCTAGTCCGTGAGCTCAAGAACAAGCCTGGTGCTGAGAAGCTTCAAGAAACTTGTGGTCTCCCACTGTCTACCTACCCTTCAAGTGTCAAGCTGCTCTGGGTCCTTCAGAATGTTGAGTCAGTCCGAAAGGCTTACGATGAGGGCCGCCTATCATTTGGCACTGTCGATTCTTGGCTCATCTACAAGCTCAACGGTGGACAAGACCGCGAGGGCGGACCCATCTTTGTCACCGATGCTACCAACGCCAGCCGCACCATGTTCATGAACCTCAAGACCCTCCAGTATGATGACGAGCTCCTCAAGTTCTTCGAGGTCGACCGTGCTAAGCTCAACCTGCCCAAAATTGTCCCTTCCTCCGATCCCACTGCCTACGGATCTCTCGCCCGTGGGCCTCTCAAGGGTGTCCCCATTGCTGGCTGTTTGGGAGACCAGTCTGCGGCACTTGTCGGCCAATGTGGATTCAAGCCTGGCCAGGCCAAGAACACCTACGGTACGGGCTGCTTCCTCCTCTACAACGTTGGCAACGAGCCTGTCATCTCCAAGACCGGTCTGCTTGCTACTGTTGCATATGATTTCGGAAAGGGTCGCAAGCCTGTCTACGCTCTTGAGGGCAGCATTGCTGTTGCTGGCTCTGGTGTCAAGTTCCTCCAGAACAACCTCGGTATCATCAACTCTTCCTCAGAGGTGGATACTGTCGCCAAAACCGTCCCTGACAACGGCGGTGTTACATTCGTGACAGCTTTCAGTGGTCTCTTCGCCCCCTACTGGATTGATGATGCCAAGGGTACTCTCTTCGGTGTCACCCAACACACCAACAAGGGTCACATTGTGCGAGCTACTCTTGAGGCTACTTGCCATCAAACAGCCGCCATTCTCGATGCTATGGCATCTGACTCTGGCCACGCCCTTGACATTCTGGCCGTTGATGGCGGCCTCTCCAACTCGGACCTCTGCATGCAGACCCAGGCCGATCTTAGTGGTGTGCCTGTCGACCGCCCCGCTATGCGTGAGACTACTGCACTCGGCGCCGCCATTGCTGCGGGTCTCGCCACTGGTGTATGGGACGAACTAGAGGAGCTGCACGAAGTCAACCGCAAGGACCGCAAGATCTTCTACCCTGAGGCTGACAAGAAGACTGTCCGCCGATCACGAAAGAGGTGGGAGCGAGCCGTCGAGATGAGCCGAGGCTGGCTTCAGGAGGATGAGGACGAGGATGACGAATAAAATAATGCGAGGGCAAAGGACCACAAAAGTCTTAATACTTTTGTATAATGACATGATTTTTGGGCGTTGACTTGGCATAGCGCGTCTTGAGCCTTGAGCATGGGAGCTCGGCGTTTGACGTTTTGATTTTTAGTATAGCATAAAAGCCTACATCTATTGCATAATACCATAAACATTAAAAATTAAGCCTCTTTCAGAATTCAAATGTGTGGTGATGGTGAAGCTCTTCTGCCTTGTTGAATTAACTTCTCGGTTTGATTCAAGCCATCAAGCCGGTGTTGAGGTTTGCAACTTCTCTAAAGCAATTTAGTAGATAGAATTGAATTTATACAGTTCATGAGCAGATCCTTGGATGGTTTTGCGATAGGAGAAAAATTTAGATAATATACATGGTTTTGGTGAATGATTATTATGTACTTATGTTATGAGTGAATACCTCGGAACATGCTGATAGGGTCACAATTGCCGTCGAGAGGAACGGAGTTGAGATTCATTGTGGAGTGGAAGTAAACTACTGACTACCTACCTCGGTGTGGTAGCAGAATGGTAGCAGAATGGCCAATGCTCAGGTCGATTCAAAGAAAGACCAAGACACGCCGAAATTAAGAAAATAAACAAAGGTGGGAGATGCAAGTTGCCAGAAACAAAGCCTAACTACCTACCTAGGTAGATGGAAGTGTTGTCAAAAATCGTGAACCTCGGAATGCCTTGATGGGTTAGTTAGATTCGTAAGGTGTCGCCTCACCCTGTCCTGTCCTGTCCTGGGCTGCTCTGTAATGCCAGTGCAATTCTGATAAAGGCCCCCGCCAACATCTAAAGGAAGGCGACGCAAGCTTCTGCGGCAGATTCTAGCCCTGCTCTTAATTTAGATCTGTCTAGGATTGCAAAAGATCACGCGGGACGAAAGAAAAAAAAAAAGAAGTGGGTTATGTGATTACGGATATCCAGGCCAGGCCAGGAACTCAATGCACGTTCCATGATGGAGGTACGTGTTCGGATCCGAGACATGGGCATGGGTGCATCAGCTCCGTTTTTATATTGCATTGCATTTTGATCCTCGTGAGCATTGAAACAATTCAAGACGTGTGAGTGGGAGTTGGGAGTTGGGAATGTGGGTTGTCAGGTTTAGCTCAACCTAAGCGAGGGGGACGGAGCAGAGCCGCAACGTTCCGGAGGGAGAGCTGCAATCAATTCAGTTCCCCGCTCAGGCACGAAAATGAAGCTAACTCGATAAGGATTTCCGAATAGGTGGGATAGCATCCGTATCTTGGGTGCCCCTTCATGTGACGGGAACTAAGATTGCGGGAGGAGACGAGAGGGGGAGAAGAGAGTTCGGGGTTTCCGAGAACGGAGACAGCTCGAGACGGTGAAGATGAGACCATTATAGTTACGGTAGTTGATAACTAGTAGTTTACTAGAAATGTTGAGTTGAGGCGAGTTGTTGACTCTATTATCCCCTATCTTATGTCTCCTCTCCTCTCTCTCCTCTCCTATACCCACAACACCACGGACCACTTCACCAACATCCTCACGCGGATATTGATCAGTGAGTTCCATACAAATCACAAACAACACTGACTCATCCTACTCTATGATAGGTACCATCCCACGATACCTTCACGCTCACCCCTTCTCCTGTCTCTCATGGGTCAGGGTTTAACCCCCCCAGCCCCAGTCCCAACTTTTAATGCACGACACTAAAAAGTCTTGTCTGAAGTCTTGTTTATCACACTAGCCCAGAAATCGCAAGCCCTGCAACATATATCCACATTAATGTTTGGATAATCAGTTGTCAGTTGGTAATCACTTTTGATAACTCGAGGATGCAACCTTGATAGCAAATGTGTCGACAGAAACCCACTGTTAATCCTACACTTGCATCCGCCATGGATCTCGTTGCATTTTCGTGTTATATGTCCGTATCACTCGAATCTTCGATATATGGGGCCCATGCGCTCCAATCATGTTAATCGATATTTCTCCAGTTTCGAGATGTTTCGACGTTGGCATATCCTCGGTTATGTTCCTTTCTTCTCCTTTGATACTAGGACATCACAAAATAATCATCAACATCCGAAAGCTCCGACTTCAGTGTTCGATTGATGCAATTCGTTTCTATGGTTAGTCACGGTTTCCACTTCTATTTCAAACCTTGCTGCAGCCTGTGTTGACGAAGGAATTCATGACTCAACCCATCGATGCAACAATGGCTGGTGTCTTATTTCATGACGTATTCTATGTTCATTGACTATCTCATGAACCAAAGTCAACGGGAATCGCGGTGTTCTAGCAAAAGACTGGGTGTATGATGTTCCCTTCGTGGTAGATCGGCGATCCATAGTGTTGGTTTTGCCTATCAATTGTAGCGATCGTGATATGTGCTTCAGATCGTAAAATCTCGGGTGTAAAGTAACATGCCTTCCAAACAACTAGCATGATTACTATGGCTTCATTGCTCATTATCGCTATGCTCGGACTTGAAGGATGCGAACGCTATTCCATCCACTGGCCGTTGAAGTCGGGGGTCAAAGTCACTCATTCTCAACAGACCATCAATTCCTAATAATTGAATCCAAGAACCATCAGATATGACACTAATAGTGACATACTTTGATCTATGAGAGTAAGACTGTAACTAATTGCCCCCAACTACTGAAGTTCCCCTTGATCGGCTTATGCAAGACATATAAGGGTGGTCGCATTACTGTGGTTCCACCAGAGAAAAGGAGGTAACTCTCTAATAACCTGTGTTAATACTGGTCAACAAAATATTATTTCATGCGTTGCCCTACCTGTTGAATTTATGGTACGGCAGCCTCAAGATCCAAACCCTGCTTCGCCGTACATTCGTTTAAGCAACTCTATGGCAAGCTTTTAGTCCAAAGCGATACTCTGACATCAGGACAGCTCTTAAATACATACAAACATACAAATATAATGTTGCCTGACACTTACTAGCAGGGCCTCGCCGAAGTTATCAGAGGCTCAGGGGGTAAGTAATATCCACTGAGCTGCCTTTCCAGAACCCTACCTAGGGGTATATATCATTCTGTATTATACACCCGGAGGCTGATAATTATCTCTTATACTTGAAATCTCGAGATCTCGTGGCATTAACCAGCAGTGGATGGTGTATGTTTTCTGGCTCTACCAGTTCAAGGCCTGAGTTGTTGACTTAGCATGATAGAAACACAAAGACGGTGAGGTGAACAAATATACGGGTCTGCCTATCACTCTTTTCAAATGTAAGCTACATTCAGGAGTCTTTACAAATCGAAAGTTCCCTAGCCTTCTTCCTCTAGACTACCTTTGAAACGGGAATCTACAAATCGTGTGCTGGTGAGCAACGATCCCAGATGTTCCAGGAAAACAGTTGGCCAATATCGCTCCAAAACAGTATTTGCCCAAGAGCCACAGGCCCTAGGCGATATCCTAACTGCATGCATTCTCTAAAACAGCTCGTTTTTCAATAACGTCTTCAGATGCAGAAGATATCGGAGAGTTACAGGGTGGCCTCGGCACGATGCCACGAAACCGCATCTTTCACTTCACTTTGTGTTTTGTCTTGTATTTTGCCTTATTCGATGAGTACTGTATCTTGGAATAGGAACATATCAGTGCACTTGCGCTGATCATCTTTGTTATGAACAGACGGTTATGTTTATGGACATAGGGTTGAAGCAAACCGAAGCATGTGGGAGATAGTCAAGATACAGCGCTACAACTAACTTCACGGGTAAACTAGGTCCCAGTATGCTTCTTTTGTTTGATACTACACGTTAGACTCGGAACTAAATATGAGTGTTATTTACTATTGCCCACCTGAAGCTAATGCAAACAGGCACACTGAGCTCACTTCCACACCGGCACGGAGCACTGAAGACTTGTGATAGTTATTTCATAAGAGCATTTGTCTCCGCGCCAGTCGATTCGAACTTTCAGTTTGTTTTAGCGAAGCTCTAGCTAAATATATCATGAAGAAGCGGGTGATACATGAGAGCATTCGTGTTGTTCTAAACCCACCCCTGACTATAAGGTCCTTGTACTGGCCGTTCACAAAGATCGAGGTAGCACAGATATACTCATTTAAAATCCATTTGATTCTACGTCTCTTCTAGAATTCAATTGCCACCTTCTGCTGAATAGAATTCAACCGTTCTCCTTTAAATGCTAGTATGTAACAACCTTTGCTACTGTTAATTTGTTCAGCTCCAATTCCGATTTCTTGAACAACTAAGAACCAACCAAGTAACGGTGCCTTCAGTGTAGAGTATATCGATTGGCAGCATTAGCATGTTAAACTCCTCTAGGTTGCCTGCATCATTGTGTATATACTTCCCGGGTATACAGCACTTCGGAAGTGGAAACTTGTTGTGTGTACGGACGACTGATGGAACAACAACTATTCACTATCCAGAAGAACCCCATCAGCATGTTTTTTGTTGCAGGAGTTATTTCTGTGTGGCCAACATGAGCTCTCTGAATATCGAGTTACTTTGCTTGGGCATTGAAAGTGTAGTGTTGTGTGTCATGATTGTGGTCAACAGACCTAGTTCATCTTTGAGTGGCGGTGAAACGGTATCAGTTAGTCGGATAATAATGTTTTGATATCTTCTATGGTGTTTCCATCTTCAGCTATGCGAAGACCTGCAATTTTTGGAGATTCCATGGCCAAATCGAATGACCACATGTTCATAGAGACTTAGAGCGAGACTTGACTTTCGACTTGGTAATCGAGTTGACGACATAACACCCAAAGTATCACTAAATTTCCCAATATATTTCAAGATGTAACTAGCCACATGAGTTAAACTTATTTGAGGAAGTGTTGATAATACTCTTAGCGGTTCTCAACTCTAGATTGGCCCGTAAGTACAGGGTAAGTCGTTTCTGAGCAACAACAATTTAGACAGCATCGTGCGCTGACCAATATATCGTCAGGGCTTTGTAAGTTCATACTTGGCTCATCCAAGATCTGAGAATATTCTAGACTCTGGGCCGATGGAAGGAAGTGTAACACTGAATATATTTGTACGAGTATCGTAAGGAATATAAATCATAGTGAAGTGTGGAACAAGAATCAATAACCATTGGGCTGGAAACCCGTGCACAGTTCGATTGATGGCTTGAGATGAGTTCCACTAGCCATATTATCCACTAGGTGCTGCTGACAGCCAAGCTTCTTGTTGCTGAGAAAGGATGCGATCCATGTTAAATTATCAAATCCTGAGAAGACCTGATGGATGATGATGTGAAGGAGGAGAACCAACCAAATCGAGTGAACAAAGAAAATGGTCCACAAAAAGTCCTACCAAGTCCTGAAATCCAGGGCCCTGCATTGTCATACCCCAGGCCCTCCACTGAGTCTAGGTCTGGGTATGGGCAAAGGCGGCTGAAGAGAAGCGAAGAATTGGTACCCCGTAATGTCAGGCTGACACCCGCTGGTTGGTTTGTCACATAGGCATTCATATGTACCTTATTCAACAGCCAACAACTCGAATCTAGACAGTTTCGATCATTCTTTGAGGGGGAATCATGATCAAAAAACGAATATACGAAAAACTGCGTCATCGTCAACGTCAACATTGGCGTCCTCTTTCTCGGCAGTTTCAAGGTTCGTCATCACCCATAGAAGACTGGGGCTTTGCTCGTGTTCTGTAGCTACCCCACCATCCCACCTCGTGTACAAGACATCAAGATCAACACCAACGTTATCTGGACGTTCTTCTAAGAAACCAAGATGACCATACATGACCTGGAAGAACCAGAATAAACTAAGCATAAACTATTGAGGGTTCGATTAATTGTATCAAGTATGAACTTTGATCTGGAACAATGTCAACAAGAAATGATACATAAGAGGGCGAAAGTAAGGTAAACGAGAACCAAAGAATCCACTTCACTCACAGCCACAATAGGAAAGCAATTAACCAGTCAGATCGCATCCTGTCAGAAAGATGACAAGGCAGAATGGCCTTGGCTACTGTGTACCTGATTACTACATACTTTAGTGCATACCAATTGGTCGTCAATATTTGACAGCTGGGGCAGACGCAAACCTACGAGTCCAGCCTGTTCAATGCTCATCAAAGATCATGAACTTTCTGATCTGACAAACCAGAGAATCGGTGTGAAATGATCCTGCAACGACCTGTAACTAATAAATGCACCTACTGCTACGGTAGCAGCATAGTTACAGCAGACATGGGTCATTAAACCCCTGTCCTCAGCCTTAAACCGCTGAAAATATCCTAGCGCCGTCAGCTGTGTCTTGGTCGGGTCTCCACTGGAGGCGGTCGGGCTCTATTTTCTCGTTTCCATTGGATTGGATTTCCATTTGGGTACAGTACAGAATAGAAGCGGAAGTGGGTTACTCAGAATGCAGCGCCTCATTCAGCCACCACCCGAGCTCAGCCCAGAAGGAACTGACACCAAGTGGAAGACTCGAAAGCCAAGCACAGCACATCACATCAGAATTATTCTTCTTCTCGTTAGGTTGATTCCTTTTTACCAAATACTGCACGATCCGACACCTACCAACTTGAAAGTCACCTACGAAACAAAGCTTTCCTGGATCATCACCTCTTCGCTAAATTAATCAAGCCCATCGCATCTTCGGCCTGCCCGTTCCTCTATTCAACTGCGCCTCTTTGTTTGATCGCCTCTCAAAACCCGCCCCGGTAATAGACATTGGACGTGCTCCATATCAGCGCGTATCGATACCAACCAAAGAAAGCCCGCCTGCATTTAAACAACTTGCTACGACCCTACGGTTACAGACAGTGGTGCTGAATCACTGACTATACAGTACGGATACTCTTGCACTCAAGGCAACAAAGATTGGAAACTACAGGCCCAAGCCGGCCACTACCATCAATATTTGCGCCATCTCCAAGCCTGCATTAAGCCAGGGCATCTCAGCATCAAGAGACGGCTCTTGGTGCATCCAGCTCCAAGCCAGCTCCAGCCCAAGCTCAGCCCAAGCTCAATAGCATTAGCCAACCAGCCAGCAAAGGCTTCAGGCTCGCACCCCCCTCTTTGTTTCTTTGCACACTCCCGGGATCCAATATCTAGGACACAGCAAGGTCAGTGACAGTGGCCATTATAGAATTCAGGACATTCAAGGGAAGAAACAGATTGGAACAGCATCAGAATCAGAATAAGCGCCATCAATCGGACGGACCGTTTACGGTTGAGAACCTTCTCTTGACTACATATTACCTCGCCTCTTTTCAGGTGAAAGAAAGGCACTCACTCAGCAATCAGCCGAGTTCGACCATTCCTAGACTACAGCTGCCACCGTTGTCGCGATTTCGCAGTGATCACGGATACAACTACTTTTACTACATCATATACCAAACTAGGTGCCTTGCTGTATAGTAAGTTGAGCTACTGTTGTCCTTAATGTCTTGTCTTGATTTATTAATACTTTTACAGATGGTCAGTGAGGAAACACTCTACTTCCTCACTCCTTGGCAGTCTAGCAGCGTCGCTCATCTCTGACTGCCCCTCCCCACCCCCCAGGCCGTGCTAATTTCTGACCCGAGCCCAAGCCTGACCCTCCCACTCCTCTTCTCAAATCCCCCTCCCCTCTCACGCCCAATCCTAATCCGCCTCCATCGAAAACCCCCCTCGTCCTGTCCGTCCTGTCCGTCCTGCCCCCGTCCTGCTGCGGCGCCTCGCTCGCTCGCTCGCCGCCCTGTGCTTTTGTGCCTGCCTCTACCTCTTTTGACCTCTTGGGTCCTACTCCTCAACCTTTTCTCCCCTCTGCTCCTCTTCCTCTTTTCCATATGAGTTCTATGAACTCCCGCTTCAAGAGCCTTGGCTTCGGAAAACGCAAATCCGCTGCAAGCATACAGACCTCGGAAGGTCTGACACCGAGCCCAACCCCTCCTCCAGGCCAAATACCGCAGCTTCCTTCTCAGCAACAGCTAAACGCTCCCTCAATCGCTCCGTCATCTTCAACGACGAGTCTTCCGATGAATCACCCGGGCCCCGGCAACCGTCCGCCTAGCTATACCGCAAACTTCCCTCCCGGTCAAGCTCCTCTTGGTCGTACCAGTCCTCTCGCTCAGCAGCCCAACCGCACTCCTCCAACTCAAATGGTCGGCGGTCCTCCTCCGATCAACACCGGAGCCCCAATGGGCTACCCTCCCGGAATGGCGCCCATGGGCCAAGGTCCTCCTCCGATGGGAGGTCCTCCTGGTTTCGGACAACAGCCACCGCCTCCCCAAGGATATCCTCCTCCCGGTCCCCCAGGTGCTCCTATGAACCAGCAGTTTCAACGACCAGGCCCTGCTGCCGAAGTTGAGGGCGCTAGCAAGAGCAAGGCTCAGCTCATTGTTGGAATTGATTTTGTAGGCATTCGATTAGCTACCAGCGCAGCAAACACTGTGGCTAACTAACAATCAACAGGGTACCACATTCTCAGGTGTTGCTTTTGCTTTCGCGACCAACAACGAAGCCAAGGAAGATATCATTACTGAGTGGCCAGGTGCTGGTTCTTACACCAAGCAGAAGGTATGTCAGCGTGGATCAAGATACGAAGCCAGCAAGCTAACAACTGTCTTCGACAGATTCCAACAGTGCTTTATTACGATCAATACCAGAAAGTGGTAGGATGGGGACCCGATATTGCCGATGCCCTTGCTCCTACCGGCTATCCCAAGCCTGGTGTACAAAAGGTCGAATGGTTCAAGCTGCAGCTGATGTTGAGCGGCAACACATACATTGACCCTATCAACCTTCCTCCTCTGCCTCCAGGAAAGTCAGAAATCGATGTCGCCGCCGATTACCTTTTTAAGCTTCGACAGGCTATGCGGTCAGCTCTGCAAAAGGCGTTGGGTGAAGTCTTTAACCGAGAAGAACGCAACATCCGATATTATCTGACCGTCCCTGCTATTTGGAACGATGCTGGAAAGGCCGCCACTCGAGCTGCTGCCATCCAGGCCGGTTTCCTTCGCGATGAGAACGACAACCGTCTGACTCTCGTTTCAGAACCCGAGGCTGCCGCTTTGTTCTGTTCCAAGACCGGTCTTCTGGACCTCAAGGTCCACGACGCTGTCCTGATTGTGGATTGTGGTGGTGGTACCGTTGATTTGATTGCTTATGAGGTTGAGGAGGAGAACCCTTTCACTGTTGCCGAGTGCACGGCCGGTTCTGGTGACTCTTGTGGTTCAACAGCCCTGAACCGTAATTTCAGCAACATTCTCCGCACCAAGATTCGAAAGATGAAGCTTCCCGATGGCTCCAAGACCGCTGGCCGAGTCTACGCCAAGTGTATCATGGACTTCGAGAACCGAATCAAGGCTGATTTCCGAAACAACGGTCAGAAGTGGGCTGTCGATGTTGGTATCGAGGCTGAGTTCCCTGAGGCTGGTATTGAGGAGGGTTACATGACCTTCACCAACGAGGAGATCCTTCAGTGTTTCGAGCCCGTTGTCAACCGTATTCTGGAGCTCGTGAGAAACCAGATCATTGCCATCCAGGCCCAGAACCGCACTCTCCAGAACATCCTGGTTGTCGGTGGTTTCGGTGCCTCCGAATACCTTTTCCAACAGATCAAGCTCCATGTCCCTCCCCAGTTTCAGTCCAAGGTTGTCCGGCCCATGGATTCCGTGGCTGCCATTGTCAAGGGTGCTGTTACTGCTGGTATCACAGAGCGAATTGTTACTCATCGTGTTGCTCGACGACATTATCTCATGGCGACTCTTCAGCCCTTTAAGGAAGGCTATCACCCTGAGGCTTATCGTGTGCCGTCTCTCGATGGAAAGGACCGCTGCAAGTTCACCCGCCAGATCTTCGTCCAGAAGGGTCAGAAGGTCAAGAACGGCGAACCCGTCAAGGTCTCTTTCTTCCGACAAGTCGCTCCAGGTGCCACTCTCATGTACGAAGATGTGCTATATGCCTGTGACGATGATGTCTGCCCTGAATACACTAAGGATCCCCGTAAGTTGAACATTCATTCTGAGCTTCCACAACATATGACTAACATATCCCAGGTATCAAGGAAGTTGTTACTCTTACCTCGGATCTTTCTCGCAAGAACTTGGAGAAGGACTTTGAGCGAATGGATACCCCTCAAGGCACATTTTACCGCGTTTACTTCGATATTTACCTAACCCTTGACGGTTCGGAATTCAGCGCCGAACTTGTCTGTCAAGGCGAAGTCATGGGCCGCTGCCGCTCTCGCTTCAGGTAAACAAGCTCAAAACAGAGGAGGAAGCGAAAGTCGATAAGTTTAAGGTTCACTTTGAAACCCCATGATACCTAGGAAGACACAGACCCGAGATGACGCCAAGTCAGCACGCAAATGGGATTATTTTTTATAGCTGCCTCAAGGGCACGCGAAGAGGACGTGCGACATGTCGAGCGAAAGATGTTGGATTTAGTATTGAGAAGTTAAACGGACGGGGCATGGTGCATAGACCAACGTGTCTGACTGAGCCTGGTGCTACGTTTCGGGATAAAGAGGGGAAGAGTTACATGCATGAACGACATGATGATTACTCGTACATAGACAATGAATTTTCAGTTGAATGAACGCAGGCTATAGAGTCATATGAAAGCAACCAACGCACTCTCTCAAGTCTCACGCTGAAGCTGCTCACAGTTTCTGATCATAGGTTTATAAATCTCAATAGGCTACGGTCAAGCACATACGACCAAAGCTCGTAGAGAATACGGGGTCCCGTCCGCTCCCCCATCGTCAAGCTGCGAAGCGCCGGATTAGTAGTTGGGTCGGTGACGACCAGCGAATCCCCGGTGTTGTATGTTTTTTGGTACCTTCAATTTTTGACGATATTCAGCTTTCCTAATACGGTAATTGGCTAGATGGGGCAGTCTCTTACACCGCACACGTGGGATAAGGTTCTTGTTCCCGTTGCCAGGCTGAGATTGACTCACTCACAATGGCATTCTAACAAATGGAGTTAATAATATGCAGTGAACGGTTTCTCAAAGCCTATCTGCTATCTGGGTATAGTTTGATAGATGTTCACAGCACGAGGCCATCTTGAGGGGCATCGTCTCTCGTCCTGGATCGCGACTGCTCTGACGTCATATTTGACCTGCCATGTTAACCAACATCAGGAAATGGCAGGAACGCCAGCCATGGGCTTGTTCCTTCCTTGAGCAGCATGGGGTACTCTGTTGTTTTGCTCACTGAGCTACCTTGTCTCTTGTTTATGCTCCCCTTCACTTCTCTATTCTCCTTTCTTGTTGATTTGTGATTCTTTCCCTTGCTCCAGGCGAGTTTTCAGCTCGCCTTTATCCTCTTTTACATCCTTATTGTTACTTTCCTGGTATTTGTCTTGGGCGATCAGACACCAAGAATAGCTGTTACAACATCATCTTTCATACCCCTGGTCGTTTCAGATTCGTGCTTTGCCCTCTCATCGCCTCTCCTTCACGACAGCCTAGCCCTATCTCGTTTCCCTCGACCGGTCAATCCCTGTTCATTGGGCCAACTATTCGTCCTTCTTCTGGTCATTTTCAGTTGCCACGCTTGAACCGCAGATCAATTCTCGACTAGGGTTATCAAGAAAAAGTTTCTGGGCATCAAGAAAACAGTCCCTTATTCGCAGCTTCACGGCCGCCTATACGTCACCGTCGACCCTGGACCCTGGCTCCAAACCAACTCTATCGTTCGTCTTATATCTGCCTCTCGACCGCAGCTTGAATAGTCTCTTCAGCGTTATGATCACGACTGGCTAGCACTTATTGTTATTTTTTGATACTTTGGATCTGAGGCAACTTCATTCGACAGGCTTATTGGATCCCAGTCTCAATTACCCACGTTCAACTTCATCTTCTTGGTAGGAATAAAGTTCTTGGGTCGTGAGATGGTATCCTCGTCGAGGCGTAGACGCGCGAGTAGCGTTTCTTTATTTTGTCGAGTATTGGTACCAGCTGTTGCGGTCGGTTTCCTCCTGAGCGGTGCAGGGGCGGAAAGGGCACAAGATGTCACGAAGGGTTCACACGACGATCTTCTGCATTTCCCTGGACGAATTAGATCTCCGAACCGAGGGGAACCAAAAGATCCTAACAGGACAATTCCCTTGACCATTACCAACAAATGTGACTCGACAATCTGGCCCGGCATTGCAACACAAGCCGGCAGAGGCCCGGGAACTGGAGGATTCGAGCTGGCTCAAGGAAAAAGTAAAGACCTATGGGTCTCATGGGATTGGCAAGGTCGGGTTTGGGGTCGTACGAATTGTACTGTAAATGGTGATTCGTGTTCCTGCAAAACAGGAGATTGTTTTGGGATGTTGAATTGCGAAGCCAGTGTAAGTGCTCTGTGTGGGAACAAGAGTTGTATAATACTGACCACCAACAGGGTTCCACGCCAGCAACACTCGCTGAATTCACGCTGGCTGGTGGTCTGCATGGGAAGCAGACTTTCTACGATCTCTCTTTAGTTGATGGCTACAATCTCCCGATGGGCGTCAACTACATACCCGCCAAAAACACAACATTCATCCCGCCAAACCTGACCAACTGCGCCTGCATTGCGACACCTAGTTGGATCTACGCCAGCAGCCAGACGGGAACATATTACACAAACTCATCATACCCTGTTCCACTGGAAACTCGAGTCAGCAGTGACAATGCCCGAAGCTGGTGCCCATGGAAATACCTTGCTTTTCCACCCACTAAGCCTGGGGATGGCGTCTATCCGTATCCAGACGACGACATTCAACGGCCAGAGTTCTCCCCCTGTAACAGCGCATGCGCTGCGTACGGAACCGATGAGGACTGCTGTGTAGGGAAGTACCACGACCCAGATGTCTGCAAGCCATCTGCCTACAGCAAGAGAGCCAAGATTATATGCCCCGATGCATATAGTTTTGCTTATGACGACCAGAAGTCCACGTTCATTATTCCTAATGGTGGAGGCTGGGAGGTAATCATGTGCCCCAAGGGTCGCTCAACTAACATTCTGCGACAACTTGGGGATGAAATGAACGAGCTCGCCCAATCTGGCACCCTATCGGAGGTGACACAGAAGAAGCTCAGGGACGTCAGTTATATCGTAGCTGAGAGGAGCCTCGGAAACCATGTGCTACCCATCGAAGTCATGATGGCTTCAACAGCGTTGGCAACTGCAATTTGGTTACTAGTATAAGCTGCAACGGGTCTTATGAGAAACCAACTATTGGAGCTGTGCAGTTTTCTTTTGTCCAGGGTTCAGGCTGGTTCCTGATCTCAAGTACACTCTTTTTGATGCCCGTACTGCAGAAAGTGCGCATACGAAGAAACGATAGACGATGGAAAAGAAACCGCACCATATACCTGATTAAAACGTTTATACCCCCTTTTCGATAACCTTAGATGAGAAATGCTTATTCTTGCACCTGTGCGTAAGCTACTTAGGTTCTATCGCTCTGAGATTCGATGATTTATATCCACCCATGAACTGGTTTGCCTCGTCTTATTGTGAAGTAACCTCTATATTTGAATTCGTGTAAACGTGCCATGTTGCACGTCTATTTGCGTTGCTTCTCCTTCCGCCTCCTCTCCCACTCAGCTCTCTCCTCTTCATCACTTCCACTGAACTCAGCATCATCATCACTGTCGTCTGGAACATCGAGCACGGCCCCACCATGGCTCGTCGAGTTGTTGACATTGATAAAGTCTCCAGCATTTTGGTTCGCATACTCATGCTTCTGAATGATTTCGCGGAGTTCTGTGTTTGTAGGATCGACAAGCTGATAGGGGGTAAGACGGGCCTTGTTCTTGACTCGTGTGCTGGAGCCGGCCTCAAGCATCATCTCGACGAGGGCGTTGCCGAAGGGTCGCTGCGCGGGCGGCTCTGAGTTGATCCAACGAATGGCGCTGTGAAGAGGCGTGTCACCTTCTGAACGGTTGATGGGATCGCACTCGAATTCGGGCTGGTCGAGGAGGTGGTCAATAATTTCGTCTGAGGCGGTGGGTTAGCTCGTCTGGGTCATGCGCATGTGTGAAGGTATGTGAGGCGCACAGTTTCCGCGAGAGGCGGCTTCGTGGTAGAGATGGTTGCCCATGACAGTTGTGGTCTCGTTGAGGAGCTTTGAGATCTCGGCATCGGACTTGTCCTCAAGACAGTCGTTGAGAAGATCGAGGTTGTTTCGGCGGCAGGCTTCGATCAGGATTTCCTGGACGGTGGCGCCCTGTAGAGTTTGTGTTAATTCGCCGACCTATCGAGAGTCTTTTGTGCGGAGCATGATGTAACTCACATCGTGCTCTTCATCTCCAGCCATGTTGATATTTGTTGAATATCAAGTCAAATTGAGTTCGCGAGAGCGGGGTATTAGATGTTTGGATTGACGATGACGAAGTCAAGCGCTGAAGAATCTGACAAACCCCGTTGGTAAGTCAGAAGAGTTCCAAGAATATCCGCAGGTAAGAGACGGAGAATGCACAGGCTGGTCGTGCCGTTGTGGCTTAAGGGAGGCAGTGAATATGGACTGTGCTAGGTTTTGAGTGTTTCACGTTTCGTCGGTGTTTGGAGGGGCACTGTGATGCCCAGCCTAATCCAAGTCCACCTCAGGGAGCTCAGGCGGAAATGGCGGGGAGAGGACGGCGCTAGAACTGCCAGACCAGCCTGGGCAATAGTGGGACCCACCAGATCAAGTCAAGTAGCTTCATGTTTCTGCGGTAAAATGAAAAAAGAAAAAAATAGTCATACCTCAATTCAAGATCGTTTGTCTATTCAACCGCACCTCAATCCACGACAACTACCAAATAAAAGGGCCCACCTCAAGCAAACCAACGTCGCCCCTAAGCAAATAAACCGTTTCTCTCTCCCACGTCAATAGCAACCGTCATCATGTTGCTCTGTAGGAGTCCCAAAATTGATGCGCCTCTTCCAAACTAACAGACTCCAGTCTGCCCCCATTGCGCAAACATCCTCACCGTCTCCCTCACAAATACACGAACCAACCGTCTCGAATGCCGAACTTGCCCTTTCGAACATCACATCACCGAGCCCGTCTTTTCGCGACGGATGTACGAGCGTGTCGAGAAGGAAGATGTCTTTGGCGGTCCTGGCGCCTGGGACAATGCGCAAAAGGGTCGTGTTCAGTGTCCCAACGAAGGGTGCGAGGGAGATGAGGCAGCATTCTTCCAGGTCCAGATTCGTAGTGCTGATGAGCCCATGACGAGTTTTTACAAGTGCATGACCTGTGGTCACCGGTGGAGAGAAAACTGAGTTTGGGGAAGGATTCCTTTGGATTTTGTAGCGAAAGGGTTTTCTTTGTGCGAGGAGAAACGGAGTTGGGCCATCATACTTGTCTTTCAGAGGTGTTTAAGAATCTGTTCCACCAGGCGTCGCACTGTTCTTGATAACGGAATGCTTCTTTTTCTTGCGTGGGGTTTTTCGCTTTCGCGGGGTGTCAGGCATACTTTCGTTCACAGGGTCATCCTGAGTCCTCTTGTTGTTACTCGTGCCTTTCGTACCATCCTGCGAAGGGCTGTTCAGCTTGGCAGGGACCTTCTAGCTCTCTCGGTGCCAATCGACTGATGCCTTCATGCCCTCCTCCATTAGTGCCCTCACGACATCAGGGCTGATGATCTGTTGCCGGAACGTCTCCTGCTGGAGGAGCTCGAGATGTCGTAGTGTCGGGCCGGGGTACGTTAGGTACTTGAGATACGGCGGTTTGCTCCAGTATTGTAGGTAGGCAAGATATGCGACAAAGGCGGGTTGGCTGAGAAGCTTCTGGGAGGCAAGATGGTTGAGGTAGGCCGGGTTTGCGAGGGACTGAACAAACTGTGCGCAGTATCTGTTAGTTATGGGTTCATAGCGCTACTAAATGAGAGTGCAAACAAACCTCAAGCTCAACCTCGAATCGTGAATAGCCACCATATTTGGGCTCTTGGTCTACTTGAGCAGGCGGTTCGGGAGGCGATCCCATTGGGACGTCTTGAGAATCTTCCGCCGCCATATTCCAGGAACTGTATCGAGGGAGACCAATTCCGAACAGTGGAATATGGAGATCGGGGTTGTGGGTGGTGATATGTAGGAGGATGTTGATGCTGTGTTTGGAGGAGTGCAATTGGGGTAGGGGTCGCGCAGTTGAAAGGCCCACATCTTCCATTTGACAGTTGAGGAGAAAGAAAAAGCCAGTAATAGAGAGCTTGTCAATACTCTCCTCCAATTCCTCCCAGTTTCTATACAAATTTTAATCTTGCACTGGGTAACAGCTGTCTTACTTGAGTCTGTATTCTATGCACTTTTATGTCTTCTTCTCATGCTCTTACAATGTCATTCTTCAAAACAATGCAGACGCTAGGCTCCGTCTTTTCTGTCCTTGGGAGGCACTGAATAAACATCGACGTCAGCCTGAGCTCTTAGACATAAAAGTTTACCTCTGATGGTGTAAACTGCAATCCACAAACACAAACTCCCTTAGGCAACACTGTTCTTCTCAAACTTATATTGGTAATTATCATGTGCTAAAATAGAATTACTCTTCCCGCTGAAAGCACCATCCACTCTTCTCTCGATTATAACTCTTCTGTCTCCTGACACGCTCAAACTCAACATAAATATTGTGTTCCTGTGATCGGCTTCAACTCTCTTTAAAATGTCCGAAACACCTGCTACACAACATGTCAAAACTCGCATTCTCATCATATCCGACACGCATGGGTCGAAACCAAAGCCCAAAAACAAAGGTGGACCCAGCACTGATGATGAGCTCAACGAAAAGGATGTCACGCGTGTGACGACAGGTTGGAGAGAGCCTCTACCAGAGGCGGATGTTGCTATTCATTGCGGAGACCTCACGAAGCGAACTACAATTCCTGAATTTGAAAATACCTTCTCTGTGTTACGGTCTATCAATGCCCCTCTCAAGCTGGTCATTGCAGGCAACCATGACATGGCGCTTCATGATGATTATTGGCTCAATGAGTTTGGTGGTCCAGCGGACACGCTCGATGAGGTCAAGACCATTCTTCAGAAGGCTGAGAAAGATGGTGTTCGGTACCTGAATGAGGGCGTTCATGTGTTCACCTTGCAAAATGGCGCTCTGTTGAAAGTATATGCGAGTCCGTGGACCCCTTCCTATGGTGGCTGGGCATTTCAATATGACAATGGGCACGACTTCAACATTCCCAAGGAAACCGATGTGGCCATTACTCACGGTCCTCCGCAAGGTATCTGCGACTTTGCAGGCATGACTGGGTCCCACGCTGGCTGTCCCGACCTCCGTGCCGCCGTCGCCCGTGCCAAACCCAAGATCCATTGCTTCGGCCATATCCATGAAGCTTGGGGGACGCATTATGTGACATGGAAAGGCAATGGCATTGATGAGGAACTTTCAAGAAAAGTCGGGCTCAAGGGGCTACGGCCGAATCGCGTGACGCAGAACGAGGAAGAGGCCAATGCAACGAGGGTGAAGCTCATTGAGATGAGCAAGCAAAGAGCTGCACATCTGGACCTCACTCACGGTGACAGTCGCGTGGTTCAAGGGAAACAAACCTCGTTTGTCAACGCAGCGATTATGGATATCAGATACAGACCTATAAGTCACGAGACCGGGAACCGGCCACCCCGGGAACCGGCCACCCCGCTTTTGGCCTCAACAACATAACCTTCATCAATTCAATCACTCAAAAAGTCGATATAATACCCTAATTTTCATCCAATCTTGACCCACAATGCCTTCTTATACAGAAGAAGATATGCTTAAAGCAATTAACCTTGTTCAAAACGGCCAATCAACAGTTAAAGCTGCTGAAGAAGCTTCTGTGCCACGATCAAGCTTACGGCGCCGACTTCAAGGCATTATGCCTAAAAATAAAGCTCATATAGATCAGCAGCGGCTCGGCCCGGCCGTTAAAGCCGATCTCATCTCTTTTTTAAGGCTTCAAGATACCCTTTGTACTCCATTAACGCATTTCCAAATCAGGCAACTTGTTATACGTATTTTGAGCTTACAAGGCAATAATAAACCTCTTGGCAAGCATTGGGTTACCCGATTTATCGCACGATCAGAACGAATTAAAACGCTTAAAGCAATTAGAGTTGAATATAAGCGTATTGAAGGAGCAAAAGCAGTTATCATCCGGTCTTGGTTCGACCAATTGAAGGATCCCGAGGTCACGATAATCCGCGGCTGTAACCGTTGGAATATGGATGAAACGGGTATCTTCCAAGGGGTCGGTATTAACGGCTTAGTTGTTGGCCAATCAGAGAAGAGGAAGACCTTGAAAAGAAGCCCTCACAGGCGCAGCTGGGTTACAATAACAGAAGCTATATGTGCCGACGGCACGGCCCTTCCTCCCTTTGTTATCTTCAAAGGTGATCAGCCGCAACAACAATGGTTTCCGAAGGATCCTTCCTTTTTAGGCAATTGGCGCTTTGCAACGTCACCGAAGGGCTGGACCACTAATGAGATTGCAGCCCTATGGCTTAAGGAGGTTTTCATCCCGTTGGCATTGCCCAAAAAGGAAGGGGAAAAGAGGCTTCTTTTCCTAGATGGGCATGACAGCCATTTAACAGATGAATTTATCTTTCTTTGCTTTAAGCATAATATACACCCCTGTTACCTTCCGCCGCACACGTCACATGTCCTTCAGCCTCTTGATTTAACTATATTTAGCTTTTTGAAGCTAATATATCGCCGCGAACTTGAGATGGAAGCCCCCCTCGTTGAACAAGGAAATACAGCTAAGACTGCCTTTTTAAGGTGTTATTTTAAGGCTCGGGCCGCTGCCTTTACCGAAGAGAGGATCCGGGCCGGCTGGCTTGCATCAGGCTTGTGGCCTATTAACGTTATGAGACCGTTATCAAGCAAATATATAGTACCGGATGAAAATGAGGCTCAAGCTGCCCAATTAGGCAATCTGACTACACCACCAGCCAATACAAGCTCTCAATTGCCTTATCTTAGTACACCACATAAGCTATCTGATGTTATGCAGCTTGCAAGAGCCGAATTAGGCAATAAGGCACTTACACCAACGAAAAGGCACCTATTCCGGACGATTGGAAAGGGACTTGATGAACGGGCCGTTGAATTAGCTTTAATAATGGATGAAAATAGGATATTAAGCGAGAAAATCGACCAATCACAGGTCTCAAAGAGAAGGAAGCTTACATTAGATCCAAATCAAAAGGTATATGGCTTAAAGGAGGTCTATGAAGCAAGGGATACTATAGTAGTAAAAACGGGTAGAAAATAAGGTTATTTAAGTTTTTATTAAATATATATAAGCTTTTCTAACTAGTAGGAAAAAGCTAGATAAAAAAGGAGCTTATTTTTGTTGATTTATATATAGTTGAAGATATCGAGGTTATGGTGTTGAGGCCAAAAGCGGGGTGGCCGGTTCCCGGGGTGGCCGGTTCCCGGTCTCGTGACTTACAGCTACCGTGGCTGATTGATGTTGACTTGGCGAGAGCTAGCCCAGTGTGAGAGACCCTGGACGAATAACTACATCATTGTCATTACGAATCATAAAATAGATATACATCAGCTGAGAATCGAAAGTTTCAATGCTTGTTTATTACTAGCTAAGCTGGTACATGTCTATTACTACTTTTCCCATCACTCTCGATGGCAAGCTAATCGTAGGTACCCCGGAAAAAAAAAAGGAAGTGATACACTATCCATGGATCTCTGAACAACGCATTATTAATTTCCTTGTATCGTAAATGTCAATTGACTGCGTCCCATGAATGCTCCGTGGTGATGAATTTATACGCAGACAGATATCAGAGCTCTTACAGAGCAAGGACAGCACCGAGAGCAGCGAGGAGACCAAAGGCGGGGCCAGCAACAGCAGCAGCGTTACCAGTAGGAACGCTGCTGGCGCTGCCGCTCTCGCTGCCGGAACCAGAGCCAGAAGTTCCGGTGGGGGTGGAAGCTCCGTGAGTCTTGGTGGTGGTCGCGTTGCCGGGGTGGGGAGTAACGGGAACAATGGGGGACTCCTCGGGGATGCTGGAGAAGATGGCGGGGACGCTGGCGGAGCCGGTGACGGAGGTGTCGATGCTGACGGTGACGGCGCCGGTGGTGGCAGCAGCAGAGGTAGCGGTAGGCTTGCTCTCGCCGGCGGTCTTAGCGAACTCCTTGCAGGCCTCAGCGGCAGCGGACTGAGCCTTGAGGAGGTCTTGAGCCTCGCAGGCCTTGGTCAAGCAAGGGGTGATGATGGGGAGGAGCTTCGCCTGGAAATCGGAGGCGCATTGGCAGGCGGTGTCCTCGAGCTTGCAGCCGGCCTTGGGGATGTTCTCCTGGAGACATTTGAGCTGTGAGGTGTTAGTTGGGTGCTGTCATGGATGTGTAAGTGGCCGGGTGTGTTTGGTTGACTTACAGCACACTCGGGTTGACCACCGAAGTCCTGAGCGGCAACGAGGCCAGCAGCAGCGAGGAAGAAAGCAGCCTTCATTTTGAATGTGGTGTGTGAATGATTTTGGTACTGTAACTAAACGATTGAGTGAAAGCGAGAGAGCTTTGAGGTATTAAGTCAACAATTAGACAGATGCAATTCAATTCAATTCAACGAGAGGGATGTACAAAAGACAACTAAGACAAGTCCTGGAACAGGTCGGCATCACCTCCTTATATACAATGTAGTAGAGTCTTGCAAACTTAAAAAGTCCCGATACTTTATTAGCCCAGTCAATAGTGACGGACAGCAGACGTCAACAAGTGGCTGGACTACGAACGAATACAGGCTAAGGTACTGCTATTGGGGTGACCATTGACCTGGTCCTGATCCAATGCTAAGCTCTAGCACAGCTTCAGGCTGCAGAAGTGCCCCTGGACCCCTGGTTCAACCCCCCCCCCCCGAGCCCGACAAGCCGATACCAACCTTCTGCGTACTGTACATAAAACACCTGGACCGACCAATCATGCCGAGTCCTGCGGCATAGGCGCTGATCTTTTTCGGTGGGTCTACAGCGCCGATAGAGTTCTAATGGCCTGTCAATCACCATATATCAGTAGCATTCTCACAACTCCCGTAATTGTCGGGTGTTGTTGAACAGGTGCTGGGGTCTCACGTGCAGGCAGGGATACTTTAAGATTACAGCCGAAATGGTAAAACCTCTAAGGGGTAGATTTCAACAGAACACAACATGAATACACCAATTCACATCAATGAACCGAATACACGTAATGTCTGACAATTAAGAGTCTCAATTGCATCTCAGCGACCCG